GCAACTACAACTCTGAAATATCAAGGTCTATTTCCCCCAAATTCCACCAGTGTTCACATTTGGGCATATTGAGTATTCGTGCCAAGTTTGGTCCAGATACATCATTGTTTGAGTCCACAGTGCTCTCTGGATGTAGGTGAACTATAACTCCCAAACTCAAGTTCCCATCACATCCTTCCAGTATTTTCTGTTGGTCATGCGAGTTCTTTGTGCCAAGTTTGGTTCAACTCCATCGTTGGTACAGTTCAGAATGCTGTTTGATTGTAGGTGAACTTTAAATCCCAGCTAATACAACTCTCAAATGACAAAATCAACCTTACCGCAACCCCACCAGTATTCAAATTTGGGTATTTCTGCCAAATTTGGTCCAGTGAATGAAAATACATCCTGCATATCAGATATTTACATTACGGTTCATAACAGTAGCAAAATTACAGTTATGAAGTAGCAACGAAAATAATTTTATGGTTGGTCACCGGCATTAGGAAGCATTAGGAAGGTTGAGAACCACTCGTATAGATAGATAGATAGATAGATAGATAGATAGATAGATAGATAGATAGATAGATAGACTGATAGATAGATAGATAGATAGTGTCGAAAGAGTCCTCCAAAGGTCATCCAGTCCACCCGATAGACAGAAAAACTGGTAGATAGATAGACAGACAGACATAGTTGAATAGACAGTGTTGCAGGAGACCATCACATGACAGCCAGTCCAATCTGATATCTATATCTATATCCATAGATACCTATGTATCCAAGGCCTCCTGGTGGCCCAGCAGGTCAAAACACTGAGCTGCTGAACTTGCTGACTGAAAGGTCAGCGGTTCGAATCTGGGGAGCGGAATGAGCTCCCTCTGTTAGCCCCAGCTTCTGCCAACCTAGCAGTTCGAAAACATGCAAATGTGAGTAGATCAATAGGTACCACCTTGGCGGGAAGGTAACGGTGCACCATGCAGTCATGCTGGCCATATGACCTTGGAGGTGTCTATGGACAACACCAGCTCTTCAGTTTAGAAATGGAGATGAGCACCACCACCCAGAGTCGGACACAACTAGACTTAATGTCAAGGGGAAAGCTTTACCTTTCCATAATAAAAGTGGGAAAAAATTATGTGTGTATGTGACTGAGGTGCCCACCTTCACAGACAGACTCCCACTTCCACAAACATTTATGATCCCACCCATGAGAAGCCACCAATGACTCTCCTTCCAAGGACATGGCAGGTTATAGCGAGTGCCATGAACATGTACAAACCCTGCCAGTGTCCTCCACAAACACAAGACTGCCCACCACCCCAACGAGCACTTTCATACAGGGACAATTTCATCCTAGTTTTTATGTGTTTCCTCCACCACAGACATCTCAGTGTTTCTGGCTCCCTCCATTGGTGTGGAATTTGCATGATCCCGCCCACTGCCTCTTCCATAACCCTTTCCTACTCTTTGCTATGGCACTCAGCAAACAGAGGAATTGATTAGCAACCGAACATACTAGAGAGGTTTGGGGGACTGACTCAACATGATGGAAGTTGTAGTTCATCCTGCATCAAGACAGAGCACTATGACCCCCGCCAACAACAGACCTGAACCAGATTTGGTACACAAAATCCGCATGACCAACGAAAAATACTGGAGAGATTTCAGGGGAATTGACCTTGATTTATAGGAGTTGTAGTTCATATCCAGAGAGCACTGTGAACCCAAAGAATGATGGATCTGGACCAAACTTGGCATACACACCCGATATGCCCAAATTCTAATACTGGTGGGTTTTGGGGGGAATTGTCCTTGACATTTGGGAGTTGTACACAGCAAACAGAGGAATTGTTCAGCAACTGATCATAGAGAGATTTGGGGAGAATTCGCCATGATTTATGGGACTCGTAAGTACTGGGATGTATAGTTCACTTGGAATCTAAGAGCACTCTGAACGTCGCCAATGATGGATCTGGACCTAACTTAGAACACAACATTCCTATGACCAACAAAAAATAATGGAGGGCTTTGGAGGGAATTCACCTTGATGTGGGAGAGTTGTAGTTCACCTCCATCCAGATAGCTCTGTGAATTCAAATGGTGATTCATGCATGGCTGATATACCCAAATGTGAATACTGGAAAGGTTTGAGAGGAATAGATCTCTAGTTTTGGGAGTTGTGGTTTACCTACAACCAGAGAAACTGTGAACCCCACCGATGCTGGATCTGGATCAAACTTGGCATAAGACACAATCCAAGCCCTCCTAACAGTTAGCCATCTAGTTTGAGTGGCAGTTCTTTGGGTGTACAATTGTCCTTCTCCATCTTGAACTGGACCCAGGGTTATTCCAAGTGAGGTTTGACCAAAGCAGAAGAGAGTGGTCTAGGACTTCCTCCTTATCCTTTCATTGATGCAACCTGAAATGTGCTGATATGCTGCATGGTACAGTGACTTGCATGTTGGACCCATTCAGCTGCGAGAAGTCACATCCTCTCAGCCTCAGAGAAAGGCAAAGGCTCTGAAAAAAACCTTAATTCATGGCTCTGCAAATATGAAACATCTCTTTTTTTTCCTTCCCGCACTCAATTATCCATCCTTTCATTCCCTTCTACCAAGCCCCTTCCCAACCGAGGAAGAATTGGTTGCCGCGGCAACCAGAAAATACATGTGGTCCATGGCCGTCTCCATGGTAACCGCTCGGGTTTTTTTTTTTCCATAGTAATTTTATCCCATTTTTACTCCAGTTGAGAGGAGAGTGAGATGTGTCTACAGAAATGTAGTGGTTTAAATAGCAAAATGGTCCCTTAATAATGGGGGTGTCCCTCTTTTTTGGGACTGTTATACTGAGTGGAAATATGGCTTTTTATTTACAGAATTGCTTTCTAGTTCGTCTTTTGGAATATGTCTACTGAGCTTTGAGGAGAGGTGGGAAGCAAATGAAAGATGTTGTTGTTGTTGTTATTATTATTATTAACTTGAGTGTCTGGCATTGCCTGTGTTATTTGAAAAAGTCAGTTTACTAATTATACAAAAAACATAAAGTTGTGGGTGAACTACAACTCACATCATGCCAGGTTAACCCCGAGAAACTCCATCAGTACTTAACGTTTGTCATGTTGGTCAAGTTTGTTCTAGCTGCATCATCGGTGGGGCTCAGTATGCTCTCTGGCTGCAGGGTAAACTACAACTCCCACTATGGTGAGCCAGTCCGCTCAAACCCCTCCAGTAGGTTAAGTTGGTCATGGGGGTTCTGTGTGCCAAGTTTGGGCCAGGTCCATCTTTGTTCAGAGTGCTCATTGATTGCAAGTGAACTATAAATCCCAGTACCTACAACTCCAAAATGTCCAGGCCAATTCCTCTCAAACCACACCAGTTTTCAAATTTGGATGTATCAGGTATGCATGCCAAGTTTGGTCCAGATCCATCAGTGTTTGGGTTCATAGTGCATTCTGGATGTAGGTGAACTAAAACTCCTACAAACCCCACCAAAAACCTCCAGTATTTTTTGTTGGTCATGGGGGTTCTATGTGGCAAGTTAGTTCCAGGTTCATTGTTGGTGGACTCCAGAGTGCTCTTAGATTGCAGGTGAACTATACATCCCAGTAACTACAACTCCTATAGATCATGGTGAATTCTCCCCAAATCTCTCTAGTATGTTCCGTTGCTGAACAATTCCTCTGTTTCCTGTGTGCCATAGAAAAGAATAGGAAAGGGTTAAGGGAGAGGCAGTGGGCGGGGACATGTAAATTCCACACCTATGGAGAGAGTAAGAAACAATGGGATGTCTGTGGTGGAGGAAAAACATAAAATCTAGGATGGAATTGTCCCTGTTTGAAAAGCTTCACTCAGGTGTTGTAATTGTGGAGGACATCAGCAGGCCTCTTGGACATGTTTATGACACTCTCTATTACCTGACGTGTCACTGGAGGGAGGGCCATTGGTTTCTCCAGAGCAGTGGGAGCTATAGCTGTTTGTGGAGGCAGGAGCCTGGTTGTGTAAGTGGACACTCATACATCTTTTCACTTTTATTATGTTTATAGATTATGATTATGATTATGATTATTATTATTACCACAACAAGACGAGTCCAAAGCAGACACTCTGCTGGCTGTTGTATTGGATCACACGTCGGACACTTCCCAAGTGTCTAGGACTGTGTGATGTATCGGCGAATAATGCGTGCAGATCCCAGTAAGGTGGCCTTCTGCAGCTGGAAGATGGTAATCTTGTCAACGCCAATTGTGTTTAAGTGCAGGCCAAGGTCTTTAGGCACTGCACCCAGTGTGCTGATCACCACTGGGACCACCTTGACTGGCTTGTGCCGGAGTCTTTGCAGTTCGATCTTTAAATCCTCATATCGTGTCAGCATTTCCAGTTGTTTCTCTTCAATCCTGCTGTCACCTGGGATTGCAACATCAACAATCCACACTTTGTTTTTTAACACGATCGTGAGGTCAGGAGTATTATGCTCCAAAACTCTGTCTGTCTGAATTCGGAAGTCCCAGAGTAACTTGACATGTTCATTCTCTGTAACTTTTTCCGTCTTGTGATCCCACCAGTTCTTTGTTGCAGGCAGATGGTATTTGTGGCACAAGTTCCAATTAATCATCTGAGCAACGGTGTTGTGCCTCTGCTTGTAGTCTGTCTGTGCGATCTTCTTGGCAGCAGCTGAGGATGTGATCTATTGTTTCATCTGCTTCCTTGCAGAGTCTACATTTGAATTATTATTATTATTATTATTATTATTATTATTATTATTATTATTATTCTGTCAGAAGAAGGCATTGCCTCCAAAACAACAGCATTTCCTACACAGAAAAAGCAATTTCTTTGCACAGAAACAGCATTTGGTGATCCTCTGCCCTTGGCTTAGTGTAGACTCACCCTGAGACGAAGATGTGAGGACTAAGAGGTAGAGCAACTGGGAACTGTACTTGGGGTTCCCATGCAGCTTCCGCATTTGTTGACCACTCCGAATTGCTAATATCTGTCATTCTTTCCCTTTCTTTTCCCCAGATGGCGCGGCCGATCCAGGTGAAGCCGGCGGACAGCGAAAGCCGTGGAGGTAGTTGTGGTCATCTCTCCTTGTTTCGATGCTCAGAGGGTGGGTTACTCTGCCTTTGCCAAAGGTGGGATCCCAATGGAATCAGGAATGTCAGGAAAAAGAGATTCCACCTAAACATTTGGAAGAATCTCCAGGCAGGAAGAATCTCCTGGCAGGAAGAGCCTTTCGGCTCTGAATGAATATGAAGTGTGGTGGAGTTTCCTTGGCTGGCCATCTGTCGGGAGGGCTTGGATGGGGTCTTGGAGACCTCTTCCCATTCGAGGATTCTCCCCTTTTCTGCTATTCTTTAAACCCTCCCGAATTTCTCATTTCAGCATCAATTAACTTTCATTTGGAAGATCCCTTTTGATCGTATTCTTCAGTTCCTTGTTCCCCTCGATCCTGTTCACATCACCAAGACCTTTCCTAATCCTTGCACCTTAATGTCTCCGACCGTCTTTTGCATGTAGAATCAGACTGTATATATTCTGCCATGACTTGTTTACATCTCTTTCCAACCTTATGTTACTCCTTGTGGCAGATTGGTTAAATATTCCTCTTCTATTATTAATCCAATGGTTTGTTCTTTTCAAAAAAACATTTTGGGTTATACATTTGTCCTTAACCCAAATCCCCATATGTCTTTCAACAGAGGCTGGATGGCCATCTGTTGGGAGGGCTTGCACGGTGCCTTTCTTAATGACAGAGGAGGGTTGGACTGGATGGCCATCTGTTGGGAGGTCTTTCATGTTGCCTTCCTTAATGGCAGAAGAGGGTTGGACTGGATGGCCATCAGTTGGGAGGGCTTGCATGGTGTATTCCTTAATGGTAAAGAGGGTTGGGCTGGATGGCTCTCAGTTGGGAGGGCTTGCATGGTGCCTTCCTTAATGGCGGAAGAGGGTCAGACTGGATTGCCATCTGTTGGGAGGGCTTGCATGGTGCCTTTCTTAATGACAGAAGAGGGTTGAACTGGATGGCTATCTGTTGGGAGGGCTTGCATGGTGCCTTCGTTAATGACAGAAGAAGGTTGAAATGGATGGCCATCTGTCGGGAGGGCTTGTATGGTTCCTTCCTTAATGGCGGATGAGGGTCGGCCATCTGTTGGGAGGGCTTGCATGGTGCCTTTGTTAATGACAGGGGAAGGTTGAAATGGATGGCCATCTGTCGGGAGGGCTTGTATGGTTCCTTCCTTAATGGCGGAAGGTCAGACTGGATTGCCATCTGTTGGGAGGGCTTGCATGGTGTCTTTCTTAATGACAGAAGAGGGTTGAACTGGATGGCCATCTGTTGGGAGGGCTTGCATGGCGCCTTCGTTAATGACAGAAGAAGTTTGAAATGGATGGCCGTCTGTTGAGAGGGCTTGCATGGTGCATCACTTAATAGTGGAAGAGAGTTGGACTGGATGGCTATATGTCGGGAAGGCTTGCATGGTGCATTCCTTAATGGCAGAAAAGGCTCGGACTGGGTGGCCATCTGTCAGGAGGGGTTAGATGGTGCCTTCCTTGATGGCAGAAGGGGATCAGACTGGATGACCGTCTGTTGGGTGGGCTGGAAGAGTGCCTTCCTTAATGGACTGGATGGCCATCTGTCGGGAAGGCTTGCATGGTGCATTTCTTAATGGCAGAAAGGGCTCGGACTGGATGGCCATCTGTCAGGAGGGCTTAGATGGTGCCTTCCTTAATGGCAAAAGGGGATCGGACTGGATGATTGTCTGTTGGAAGGGCTGGAAGAGTGCCTTCCTTAATGGACTGGATGACTTCGTGGTGTGTGTGTGTGTGTGGGGGGGGGGGGTTCCTTGCAAGTCTAGGATGCTATGACTCTATGGAGGTTAAATGGTCCTCCTTGATGGCATCCTAACAGGATGCAAATCCACGTGTGAGCCTGACAACCTTCTGGAGGGCAAGAGATTACATCATTCAGCGCCTATCACTGAGAAGTCCCCCACTTCTATGTCTCTTTAGATTCTACATATTTCCCTATATAGAGAAGCAGTCTCTATTCTGAAGTCCTCCCTTCTTTGTTAGTGGCTGGGAGATTCTGCCTCCCCCCCCCCCTTTCCATATATACATATATACATACACATACACAAACACACGCACACACTTTGTCTCTGACTGTTGGAGTCGCATTTCCATGGAAACCCATCCTCTCCCAAGGGATCTGGCGGCTGATGTCCAGATGGGCAGGTTGGATACGGAGGGATCAGAAGGCCCTGAGAATTTTTTCCTTTTTTGTGTGTGTGTAAGAAACCGCCGCATTTGTGGTGGAATATAGGAGGTTGCAGAGGAGATAATAGGGCGGTTGGAGATCTCCGCCGCGTCTCCCGGAGGCGTCTTCCTCCCAACGGGATCCGCAGCTGAGCTTCAAGAAAGACGTCTCCTTGAATCTGGCACAGAGGGAGTGGCCTCCTTCTGGCTTTTCCTCCATTTAATTTAGTCCAAGGTTTTGGGCCAAAGCGCCTTACCCCAAACCCCGGGAAACTTCCTCATGCCAGAGAAGGAAATAAAATAAGATTCTTCCTTCCGTCTCTTCACACGTTCGATTCTCGCTCATATCCTGCAGTTTCCCCATGCACTTCATTGTAAGGAAGTATTTGCTGGGAGTCCATTCTTTATTGGATTTCTGTTAGTTGCTTTTACATCTCCCATGTCCTGATCCGAATCTAGATCCTTCCCTGGAGCATCCTTTTGCTTTCAACATTTCTCTGTTTTTCTCATTCCTAACAGCAGAAAAGGTTGTGAATCAGATCCCCTTGCGATTCATATAAACATAGAGTCAGAAGGACCCGAGAACTATATAACACACTTCAATGCCATTCAGATTCCTTTATACGGCTCTACAGTGACTTAAACTGCATTATATGGTCAGTGTCGACCCATATAATGTTGGGACTCAGATCCCATTGAGATTCATATAAACATAGAGTCAGAAGGACCCGAGAACTATATAGCACACTTCAATGCCATTCAGATTCCTCTATACGGCTCTACAGTGACTTAAACTGCATTATATGGTCAGTGTCGACCCATATAATGCACTTCAACACAGTTCAGACGCCATTATATGGGTCTGTACTTACCCAAACTGCATTATGGTCAGTGTAAACCCACGCAATCCACTTTAATGCTGTTCTGACTCCATGACATGGGTCTACACTGGCCCGAACTGTATTATATGGCAGTGTAGATCTTGGCGGGCTATGCGATCGGGTGTCCGTGCTAAGTCCGGCGTCAGATCCAACCTGAGTTGAATGGAGACATGGTCCTAAATCTTCCAGGTTCCACTTCTGACACACTCACTGCCAAACCACAGTGTTTATTCATGGATTGGCCAAATTTTGGCCCCTGAAAGTTAATGATTCTCTGTTGTTGTGATGGTGGTTGTTTACTTCTAGGAGACCGGAAACTCTTTGTGGGCATGCTGAACAAGCAGCAGTCAGAAGAAGACATCCTCCGCCTCTTTGAGCCCTTTGGGGCTATTGACGAATGCACTGTCTTGCGAGGACCGGACGGCAATAGCAAAGGTCAGCCTTGTCCTTTTGCCTCTATTCCTTTCTGGCAGTCTGTTCACCAAACACAACTAGGAAGTGTTAGATGTGGGAAGGAAAAGAGGGGTACAACTCTTGCAGAGGGCTTTATTCTCACCCGCTGCTTTTCCTTCTTCTCCTTTTCCTCGCACCTTCCAGGATGCGCTTTTGTGAAATTCTCCTCTCATACAGAAGCCCAGGCAGCCATCCATGCACTCCATGGCAGCCAAACAATGCCTGTGAGTATGAATCCACAATGCTTTTGTGATACTTCTCTGTGTGCAGTAGGGATTGATTCTGCATCAAAAGTTGCCAGCCACCAGCCAGAGTTTGGTGGAGTATCATTTTCTGGAGGTATTAAAGTAGAAGCTAGGTTGTTATCTGTCGGGGGGGGGGGGGGGTTGATTGTGCCTTCCTTAATGGCAGAAGTGGGTTGGGCTGGATGACCATCTGTCGGGAGGGATTGGTTGGCACCTTCCTTAATGGCAGGAGGGGATTGGACTGGATGGCCACCTGTCGGGAAGGATTGGATGGCATCTTCCTTAATGGCAGGAGGGGTTTGGACTGGATGGCCATCTGTCGGGAGAGATTGGATGGTGCCTTCCTTAATGGCAAAAGTGGGTTGGACTGGATTGCCATCTGTTGGGAGGGATTGGTTGGTGCCTTCCTTAATGGCAAGAGGGGGTTGGACTGGATGGCCATCTGTTGGGAGAGATTGGACGGTGCCTTCCTTAATGGCGGAAGGGGGTTGGACTGGATGGCCATCTGTTGGGAGGGATTGGATGGCATCTTCCTTAATGGCAGAAGGGGGTTGGACTGGATGGCCATCTGTCAGGAGATATTGGATGGTGCCTTCCTTAATGGCAAAAGTGGGTTGGACTGGATTGCCATCTGTTGGGAGGGATTGGTTGGTGCCTTCCTTAATGGCAAGAGGGGGTTGGACTGGATGGCCATTTGCCGGGAGGGATTGGATGGCATCTTCCTTAATGGCAGGCGGGGGTTGGACTGGATGGCCATCTGTTGGGAGAGATTGAACGGTGCCTTCCTTAATGGCAGAAGAGGGTTGGACTGGATGGCCATCTGTCAGGAGGGCTTGTATGCAGTCTGTCAGAAATATTAAAAATTAACTGAGTATTTTTTAATTACAAAAGTGTGAGTCAAGAAGTGAAAGAGTTAGTAGGCCGAAGCTTGTTCGAGTTAGTGGATCTAAGCTAGTGTTGTCCTGAGGAGGGTGAGATGAACCTCTGTGTGAGAGAAGCCTTGTGTGAGAAAGCTCCAGTGTGAAGGCTACTGTATGTAAAGCTACTATGTGTTTGTTTATTTGTGTTATGGAAGTCTAGGTCTTGTAAATAGTGCAACCATATTATTTTTCAACAAAGAAAAGCCTCCTATGGAATTGGTAACATAACATTGTTTTTGGGCTACTGGTGTTGGGTCACGCCGCTGCTAATAAGCTACTCTGTTGTACATTTATGGTGCCTTTCTGAATGGCAGAAAGGGCTTGGACTGAATGGCCATCTTTTCGGAGGGATTGGGTGGTGTCTTCCTTAATGGCAGAAGGGGGCTGGACGGGATGTCCATCTCTCGGGAGGGATTGGATGTTGTCTTTCAAAATGGCAGAAGGAGGCCGGACCAGACGGCCCTCTGTCAGGAGGGTTTGGATGGTGTCTTCCTACCTGATAGAATGAACTGTATAGAAGTCCTCTATCTTCCTCCTCCCCTTCTTTCCTCCTCCCCTTCTTTCCTCCTCCCCTTCTTTCCTTCCTCTCCCTCTTTCCTTCCTCTCCCTCTTTCCTTCCTCTCCCTCTTTCCTTCCTCTCCCTCTTTCCTTCCTCTCCCTCCTTCCCTCCTTCCCTCCTTCCCTCCTTCCCTCCTTCCCTCCTTCCCTCCTTCCCTCCTTCCCTCTTTCCTTCCTCTCCCTCTTTCCTTCCTCTCCCTCTTTCCCTCTTTCCTCTTTCCCTCCTTTTCCCTTTCCTTTTCCTCTTTCCCTTTCCTTTCCCTCCTTCCTCCTTCCCTCTTCCCTCTTTCTCCTTCCTCCTTTCCTCTTTCCCTCCTTTCCTCCTTCCCCTTCCCCCCTTCCTTCTTCCCTCTTTCCTTCCTTCCTCCTCCTTCTCTCCCTCCCTCCCTCCCTCCCTCCTTCCTTCCTCTTCCTTCCTTCCTTCCTTCCTTCCTTCCTTCCTTCCTTCCTTCCTTCCTTCCTTCCTCCAGGGTGCCTCCTCCAGCCTCGTAGTGAAATTTGCTGACACAGACAAGGAGCGGACGCTGCGCCGGATGCAACAGATGGTGGGGCAGCTGGGCATCCTCACCCCGTCCTTTGCCTTGCCTTTCAGCCCCTACGGGGCCTACGCGCAGGCGGTGAGTCTCCTTGCCCAGAGAACCCAGGTGGGAAAAGAGCCAGGGGCGAAACGCTTGTTACCCCAAGCTGAACCTGAGCCAAGAATGTGATGCGGCAGCTAAAAGGGTCAGTGCGATTCCAGGCTTTCACCAATAGGAACATAGTGTCTGGATCAAGGGAACAGTCCTTTGATGTGGCCTCCCTTGGAATAAGACCCCTCTGGTCACAATTCAAGGAGGAGATGGACAATGTGTCCAGTGAAGGGTGATGAAAATGATGCCCAAACGTCTGGAAACAATGAATCTTTACCTACAGTGGCAAAAATCCATTTGCTTGCCTGTTTTTGCAGCTGATGCAGCAGCAGACAGTCCTGTCGGCGTCACACAGCAACTTCGTCAGCCCGACCCTCACCTTCTCTCCGTGCCACATCCAGCAGATCGGCACTGTCAGCCTCAACAACTTGCCCAGCTCTCCCATCACACAGACATCAGGTATGTATATATCTTGCAAGGGAGTGTGCAGCAGTAAATGTACAAGGAGTGTTGGGAAAGGCCTGCAAGCCAAGCCTTGTGAGATCAAGGTTTCTAGAAGTAGTAGGACACCACCCACTAGATGGGAGCCAACAGCGTGAAGTGGCAGCGAAAACAACCCATGCGATTCCAGGCTGGATCCATAGGGGTCTAGATAATAATAATAATAATAATAATAATAATAATAATAATAACAACAACAACAACAACAACAACAACAACAACAACACCACTTTATTTATACCCCGCTACCATCTCCCAAGGAACTCGGTGCGGCTTACATGAGGCTGACCCCGCAACACATCAATCACAAAGCAATAACAACAAATAATACAAAGCAATAAAATAAAACTCATAACAAAAAAGCAATAAACATTAACAATAACACAGTGACAGTTAAAACCTATGGCTGGGCCAGATGCAATAATTAAAATTTAAAGATAATGCCGAGCATGAACAGATGAATATGAACTAGGATAGAGTTTTTAGAGAGGGATGGTGCAGGCAGACATTCCTAGATCCATAAAAAAGTGCATTTAGAGGACATAATGCTGGGAGTTTCCTTATTCTGGGAAGGCACACTGGAACAACCACGTTTTCAGGCTCCTCATAAAAACTGCCAGCGTTGGGGCATGCCTGATGTCCTTGGGGAGTGAGTTCCATAGTCAAGGGGCCACCACCGAGAAAGCCCTCTCCCTCGTCCCCACCAATCTTTTCTGCTTTGGTCAGTTCCCCCCAAACTCCTTTAGTAATCACATTTTGGCATATCAGGTTTGTGTTCCAAGTTTGGTCCAGATCCATCAATGTTTGGGTTCATAGTGCTCTCTGGATGTAGGTGAACGACAACTCCCCCAAATCGAGGTGAATTTTCCCCAAAGACCTCCAGTATTTTACTGGTCGTGGGGTCTCTGTGTGCCAAGTCCGGTCCAATTCCATCTTTGGTGATGTTCACAGTGCTCTTTGATTGCAGGTGAACTATCAATCCTAATACCTACAACTCCAAAATGTCCATGCCAATCCCCCTTAAGCCCTACCAGTATTCCAATTTGGGCATATTGGGTATGCGTGCCAAGTTTGGTCCAGATCCGTCATTGTGGACCTAAGCTAGTGTTGTCCTGGGGAGCAACCGCCCTGAGTCGCCTTCGGGCTGAAATGAGCGGGATAGAAATAATGTAAATAAATAAATTCAAGGTGCAGGTCATGACCTGTAAAGCCCTAAACAGTTCGGGCCCCGCCTATCTCAGCGATTGTATCTCCTTCTATGAACCGGCGCGAGCTCTAAGATCTTCTGGGAAGGCCCTCCTCTCGGTCCCACTACTGTCTCAAGCACACTTGGTGGGAACGAGAGAGAGGGCCTTCTCAGTGATGGCCCCCCATCTCTGGAACGCCCTTCCAAGGGAAATAAGACAGGCCCCATCCCTCCCCTCCTTTCGTAAGAGCTTGAAGACCTGGTGGTTTCAACAAGCCTTTGAAAATGACCAGTTCTAACTCAGCCCCACACATTGTCTAATACGGCCTTATTCTTCCTACCAGTTACCCAGATTCTTTCCTCTAATTGGCCCTGAAATGGACAGTCACAGACCTAATATTATTGTTGCCTGCCATAGCATTGCACTTAATTCCCAGGCCCCCTAGAATTTTTGGGCTTGCACAAATCTTGGCCTGGCCTTTTAAATTTTAAATTGCCTTGAACAGGCAGGATTACTTTTAATATATGCGTGTTATGGCGGCAGTTTTTATGCTTATATTTTGTTTGATTATCTTATGATTATGTTGTTTTTACTCTGTATGTTTTGTGATATTACTTTGGAACCGCTCTGAGTCACCTCGGGGAGATGGAACGGTATATAAATAAAGTATTATTATTATTGTTTGGGTTCATAGTCCACTCTGGATGTCGGTGAACTACAACTCCTATAAATCCCTACAAATACCTCCAGTATGTTTTATTGGTTGTGGGGGTTCTGTGTGCCAAGTTAGTTCTAGGTCCATCATTGGTTGAGTTCAGAGTGTTCTGAGATTGCAGGTGAACTATACATCGCAGGTGAACTATACTCCTATAAATTATGGTGAATTCTCCCCAAACCTCTCTAGTATGTTCTGTTGCTCATCAATTCCTCTGTTTGCTGTGTGCCATAGAAAAGAATAGGGAAGGGTTAAGGGGGAGACAGTGGATGGGATCATGCAAATTCAACACCAATGGAGAGAGTCAGCAGCACTGGGATGTCTGTGGAGGAGGAAACACATGAAATCTAGGAGGAAATTGTCCCCGTATGAAAGCATCCACTTGAGTGGTGGGCAGTGAGGTGTTGGTGGAGGACATTGGCTGGGCTCTTGGACATGTTCATGGCGCTCACTGTAACCTGCAATGTCATTGGAGGAAGGGCCATTGGAGGTGTCTCCAATGGCCCTCCCTCCAATGTGGGAGCTATAGCCGTTTGTGGAGGCAGGAGCTTGTCTATGTAAGTGGACACCCCAGCTATACACACACATACATATTTTTACTTTTATTATGTGTATAGATAAAGATAGGTAGATAGATAGATTTATATACCACTTTATTATTATTATATTTACATATCACTTTTTCATGCATAGATATAAGATGGGTGAAACCTGGCTTGAAAACAGTCCAAGGAGTTTTAGGGGACCACAAGCTGAACAGGAGCCAACAGTGTGATGCTGTAGCTAAAAAGGCCAATACGATTCTAGGTTAATGTTTGGATATTTGACTTAAAAGGATCTAGGGGTCTCAGAAGACCAGGAGCCAACAGCGTGATGCAGTAGTGAGGCGCACTAATGTGATTCCAGGTTGCATTTATAGGAGTCTAGTGTCCGAGGGAAGTCGTCGTCCCATGACTTAAGGAATGACTTAAGGATCAGGGGATTTTAGCTCTGGGAAGAGAAGGCTGAAAGAAGGGGCCATGAGAGCCATGTTTGAATACCTGGAAGGATGCCCCATTGAGGAAGGGGGAAAGCTTGTTGTCTAGTCTAGAGACTATGATATATAGATCTATGGATCCAAATGTCAGAGATTCTGCCTAAACGTTAGGAGCTTCCTAATAGAAAGAGCTGTTAAAAAGTCAAATATGCTGCCTGGCCATTTATCGGGTGGGATCAGATGATGTCACTGTCAGAAATATTAAAAATTGACTGGGTATTAAGCACTGAAAGAGTTAGTAGGCTGAAGCCTGTTGGAGTCATTGAGCCAAAGCTAGTGTCACCCTGAGGAGAGTGAGTAGGCCGAAGGCTGTTAGAGTCATTGGGTCAAAGCTAGTGTCGTCCTGAGGAGAGTGAGTAGGCCGAAGCCTGTTAGAGTCAGTGGGCCAAAGCTAGTGTCGTCCTGAGGAGAGTGAGTAAGCCGAAGCCTGTTAGAGTCAGTGGGCCAAAGCTAGTGTCACCCTGAAGAGAGTGAGTAGGCCGAAGGCTGTTAGAGTCATTGGGCCAAAGCTAGTGTCAACCTGAGGAGAGTGAGTAGGCCGAAGGCTGTTAGAGTCATTGGGCCAAAGCTAGTGTCACCCTGAGGAGAGTGAGTAGGCCGAAGGCTGTTAGAGTCATTGGGCCAAAGCTAGTGTCACCCTGAGAAGAGTGAGTAGGCCGAAGGCTGTTAGAGTCATTGGGCCAAAGCTAGTGTCACCCTGAAGAGAGTGAGTAGGCCGAAGGCTGTTAGAGTCATTGGGCCAAAGCTAGTGTCGTCCTGAGGAGAGTGAGTAGGCCAAAACCTGTTAGAGTCAGTGGGCCAACGCTAGTGTCACCCTGAGGAGAGTGAGTAGGCCGAAGCCTGTTAGAGTCATTGGGCCAAAGCTAGTGTCACCCTGAAAAGAGTGAGTAGGCCGAAGACTGTTGGAGTCATTGGGCCAAAGCTAATGTCGTCCTGAGGAGAGTGAGTAGGCCGAAGCCTGTTAGAGTCAGTGGGCCAAAGCTAGTGTCGTCCTGAGGAGAGTGAGTAGGCCAAAGCCTGTTAGAGTCATGGCCAAAGCTAGTGTCGTCCTGAGGAGAGTGAGTAGGCCAAAGCCTGTTAGAGTCAGTGGGCCAAAGCTAGTGCCGTCCTGAGGAGAGTGAGTAGGCCAAAACCTGTTAGAGTCAGTGGGCCAAAGCGAGTGTCACCCTGAAGAGAGTGAGTAGGCCGAAGCCTGTTAGAGTCAGTGGGCCAAAGCTAGTGTCGTCCTGAGGAGAGTGAGTAGGCCGAAGCCTGTTAGAGTCAGTGGGCCAAAGCTAGTGTCGTCCTGAGGAGAGTGAGTAGGCCGAAGCCTGTTAGAGTTAGTGGGCCACAGCTAGTGTCGTCCTGAGGAGAGTGAGTAGGCCAAAGCCTGTTAGAGTTAGTGGACCAAAGCTAGTGTCCTGAGGAGAGTGAGTAGGCCAAAGCCTGTTAGAGTCAGTGGGCCAAAGCTAGTGTCGTCCTGAGGAGAGTGAGTAGGCCAAAGCCTGTTACGAGTCAGTGGGCCAAAGCTAGTGCCGTCCTGAGGAGAGTGAGTAGGCCGAAGCCTGTTAGAGTCAGTGGGCCAAAGCTAGTGTCATCCTGAGGAGAGTGAGTAGGCCGAAGCCTGTTAGAGTCAGTGGGCCAAAGCTAGTGTCGTCCTGAGGAGAGTGAGTAGGCCGAAGCCTGTTAGTCATTGGGCCAAAGCTAGTGTCACCCTGAGGAGAGTGAGTAGGCCAAAACCTGTTAGAGTCAGTGGGCCAAAGCTAGTGTCGTCCTGAGTACAGTGAGTAAGCCAAAGCCTGTTGAGTCAGTAGGCCAAAGCTCGTGCCGTCCTGAGGAGAGTGAGTAGGCCGAAGCCTGTTAGAGTCAGTGGGCCAAACCTAGTGTCTTCCTGAGGAGAGTGAGTAGGCCGAAGCCTGTTAGAGTCAGTGGGCCAAAGCTAGTGTCTTCCTGGGGAGAGTGAGTAGGCCGAAGCCTGTTAGAGCCAGTGGGCCAAAGCTAGTGTCACCCTGAGGAGAGTGAGTAGGCCGAAGCCTGTTAGAGTCAATGTGCCATCTAGTGTCACCCTGAGTGGAGTGAGTAGGCTGAAGCCTGTTAGAGTCAGTGGGCCAAAGATGGCGTCGTCCTGAGGAGTGTGAGAGAAGCCTTGTGTGAGAAAGCTTCAGTGTGAAGGCCGCTGCGTGTAAAGCTACTGTGTGTTTGTTTGTGTTATTGAAACCTTGTAATTAGTGCAGCCATATTATTTCACTACAAAGAAGAGCCTCCTATGGAAGGGATAACATGGTGTGTTTTTGTTCTTCTTATCACTTTGGGCTACTGATGCTGGGTCATGCTGCTACTCATAAGTTACTCTGCTGTAGATTTATGAGGAGGGTCTTTTGTTAATAAGCCCACTTGCCCAACAGTCACTAGCCATTCCTTGATTTTATGGGGGGGGGGGGGGTGAGAAGCAAAAACCAAACAAACCCATAACATGAGCTCCTTTTCATCCCTTTAGGTTTACATTCACCCTCCCTGCTGGGCAGCACTGCCGTTCCAGGGCTGGTGGCCCCCCTCACCAACAGCTTTGCTGGCGTGGTCCCCATTCCCAGCAGCCACCATCCCAGCCTGGAGGCTGTCTATGCCAACGGGCTGGTGCCCTGCACAGGTAACGGGGGCAAGTGACCCTTTTGGACTATGGATGTCGTCATTCTCATTCTGACAACTCTGTTCGACTGCCAAAGGAAGGGCTCAGTGGTGTTGTTTTCTCACCTTCTCACAGCACTGTCTATGAATCAGAGCAGGGAAATTCAACTCCCAGCATCCCTGACCGTTGTCTCATGCACCTGAGGCTTCTGGGAGCTGAAGTCCGACACAGCTGGTGTGGGAATTATGAATCAGAGGGAAGTTGTGAAAGGGAGAAGTGTAGTTATCTAGTGTTATCTAAGGGGAGACAAGGATCATGACAGATAATAGGTATGAGCTTTGTAAAATTATTTTTATTAACAACTAGCTTGGGTACCTGGTGTTGCCACACACATATATGCATATTATCATTTTTATTATGGGTATAGATTGTATACCATTTTTTAAATCTTAGGTTCAATAATTCTGTGTTTAACCTATGCTTATTAGTATAAGGAGTGGGGTAATAGGGAGTAAGAACCAACAGACAATGAGTGTGTACTTTCTAGAATAATATTTTAATAATGATGATGATGAATATTAATTATAATTTTTAATGCTGCTACCACTTTTTTCTCTCAAAAGAGAATAGTTTCAGTTGTTGTGTGCTTAATCCAAGTTTACGTCTTAGGTGAGTGCATTGGTTTTAGATTTAGCTGTGTTACATGTCGTTACATTGATGTTTTATTCTTATTCTTATTATTACTATGTTTTTCTTTAATGTGCTCCAAACTCAGTGGGGTTTGGATGAGTGACATTCTCCTTTTTCTCATCTTCTCCCACTGAGATGCTGATGCTGCTGATGATGATAATGATGATGGTGATGATGATGATGAAGCATTTCCTCAATGCACTTCTCCTTTTTTTTAGCTCAGAATCCGTCGGTAGGAGAGGCGCTCCATCCCGCCTTTACCGGAGTCCAGCAATATGCAGGTACCTTCGCTACTCTTGTGCTTCAGGTTGTAGTCCGAACCTCCCCTCTTTGGAAGGGATCGTCTTCATGTCCTTGGCTCGCCCCTTTAGGTCCGGACTAAAGCTTGGCCGTTTCCCCGTCTCTTCCTTGCAGCTGTCTACCCGACGACAACCATCACCCCGGTAGCTCAGGCCATCCCTCAACCTCTTCCCATTATTCAGCAACAGCAGCAGCAGCAGCAACAACAACGAGAAGGTCAGGTGCTTCCCTAGACTGAGACACTGTCCTCCTACTGATGCAACCTTTACTCGTATTGGCCTTTTTCACCGCAGCATCGCACTGTTGGCTCTCCTCAGACTCAGACTTTAATACACTCAACTCTAACTCTTTGTTGCTCAGGTCCGGAAGGCTGCAACCTCTTCATCTATCACCTCCCGCAAGAGTTTGGTGACAACGAGCTGATGCAGATGTTCCTTCCCTTTGGGAACATCATCTCCTCCAAAGTGTTCATGGACCGAGCCACGAACCAAAGTAAATGTTTTGGTGAGTGGATCCGCAGAGGAAGGACGTTGTTCCCTTTATGCAAGGAATTTACTACGGGAGTTCATCCCGCTTGTGTTAAAAGCCTCCTCGATCTTCTCCCTGCTTTTCTTTCTCTCCGTTGCAGGTTTTGTGAGTTTTGACAACCCCTCCAGTGCCCAGACTGCCATCCAAGCGATGAACGGGTTCCAGATTGGCATGAAAAGGTTAAAAGTCCAGTTGAAGCGGCCCAAGGACGCTGGTCATCCCTACTGAGCAGGGATGCAGGTTCGTATAATCAACGTAATTGGGATTTCACATCATCTGATCCCTCTCGACAGATGGGCATCCATCCTCATAGACAGCAGGTTAAATGGAGAAATAGGGGTATAGAATCATTGAATCATAATGCTGGGAGAGACCCCATGGATGATTAGTTCAACACTCTTCTGCTAGACAGGAGGACACAATCAAAATCCTCTAGACAGATGGCCTTTTAGACTATTATTATTACTAATATTGGGACCCAGTGTTCCCTGGGTTATTTGAAAAAGTCAATTTTTAATTGTACAAAATGCATAAGGTTGTGGGTGAACTATAACTCACATGATGCCAGGCTCACCCTGAGAAACTCCACCAGTACTTAAAGTTTGTTATGTTGGACAAATTTGCTTTAGAGGCATCATCGATGGGGTTCAGTGTACTCTCTGGCTGTAGGGTAAACTACAACTCCCACTATAGTGAGTCAGTCCCCTCAAACCCCTCCAGTAGGTTCAGTTGGTCATGGGGATTCTGTGTGCCAAGTTTGGTCCAGGTCCATCGGTGGAGGTCACAGTTTCTCTGGTTGTGGGTGAAGTACAACTCCCAGAAAAGAAGGTTGGTTCTCTCCCCCCCCCCCCCCCCCCCCAAAAAAAAAAAAAAAACCCTCGACATTTTGGGTATGTGTGCCAAGTTTGGTACAGATCCATCAGTGTTTGGGTTCATAGTGCTCTCTGGATGTAGGTGAACTACAGTTCCTATAAATCCCTTCAAAGACCTCCAGTATGTTTTGTTGGTCATGGGGGTTCTGTGTGTTCCAGGTCCATCATTGCAGTTCAGACTGCTCTTAAATTGCAGGCGAACTACACATCTCAGTACCTACAACTCCTATAAATCATGGTGAATGTCCCCCAACTTTGTATGTTCCCTTGCTGATCAATTCCTCTGTTTGCTGTGTGCCACAGAAAGGAGTAGGAAAGGGTTAAGGGAGAGTCAGTGGGCAGGGTCATGCAAATTCCACACCAATGGAGTCAGGAACACTGGGATGTCTGTGGTGGAGGAAAAACAGAAAATCTAGGATGAAATGGTCCTGTATGAAAGCCTTCACTTGGGTGGTGGGCAGTGTGGTGTTGGCGGAGGACATTGGCAGGGCTCTTGGACATGTTCATGGCGCTCACTATAACCTGTCAAAATACACAAAATAATCTATGTCAGGAAAAATTACTCAGGGAGCATAAAGCATATGATATTCAGTGTATACCTCAGTGTAATTCAATGTATTCACATAGAGTGAAATGAAAAGAAGCAACAGCTCTCAAACATAATCCATGTAATACAGTCATATAAAGTAAATTATAAAGGAGCAACCGCTCTCAGACATATAGTTGTAAGATCCCAATATATACAGGTTTCGGGGAAGCATATGCAATACAAACTTTTTTCAAATAAGAGTGAGAAGACAATGAGTAATAAAGTCCACAATCCAGAAGAGAGTGCAAATGGCAGTAGTATCCAAATGATGAAGGAGCTTAGCTCTCAAGAGAAATCTTCGTAGGGAAAATCCTACAGGGATGCCCGGGTAATATTATATACCCTGTTTCGGGGACAAATTCCCCTTTTTCAGGAGTTAATAACACAGTGATATTGGCTCATGTCTATAACAAAACATAGAATAACAAGCAATTACCAGCAAATTTTAAAAAGTGAAGATAACCCATAAAAAAGATAGTTACTTACATAGTGCCTGAAGCTTTACATAGAGTGACTCTGCTGAAGGTGATTCAAATTGCAAGTAATGTAAAAGATCCTTCCACAAGCTTATATAGAATATAGAGGAACTTAGAGGAAACTGCTAAAGTTAAGTGACTCATTAAGTCCCTGAGGAGAAAAGGTTTTAAACTTAAAGATCCAGTACATTTCCCTTTGGGATAATAGTTTTTCCAAGTCCATATGAGGTTTTGGAGTAATACATTCCAGAGCACAAAATTTAAAAGAATTAGGTAAGTGATTACATTGTGTAAAGTGTGAGTATAAAGAGGATTTGGTAGAAAGACATTTAATTCTGGATTTATGTTCTGAGATTCTTGTTTTACCAACATACCATAGATCACAATCACATGCCAAAAGGTAAACGGCATTGCTAATGTTGCATGTGGAGAAATGTTAACGTGTAGTGCCCACTTTGTTTCCATAGTTATAGACCCCCTTGGTCTTCCAGGATTGTGAGCAGCATTTACAATGTCCACAGGGGTAGTGGCCTCTCAAGGTGCTTTTGGGTATAATGGTGGGAGTAGTTAAGTCAGTATGAATTAAGAAATCTCTTATATTTTTAGTACGTCTATTGCCAAAAATGGGTAATCTTTCACAACCAGGAATATCCTGTAGATGATGCCAGTGCTTTTTTATAATTCGGGTGATGTGTTTGGAGTAGTGTGATACTTCTTGAGTCCAAATGATTTGATTTTTGGTAGATTTGGAATATTCTTTCAGTAAGGTGGTTCTATCTATTTTGTCAGTCTTATCTAATGCTTTTCTTATGACATGTTTAGCATAACATCTGCTTCCGAATTCATGGCTTAAAGTAGTACTTTCCTGAGTAAAGTGTTCCTTGGTGATTGAGTTACGCTCAAGAATTTTTGTCAGAGGGTTTTTGAAAGTTCTTAACTAGGAGTTTATTTTGATATTTGTATACTGTAACATCCAAAAAATTAATATGTGATGGGTTAAGATGGATGTATAGTATTAATCCAATTTGAGAATCCCACTGCGGCTTCATTTGTTTTGAATACCATGAATATATCATCAATGAATTGGCCATAATATACAATGTTAGTGTAATAGATATTTATGGATGGATTTAACAAAATGGTATTCTCTAAATTAACCATAAATAACTTAGCAACAGAGGGGGCCAATGGACTTCCCATTGCCACACCACAGACCTGAAAGTAAAATTGATTTTGAAAATGGAAATAATTTTTCTCCAAAACTATATCTAACCGGTCCATCAGGAAATGTGTGGGTGGATGCAACTTGGTTCTGTAATGGAGGACATTTTCTATGGTGGTGTAGGCCTCATCTCATTGAATGTTAGTATAAAGTGAAGTGACATCAATAGTTACCAAAACATTATCCTCTTCTATTTTGAGATTTTCTATAATGTTAATAAAGTGCTTTGTATCTTTGATGTAGGAGTTGCAGAGGGAGACAAAAGGTTGGCAAAAAAGTTCAGGTATTTAGCAGCTGGTTCCAACAGTGAAGATGAACCAGAAATAATTTATTAACTTTATTTATACCCCGCAAAATCTCCCGAAGGACTCGATGCAGCTTACAAAGGCCAAGGTCGCAACAACATACAAATATAACAGTAATGAATCAACCTGGGCGGGGAGATGCCTTTATGAATCTTAGGAAGAATATAAAAGATTGGAATCCTAGGGAAATCATTCTTTAGAAATTTGTAGGTAGACAAAGAGATATATCCCATAGATAATCCGTCTTGACATACAACTCTAATAAGGGACTGAATATGTTTTGTGGGGTCTATTGAAACAGGTTTGTAAAAATTATTATTTGATAACTGAAGATTGACTTCCTTGATGTAATCTTTTTTGTTAAATAATACTATGGCTCCCGCTTTATCTGCAGGTTTCCAAACTATTTCTTTAAGGTTACTCAGTTTCGACCAGGGTGGTTCTTTCTAGGTTAGACAGATTGGAGTGGAATGGTTGTCTGCGGGCGATTAGCATGTTAAAGTCCCTCTCTACCACTTTTTCAAAGCATTTGATATGTATATTGTCTGTGGAGGGGCAGAAAGTAATTTTGGGTTTGAAGGATTCTATTGTTGTGTTAGATGTTCTGTTTGAGAAAACGAATAGTTCTAAATAATAAGTCAATGTGTGCTCGGAATGCATTAAATTTTGGGGTGGGCACAAATGATAAACCTTTATTAACTACTGACCTTTCTAAATCACATAACTTGTAATCAGATAAATTAACAATCAAGTCCAGCATCTCCAGTTTCAGCCCCTTGGAAAAAAAGTAGTGGTAGAAGACGACGAGGAAGATGGTCGATTGATATTCCTGTGTCTACTGGATCTTCTTAAGGGAAGTGAATCAGAGACTTCAGAGACTTCAGAGTTGTTCTCTGTGGGTCTTCCTCTGTAGAGGAGTCTGTGAATTGAGGATGGGATCTAACCTTTCTCCTAGAGGGGACTTGCTCTTTATCCAATAGCCGTGGGTAGACTCGATTGGACTCATAACCATTGCGATCTCTTTCAAATTTTTTAATTTTTAATTTCTTCACCTGGTTGTATAAATCACTACATTTTTGTCAATAGTCTCCAACATGGTAGAGGATGTTGTATCTTTCATAATGTTCTCCATGAGATTAGTTGTTCTACTTTCTCCACCCTTAATACTGTCATTAGATTTCATAATTAATAATGCCATCAAGTCCAAGGAGCATTTGTTTAGAATCTTAACCCATTGCTGTAGAAAATCCCTATCTTCTTTGGACATGCCGGTTTATATACACTTAATCCTCTAAGTATCATGTAATGTTTTATGTAATCAGCTAATGGAGATGGATGTTTCTTTGTTTCCATTTTTCTAAATCATAAAACAAATTGCTGGTTTGAGAGGACTCAGCTGCTGGTACATGGTCAATAAGTGACCTGTTTTTGGTGAGAGACAAAAAGTCTTCTTTATCAAAACTCAATGTACCAAGCCAGTCATCCATACTAATATGGCTATACACTCATTGCGATCTCTTTCAAATTTTTAAATTTTAAATTCCTTCTCCTGGTTGTATAAATCACTACACTTTTTGTCAATAGTCTCCAACATGGTAGAGGATGTTGTATCTTTCATAATGTTCTCCATGAGATTAGTTGTTCTAGTTTCTCCATCCTGTTATTAGATACTGTTATTAGATTTCATGATTAATAATGCCATCAAGTCCAAGGAACATTTGCTGTGGAAAATCCCTATCTTCTTTGAATATGCCGGGTGGTTTATATATCCTTAATCCTCTAAGGATCATGTTATGTTTTATGTAATCAGCTAATGTAGAGGTGTAATGATCCAAACGGATGTTTCTTTTTTTTCAATTTTTCTAAAACATAAAACAAATTGCTGGAGTGGGAGGACTCAGCTGCTGGTACATGGTCAATAACTGACCTGTTTTTGGTGAGATACATAATGTCTTCTTTATCAAAACTAAATGTACCAGGTCAGTCATCCATACTAATATGGCTATACTACTATACACTATCCCAGAATACTTGTAGGGTTTCAAAATACACAAAATAATCTATGTCAGGAAAATTGGATTGTGGACTTTATGACTCATTGTCTTCTCACCTTGCTCCTTTATCATTTACTTTATATAGTATTACATGTATTATGTTTGAGAGCAGTTGTTCCTTTTCATTTCACTCTATGTGAATACATTGAATTACACTGAAGTATACACTGAATATCATATGCTTTATGCTCCCTGAGTATTTTTTCCTGACATAGATTATTTTGTGTATTTTGACACCCTACAAGTATTCTGGGATAGTGTATAGTAGTATAGCTCACTATCACCTGCAATGTCATTGGGGTGAGAGCCATTGTTGTCTCCTGAGTAGTGGGAGCTATAGCTGTTTGTGGAGGCAGGAGCTTGTCTGTGGAAGTGGACACCCCAGCCACATACATATTTTCACTTTTATTTTGTGTATAGATAAGAAGATGGATAGTGTTATTTTCTTGAATTATAGTGTTGTTTTATTATATTACAGTACTAGTATATATTATTATATTATTTTGTTTTTTAAATTATTATTATTCCCAGCCTGCTTTTGTATCTTGATACGACTCCCTTTTTGTGCTTTTGAACAGATTTCTTGTGTTTCATATAAGCCCACTCACCCAACAACTCATTAGCCCCTTCCTTATTGTCTATTCTTTCCAAGGAAATCCTGGGAGTTGTAGTACAGCGAAGCACCCAAACCTTACATAGGGTAGGCTAAAGAGGTTATAAACTCCATAGCACTGAACTAGGACAGCTCAAGTGGTCTCAAACTGCATTCATTCCACAATGTAGATGCTGCCTTGGCCTTTTGGAATCCAAACAAGACACCATTTTGGCCTCAAAATCCCTCTTATTTGATCTATTTATCGTGTCAGAAGCTAATTGAGAATGCAATTACAAAACATTTAAAAAACCCCACAAACAATGCTAAAAACTTGGCATTATACTAAATGTCCTTTGATCAGAAGCTGGCCACTTGGAGTGCCTCTGGCAGGCCCGTAGCCAGGAGGTGGTCTGTGGTTTGCTCTTCTCCACACTCGCATGTCGTGGACTCCACTTTGTGGCCCCATTTCTTAAGATTGGCTCTGCACCTCATGGTGCCAGCGTGCAGTCTGTTCAGCACCTTCCAAGTCGCCCTGCCTTCTGTGTGCCTAGGAGGCAGTCTCTCATCTGTTAGCAGCCATGGATTGAGATTCCGGGTTTTAGCCTGCCACTTTGGGACTCTCGATTGCTGAGGTGTTACTGCAAATATCTCTGTAGATCTTAGGAAGCTATTTCTTGATTTAAGGAGTTGGTGTGCTGGCTGATATCCGAACAGAGGATGGGCTGGAGATGTCACTGCCCTGGTCCTTTCATTACAGGCTGCTACTTCCAGACAGATGTCAGGTGGTGCGATACCGGCTAAACAGTATAATTTCTTCAGTGGTGTTGGACGTAGACATCCAGTGATAATGCAACATGTTTCATTAAGAGCCACATCCACTGTTTTAACGTAGTGAGATGTATTCCACACTGAGGATGTGTATTCATCAGCAGAGTAGCAAAGTGCAATGGCAGATGTATTTGTTGTGATCGCCAGGTTGCGCCAGTCAGCTTCCATATGATATTATTTCCAGCGCCCATTTTTTGCGTGATATTCAAGTAGTGTTTCTTGTAAGTCAGAGCACGGTCCAGAGTGACTTCCAGGTATATGGGTGTGCTGCAATGCTCCAGTGGGATTCCTTCCCAGGTCATCCTCAGAGCTTGAGATGCTTGGGTGTTCTTAAAATGAAAGGCCCATGTCTGCCTTGCAGATGGATTAGGAATCAGCTGGTTTTTGCTGTAATAGGCAGTAAGAGCACCTAAAGCTTCAGAGAGCTTCTGTTCAACCATTTCAAAGTTCCCTGCTTGAGTGGTGATGGCACGATCGTCAGCATAGATGAAACTCTCTTTCCCTTCTGGCAGTGGCTCATCATTTGTGTAAATGTTAAACATTGGTGGAGCAAGCACATTCTCCTGAGGCAGGCCATTCTTCTGTCTTCGCCATCTGCTTCTCTGACACAGAAGCTCAACAAAAAAAGCTCCTGTTTTGTAGCTGGTTTCCTATGAGGCGGGTGAGGTGGTAATCCTTTGCGATATACATTTTTCTCAGGAGGAGTATATGATTTACAGTATCATAAGCTGCTGACAGTTCTCCTGTTTGATGGGATATCCTTGTTAATTGACTGACATTTCTCGATCTTTTCCTCTCCAGGGGAAGATGGACGACACTCTACAAGTTCTTTCTTTCTGTTTTCCTTTTAAAGAAGAGATCCCGAGGAAAAGGGTGGACAATGATCCTCGCAATCAGTTCAGGATCCCTTTTTTGCGGCCCTTGTCCATGGGAACACTGGTGTATATATAAAGTGCGAAAGAGAGATGGGGATATATAAATCTATATCACTCTATATATATTTTTTAAAATGTGGGGAGAAAGAAACCACAAACATTGCGCTGGACCAAACCTTTTTATCCTTCCTTCCTTCTTTCTGCGGAAAAAAAATGGGACCATTTGCGTCTGATTTTCGAAACGAGAGACGAGCAGCTTGGGATCAAAACAGGGAGCGTTTTGTTTTTTTTTGAAGGAATGGCAGACGAGGGAAGTCGAGTGCCTTTGGGCCGGCGCCATTATTCCTCCCCTTAGGACAACTAGAGATATAGATATATATTTCGGCACCAAAATGGCTGATCACACTGCCTCGAAAAGCTTTGGCAACCCAACGTTTTCCGGCTCCGGACAACTCCAACCAGTATGCAACAGATATATGTGTATGTATATCTCTTCTCTATATATCTTTTATTATCTATACGATGCAGCACAAAAAAAACTATAATTGGACGGTTTTGCGTGGCCAAAGGTCCAGATGGCTCTTTCAGAACGGGATCCTTGCCAACGTCCCCTATTTCCTCACCTAGGTCTCCTTGGCTTTTCTCAGTGTCAACAGAGAACAACAGGCCCAAAGCTTCTTGGGAACAAGTCTACGCTGTCAAATGAATGCAGTTTGGTTCTATTTTAAGCGCCACGGTTCAACAAAGTCCTGGGAGCCATCATTTTGGCTCTCTTTGGGCAAAAAAGGCATCAAACTGCATTGAGTTGACGGTGCAAACATTGTTGCAGTTGCTCACAGACCTCTGTTTATAGACTTAAACCTGAATCCTGTTCTTACGCTCAATAGGATCAAATGGGCGAATGTTATGGGACCGCTGTACTGATTGATGTATCCAAAAGGGGAAGAATCTCAGCAAGGAGGGAACAGAATCCGGGCCCTTCTTCTGATTTCCAGGATTTGCAAAGGGGACAACCTCCAATGAACAACCCTTTTATTGTCGAAAAGGCCTTCCGATGTAAACACACATCATGGACCCACATCATGGCTTTTTGGGAGCCTTTTGGGGTCTGAAAAGGGTTCCCAATCTTTGGCACAAAGGTTGTGATGCTCAGGGCTTCACTCCAAAGGGAGAAATGTCATTCATTTCTGTGATGGCCCTAAAGTTTTCTCCCTTCTCTCTACTTGCCTCCATCCTTTGGGATAATAATCATCATCATCATCCCAAAGAAAAAGAATCCCAAAGGATGAAAAAAAGAATAATAATAAGAATAATCTCAAATAACAACACTAATATATTTTATTTATATTCAGCCCTATCCCCCTGAGGGGACTCAGGGTTGATTACAGAACACATGTACTGCAAACATTCAATGTCGTTATACAATTAGAAAGGACAGACAATACATAAACAGAGATAAACAGAGGTAAAGGCTTTTTCCATCTCCGGCATCTGGAGACTGTGCTTGACTCCGGCCACAGGGGGTGCTGTTGCTCCATCTTCCATGCCGAGGAGCTTTGTCATCCTTAGACGTCCTCGTGATCGAATCACAGTCATGTCTTTATGGACGCCTTTTTATTACCTCCCTGCTTAAAGCGGTACCTATTTATCTACTCACATTTCTATTTTTCGATCTGCTAGTTGGGCAGGGAGCTTGGGCTGATGGCGGGTGCTCACCCCGACCCAGGCTTGAACTGCCAGCCTTTCGATCAGTAGAATTTTCTGCAGCTTAGCGGTTTAATCCACTGTGCTAAGCCCGGCTGCAACAACAGCAATCACCCAAAGGATGATAATAATAAGAATAATAATCCCAAAGGATGATGATAATCCCAAAGGATGATAACCATCATCATACCAAAAGATAAGAATAAGAATAATAAACCCAACAGTTACTGTTGTTGCTGTTGTCAATATTATGATATTATTCCAAAGGCAGATAGGGAGAGGGAGGGCACATCCAGACAGCCTCTTTATTGCGGTAACTCCCACAATAAAGACGGGGCTGTCGAGTTGACATCCTGGGCAATCACAAATTAATTTGCCACAAACCAGGAAAACTCTGGTTTGTAGTGAATTAATTAGATAGTGGATTTATTCCGTGCCTTCTTGGAAGGCGTGGGATAAATCCATTATTTCTGGTGTCTGGACTGCAGTCCAGACACCATTCCCAGTTTTCCGGACTAAATCAGTCCGGAAAACTATGGGGATACCCACACCCTTCCCCCAAAGCCCTTTGAAAGTAAATAAAATTACCTGGCCTCCAGTACAATGTTATAGCAGCTCTCCTGGCGTGTAGAAAGGATGAGCCGGGGGGGGGGGGGGGGGGGGGGGGAGTCCTGGCAGAACATCTGGCCATCCTTCCCAGAAAGCGCACACTTTCTGGGGTGGGTGTAGACAGGCCCCCAGGAACATCCGTGTTTTTAAAATGCAAATGATCCTGGGATAAAGGGCTGTCTAGAACCGCTCAGAGAAAAACCTAAGACTGTCACAGAAGTGAATGACATTTCTAACTTTGGAGTGAGGTCATAACTGACATTATAATAATAAATAATGATAATTACCCAATAATAATAATAACAACAACAATAACAATCTCAAAGTATATTATTATTATCTTTATTTATTTATTTATTTACAGTATTTATATTCTCAGGGTGGAGCACAGAACATACATATGCGGCAAACGTTCAGTACACAGACAAGATAGACAATTGGACATAGAAGGAGGTATATATAGGCTTTTTCCCCATCTTCAGCATCTTGGAGGCTTGTACTCTGTTCTGGCCACAGCGGGGTGGGAGTGTGTTATCGCTCCATCTCCTTACCGAAAAGCTGTTCATAACCTTCCTCTTTTTTTGGTCGAATCACTGGCATTTTTGTGGCATTTTTAATGGGTGCCTTAAAATACCTGCCCCACTTGTAAGCGGTACCTATTTATCTATTCACATTTTTTGCTTTTGAACCACTAGGTTAGCAGAAGCTGGGCTAAAGGCCAAGAGCTCACCCTGACCCGAGCTTCAAACTGTCAACCTTGGATTGACAAGATTTACTGCAGCTGATGGTTTAACCTGCTGTGCTGAAGCCTGGCCCATCAGGAGGATGGGCCAGGCTCCTTTCAGATTATTATTAATTATTATTATTATTATCCTTTGGGATTATTACTGGAGCCCCTGGTGGCGCAGTGGATTAAACCACTGAGTTGCTGAACTTGCTGACCAAAAGGTCAGCGATTCGAATTCAGGGAGTGGGGTGAGCTCCCGCTGTTAGCCCCAGCTTCTGCCAACCTAGCAGTTTGAAAACATACAAATGTGAGTAGATCAATAACTACCGCTCCGAAAGGTAACGGTACTCCATGCCACATGACCTTGGAGGTATCTATGGACATAGATATGCCGGCTCTTTGGCTTAGAAATGGAGATGAGCACCACACCCCCGAGTCGGACACAACTAGACTTAATGTTAGGGGAAAACCTTTAAACTATTATTATCCTTAGATATTATTATTATACATACCTTGGAAACATCATCATCATCTTTTGGGATTATTATTATCCTTTTGGATTATTATTTTTATAATCCTTTGGGGTTAATATTATTATACATACTTTGGGGTCATTATTATTGTCTTCGTCCTTTGTGATTCTTATTATCCTTTCAGATTATTATTATTTTCATCCTTTGGGATTATTATTATTATTATTATTATTATTATTATTATGCTTTTGGATAATAAGCCCCCCTCTTCCTCCATCTTGGGCCCGTCTCGGATTCAAAGCACATCCCAAAAGCCAAGGTCCAACCAAAAAGAGGATGAATAGGGGATCTTCGAAAGGCAAATGTGATCTTTCATCGGAAATCATGCTCCGTTTGGACTCTATACTTCAAACATTCCTGTTGTGTCTGTGTTTGTGTGTATGAGAGACGACTGTTGTTGTGTGTGTTTTGGGCCGTCAGGCCATACTAAACGGACTGTTATGGGGTTGATGGGAGTTGCAGTCCAACAAATCTCGCTGGGAAGCCTCTCCCTTGGAGTCGAGGGACCAACAATCTGGACATTTCTAAACATTATTATTCCTGAAAAGAGTCACCCCGAATGCATAATAACCCTAAGATCTCCTTCCTCAAATGAATGACATGATGTGATACTACAATACCCTTTTGAGAAAGAGAGGGGAATATGGGATTGGAGGGGGAAAAGGGCAAGTTCCTCCTCTATCAAACGCCCAGTACAGAAAAACCCATTGAGTCTCGTTTCCTTACTGGTTTTTGGTTGTTGTTTCTTTTGTGGGGGGAGGCCTTAGAACAGAGAATAATGGGTTCCTGTAGTCGAGAAACAGCAAAGAAATCAAACTATTTCCCCCAAACGTTGCAGGAATTATGCAAAACTCACTTCTTACAAGGGCAAAACAACCTATGCAACCAATCCATAGGAAAGTGAGAGCGAGCCTTTTGACTGTAAATTTGGTTTTATTTTTGGGACTTTTTATTTATTTTAGTTTATTATTGATTATATCGTAAATTTATATATTTCACAATATAAGCTCTCTCTCTCTCTATATATATATATATATATATAGCCCTCTCTTATTTCTTACATTTTGAATACCTATATATACTGTACATATGCCCTATAGCTATATCTAATATTGTGAATATTATATATATATATCTATCTAAAAAAGAGTCTCGCTTATCCACCGCCTTCGCTTATTCGACATTCCGTCTTATCCGATGGCGCCCTTTTCCTCCAGGATTACCCCTTCAATTAAAGGAGCGCTCCCCAACTGTCTCTCCATTCCCAATAAGTGGAAAAGGCAAGAGGAGGAGGGAGGAAAGGGAGAAAAGAGGCACGACCGGAAGTGGAAGCAACCTCCCTCTTTCCCTCTGATTTCCATACTCCTCTTCCACATCCGGACACTTCCTGCTGGGCCCCTCTAGCCCTCAGGCATTGCCTTGCCTTAACCCTTTGAGTCCCTGTTGTTAATATTCTAGGTGTCTAGGGCCACATCGGACAGGTAACAGTAGGAGAATGTCATCTATCTGACATTCTGCTGGCTTGTTTATGTCGGATAAGCAAGACTACTATGTGTGTATGTGTATATATATATATGGTGGCCTTTATTATTACTTACATTTTGAATACCTATATATATAGAGAGAGAGACACACACATCCATGTGTATATAGATATATATAGCTTATATTGTGAATATTAGTGATATATATACACACACACAATAAAAGTGAAAATGCACATGTATGTATATGGCTGGGGTGTCCACTCCTGTTTCCACAAATAGCTGTAACTCCCACTACTCAAGAGACACCAATGCCCCCCCCCCCCCCCCCCCCCCCCCCCCCGCTCCAATGACATTGCAGGTTACAGCGAGCACCATGAACATCTTCAAGAACACTGCTACTGTCCTCCACAAACACCATACTGTCCACCACCCAAATGAAGGTGTTCATACAAGAACAATTCCATCCTAGATTTTGTGTGTTTCCTCCACCATAGACATCCCAGTGTTTCTGACTCCCTCCATTGGTGTGGAATTTACATGATCCCGCCCACCGACGCTTCCTTAACCCTTCCCTATTATTTTCTATGGCACACAGCAAACAGAGGAATTGATCAGCAACTCAATATATTAGAGGGGTTTGGGGAGAATTCACCACAATTTCTAGGAATTGTAGGTCCTGGGATGTATAGTTCACCTGCAATCAAAGAGCACTCTGAACTCCACCAGCAATGGACCTGAAACTAACTTGGCACACAAAACCCCCATAACCAACAAAAAATACTGGAGGTCTTTGGAGGAATATATAGGAGCTGTAGTTCACCTACATCTAGAGTGCACTATTGATCTGGACCAAACTTGGCTTGCATACCCGATATGCCCAAATTTGAATACTGGTGGGTTTTGAGGGACATTGGCCTGGACATTTTGGAGTTGTAGTACTGGGATTTATAGTTCACCTGCAATCAGTGAGCATTCTGAACTCTACCAAAGAGGAATTGAACCGAACTTGGCTTACAGAATCCCCATGACCACCAAAGAAGTACTGGAAGTCTTTGGGGGAAGTACTGGTGGAGCTTCTCGGGGTTAATCTGGCATGATGTGAGTTGTAGTTCACTCACAATCTTATGCATTTTGTACCATTAAAAATTGACTTTTTAAAATAATGCGGGTGACGCTGGGTACCCATGCTAGTAATGATCATAATGGCATTGGGACATTGGCAAAATAATAAAAAATAATGACGTCAGGACGTTGGTAAAATAATAATAGGTAGAATGATAATAACAATGATGAAATTGGGACGTTATAACAACAACAACAACGGCACAGAATAACAATAATAATAATAATGTTTTTTTCTCCTATTTTGCCCTGGGCTTTTCTTTTTCTCGTTGGGTTATTAAAGTGTTTAGCTGGACTTTTTGCCAAAGGAAGAGGCTGCAAATGGGGTTTGCACATCCCAGATTTGGAGAAACAACAAGTTCCTCGACCTCAAGGAGGAGAGAGGCTTCCCTCCAAACCAGCAGTAATGGGTTGTGCATCTATACTGTCTAATTAATGCAGTTTGGCACCACTTTAGCTGCTAAAGAATGATGGGAGTTCCATCGGCGAAAGCTGCATCAATTCGACAGTGTGGACAATGGATGTATGGTGAATTGTGGTGTGAGTGGCTTGTGCGGCTGTGTCTTTCCTCCGAAAAGTCCACGTTTACAAACGGTGTAAATACAGGTGTTTTTTGATACTTACCTTGTCGATTTCCGTCCGTGATTTGTACCATTGTCGTTACTATTTCTGCTAATGGAGTACTTTCATGACGGCCAAACCTTCCTTTTGAACTTGAAAATAGATGAGATATATATATATACATACACGAATCTATCTATATATATCTATCTATTCCTCACACCTATAACTCTTGACCCCTTCCACCCCATTCTGACACTTACACTCGAAAAGAAGAGTTCGAAACAGTGACTTCAGTGGAAAGAAAAAAAGAATAAAAGCACACTTCTCCACTTCCTGCTCTCATTTCCTTTTTTTTACTTCAAAAATGCATTTGAATCTTGCAGATTTCAGGTTTGTATAGTAGATTCTCGGTTACACAGAACTCTCAAGCAACCAGCGATCATGATTTTAAGTAAAACGTCCTGTATTAAAGGAGGTGGACTGGATGGTCCTTGGGGGTCTCTTCTGACTCTATGTTTCTATTATCCAATTTCTCTCTATGGGATTGGATGGCCATCTGTCGGGAGGGATCAGATTATGTCTTCCTGCATTGATGGGGTTGCACTGGGTGGCCCTTGAAGACCCAGCACTAGGATTCTATCAGTCTATAGCCCTGTTTCCCCATGAATCTGCTCATGTCTGTTAGTTGGATGACCATCTGTCGGGAGGGATCGGATTATGTCTTCCTGCATTCATGGAGTTTGACTGGGTGGCCCTTGAAGACCCAGCACTAGGATTCTATCAGTCTGTAGCCCTGTTTCCCCATGAATCTGCTCATGTCTGTTAGTTGGATGGCCATCTGTCGGGAGGGATCGGATTATGTCTTCCTGCATTCATGGAGTTCGACTGGGTGGCCCTTGAAGACCCAGCACTAGGATTCTATCAGTCTATAGCCTTGTTTCCCCATGAACCTGTTCCATTTCTGTTAGTTGGATGGCCATCTGCCGGGAGGGATCGGATTATGTCTTCCTGCATTCATGGAGTTCAACTGGGTGGCCCTTGGAGACCCAGCTCTAGGATTCTATCAGTCTATAGCCCTGTTTCCCCATGAACCTGTTCCATTTCTGTTAGTTGGATGGCCATCTGTTGGGAGGAATTGGAGTGTGTCTTCCTGCATTGATGGGGTTGGACTGGTGGCCTTTGAAGACCCCCTCCAGCTCTAGGGTTCTATCACCCTATAGCCCTGTTTCTTCTTTGTGGTTTCTGTGAAATGGCATAAGTTTCCTTTGCCTCTTGGGAGAGATCGAATGGTGCCTTCCTACATTCATGGGGGTGTTTCTGGGGGTCCCTTGGGATCTCTACAATCCTATAATCCTGTAGCTGTATGTCGCTCCATGAACCTATGCACAGCTATGAGGTTGGATGGCCCTCTGTCAGGAGGGATCGGATAGTGCCTTTGTTTGAATTGATGGGGTTGGACTTGGGGTCTATATACCCCTATTGCTCTCTGTGAACCTGCTCATGTCTATGAGGCTGGGTGGCCATCTGTCATGAGGGATCGGAGAGTGTCTTCCTACATTAATGGGGGTCGGTAGAATTTGGGGATTCGGTAGTCCTGTTTCTACACAAACCTGCTTGTGTCTGTATAAGGGACAGCCCTCTGTCAGGAAGGATCCTACGTTGAGGGGAGGGGGTTCTCTTCAGGTCTAGGCGCTGGCGGGCTGGTTGACATAGCTGCTGCGGATGAGGGCGTCCCTTTGTTCGGGAAAGAAGTCACGGACCAGGAACAACATCCGCACCGTCCAGGGATAGAAGATCTCCTGTGCCCGGGTGGCTCCGCCTTTCACGATGGACAGTGCGGCCTCCGAGGCCGGAGCGGCCGTTATGGTCACCTTGCCCCTGGGACACAACAAGCACAAAGGAAGGCCACAATGGGAGGGGAGGGGTGTCCTTCATTCAATAAGGGAGCCCCGTCCGATGAATCCAGATTAAGGAGCTGGGGAGGTTTGGCTTGGAGAGGAGAAGGTTAAAGGGGGGGGGGGGGGACCAGAGCTATGTTTCCATATTGTGAAGGAGGCGTCACAGAGGAAGAATGGGCTGGTGTGCTTTCTAGTCTAGACTATGATGATGATGATGATGATGATGATGATGACATTATTATTATTATTATTAGTAGTAGTAGTAGTAGTATTTATATAATGACACATGTTATATTTTATTATTATATTATAGTATTATTATAGTATAGTATATATGATCCTATATCTAGTTTTATAGTACAGTCTAATTCATCATCTGGTATTGTAATGTATTATTATTATTATTAAATAATAATAATATGTACTACTATCATTATCTAAGGCAGGTATGGGTAAACCCAGGCCCGGGGGTCAGATGTGCCCCTTGGGGTCTTTTCTCAGCCCCCGCTCTCTCACAAACCTATCCTTCATTCTTCCTCCTTCCCTCCCTCTTTCTCCTTCCCTTTCATCCTTTTCTTTCCTTCCTCTTTCCCTCCCCTTTCCCTCCTCTCTTCCCTCCCTCTTTCTCCTTCCTTCCTTCCTTCCTTCCTTCCTTCCTTCCTTCCTTCCTTCCTTCCTTCCTTCCTTCCTTCCTTCCTTCCTTTCCACCCTCTTGTCCTTTGCTCTTTCCTTCCTCCTTCCCTCCCTCTCTTCTTTCCATCCTCCTCTTCTACCCTTTCATTCTTCTCTCCTTCCCTCCCTTTTCTTCCCTCCCCTTTCCTTTCTCCTTACCTCCCTTCCTTCACTCCCTCTTTATCCTACCATCCTTCTCTTCCACCCTTTCATCTTCCCTTCCTTCCCTTTTGTCTTTTATTCTTTCTCTCTTTCCTCCCTTCTTCCCTCTTTCTCCTTTCATCCTTCCTTCCATCTCTCTTTCCTTCTTCTTTCCCTTCCTTCCTTCCATTACCAGGTAACTGCTAGCATGCGGCCCTCAAGTTAGAAAGTTTGCCTATGCCTGATCTAAGGTATAATATAATATATCTGTCAGTGTATTATTATTACAAAATAATAATAATAATAATAATAATAAGTTTCATGTATTATCATTTAAGGTATAAATATTTATATGTAGTATTATTACATAACAATATAATAAATTTGATGTATTATCATCTGGTATTATAATGTATTATTATTATTATTATTATTATTATTATTATTAAGTAATAATAATTATTACTTTAATCATCTAAGATATTATACATAATATATCTGTCAATGTATTATTATTACATAATAAGAAATTTTGCGTATTATCATCATCATCATCATCATCATCTAAGGTATTATAATATATTATTAAAGGCCCCTGGTGGTGCAGCGGGTTAAGCTGCTGAACTTGCTGACCAAAAGGTTGGCTGTTCGAATCCGGGGAATGGGGTGAGCTCCCGTTAGGCCCACTTCTGCCAACCTAGCAGTTTGAAAACATGTGAGTAGATGAATAGCTACTGCTCCGGCAGGAAGGCAACGGCACTCCATGCAGTCATGCTGGCCACATGACCTTGGAGGTGTTTACGGACAACACCAGCTCTTTGGCTTAAAAATGGAGATGAACACCACCTCCCAGAGTCAGACACAACTAGTTTTAATGTAAGGGGAAAGCTTTACCTTTTAAAAATAATATATATTATTATTATCATCATTTATACAGTAATGCTAACATATTATAATACTACCGATATATAATAACTTATAATGATAATACTATTTTATTATTGTATATTTGCATATTTGAAGTTGTAATATTTTAATTGTGAGCCGCTTTGAGTCTCCGTATGGAGAGATAAATAGAAATAAAAAATAAATATTATTGTATATTATTACTATATATTATGAAATGACATATATTATATTATAACATAATTATATTATTACATTATAGTATGATGATAGTATAGTATTATATATTAGGATATTATCTCTTCCAACTCTCTATCTATCTATCTATCTATCTATCTATCTATCTATCTATCTATCTAATGGGGTTGGACTAGTTGGCCCTTGGGGGTCTCTTCCAACTCTAGGATTCTATCTCTATCTATCTATCTATCTATCTATCTATCTATCTATCTATCTATCTATCTATCTAGTGGGGCAGACTAGATGGCTCTTGAGGTCTCTTCTTACTCTAGGACAGTGGTTCTCAACCTGGGGTCCCCAGATGTTTTTGGCCTTCAACTCTAACAGCTGGTAAACTGGCTAGGATTTCTGGGAGTTGTAGGCCAAAAACATCTGGGGACCCCAGGTTGAGAACCATTGCTCTAGGATTCTATCTATCTGAGGGAGCTGGACCAGATGGCCCTTGGTGGTTCTTTCTGACTCTAGGACCATCTGCCTGAAACTCACTGCGTTTTGTTGATGGCCGACTCGGTGTCGATGAGGCCCAGGAAGCAGAGTGTGATGCTGATCTCTTTCTGCTGCATGACCAATTCATGGCGCAAGGAGCCAAAGAAGCCCTCCAGGGCAAACTTGGTGGCCGAGTAGGGAGCCACGAAGGGGGTGGACACTCTCCCTGGGAGGGAAAAAAATACTAAATACTGCATCAAAGTGGAGGAGGTTTTTTCCTTTGTGCTTTGCTTAGAATAATAACCCAGTGAAGCGACTCAGGAAGGATGAGAGAAGGGGACAGGAGAGCCATGTCTCCATCTTTGAAGGAAGGAAGTCCCATGGAGTAGGACGGGACAAGCCTTGTGTCCCTGTAGGATTCCCTCGCGTTGGCCAATTGGTGGTTGGTCTCTGGGAGCGGTAGTTTCCAAAGGGCACTCACTCACCTGCCAATGAGGAGACCACCACTAGCGAACCTTTGCTCTCCGCCAAGGCAGGAAGAGCTGCTGAGGAGAGGGCCACATAGCTGAAGAAGTTCACCTGGAAGGGAGGGAAATATTATTATTATTATTATTATTATTATTATTATTATTATTATTATTATTCTGTTGGGTGGATTTGGATTGTGCCTTCCTGCCTAGCAGAAGGGGGTTGGACTGGATGGCCTTTGGAGGGCCCTTCCAAATCCCAGCCGCACCTGCATGAGCCAACGCAGATGGTCCATGTCTCCGGCCCACATCTCAAAAGGGCTCGAGCCAATATGGTTGAGGACCACAAAATCCAGACCCCCTAAAAAAAGAAGGATGGGAGGGAAAAGCAGATTTGTCATTGGCAGAAAGCGATGAAAAACCAGGTCCAACCTGTTGCCCCCATTGCTCCGTACAGTGTGAACCTAAGGGTTAGTTAGGATGGTGTAGAAGTACTGCACTTTGACACCACTTGGGAGTTGTAGTTTTGGGGTTTGAGGACCTACCGAGTTCCTCCAAGGCAAAATGGACCAGCTTTTCTGGCTCTGCAGGAGAAGCCATATCTGCGATGAAGTAGACGGCCTTCTTGGCTCCCAGCTCCAGGCATTTGGCCATCACCTGGACAAAAGCACAAGGAACAACCGCCATTTATGGACTTCTTCAACCAAGAGAAATCCAGCTATTAGCGATGGGGATGGTTCCTAGTACAATTGGTTCGCTGTACCATCCATGGCTTGAAAGTATTTCTGAAAAACCCCAAAATTCAACCTTAGTTTTGCCATTTTATATGTATCGTTCACCACTGCATATAACGGGAGTTGAGCATCCATGGATTTGGGGATCCACGAGGATTCTAATACCCAATGCAAACAGATATTGGTAACCATGGGGGTACTGGAATTGGACCCAATCAGGTATTGGTATCCATAGGGGCCCTAGGACCAAACCCAACCAGATATTGGTATCAATGGGGGTCCTGGAATCAGACCCAATCAGGTATTGGTATCCATAGGAACCCTAGAACACAACCCAACCAGATATTGGTATTCCTGGGAGTCCTAGAACCCAATCCAACCAGATATCAATACCCATGGGGACCTAGAACCCACCTCAAATAAACTTTGGTATCAATTGGAGCTCTAGAACCCAACCCAACTGTCACACAGCAGGGCTGGAAAGGCGCCTTTAAACCAATCTCACACCCCAGAGCTCAAAGCAATTTATTAAGGTATAAATGTAGCTTCAGCAAAAATGATAAGAAGTCAATACAAAATATAATCCATGTGACACAAGGCACTTAGGAAGACTTGGAAGCAATAATCCATGAGACCAGAATGTAAGCAAGATCTTTAAACTGGACTCTTGACAGAACACAGCAACCCAGAAGATCAAAAGTACAAGATCCAAAAATACATGAATCCATGAAACCACTTCATTCTTGAAGTAATACAGGAAACCAGGAAAATACGTGAAACTTAGAACATGAGTCCATGAATCCCATACCATGAGAGGAACGAGAGAGAGGAACTTAGAGCATGTTAATTCTATCCAGATGTTGATTCAGCTAAAGCAGTGGTTCTCAACCTTTCATGTTGTGGTGACCCCCAACCATATTTTTGTTGCTACTTCATAACTGCTACTGTTATGAATTGTAATCTAAATATCCGATATGCAGGATGTATTTTCATTGTTACAAATTGAACATAATTAAAGCATTGTGATTAATGATAAAAAACAATATGTTTGGGGGAGTATAGACAACCGATGAAGGGATTTGAAGTACCTTCAACCAATTCAGCTCTGACTTCCACAGCCCAATGAGACTCCCATGAATTACAGACCTGGACCATTGGCAGGCCTCTTCCTCCACGCGCCTGCCAATGTCGGGAGAGGGACGCCGTTGGCAAGGGCCTCTCCTGGCAGCTGTGACTGCACCCTCTCCCAGCAGCTTCTCCAAAGGCCTCTTGGGACCTTTTTGTGGAGGGCGCATGGGGCCTGCAGGAAGCGGGGCCTAAGGAGGCAGTGCCGTGACCCTCTGGAATTGCCAAATGACCCCTCCAGGGGTCACGACTCCCAGGTTGAGAACCACTGCTCTAAAGGATAGCCCAAATCAAATCTGCTTTATACCTAAAAAACTACGTCTCAAGAGGGCCTTTTCTCCTTAAGAGCCACTGTGAACAGCGCCTTCCTTCAGCTGCCTCTGTTGACAAATTGCTCTTCTCCTATCTAACTCAGGGGACTCTACATCTGCAATTACCACATTCTGATCAGAGTCTGACCGTGGTTCTCTGGAAAAAGCTAGCTCAGGCCTGCCAACCTCTGAATCTGTCTCCAACTGGAAATCCACTGCTGGCCTAACATTCCCAGAATCCCCAGCCCCATCAGGTATAGAACCCGACTCCTGTGAGTCTACAAAGGCTTGCTCAATGTCCTCTAAAACCTCAGGCAGTGACACAATCACATGCTGAACCACAATACCAACCAGGTATTGGTATCAATGAGGGTCTGGGAATCAAACCCAATCAGATACTGGTATCAATGAGAGCCCTAGAACTGAATATTAATGTGCATGGGGGTCTTAGAATCCACCCAACCTGATAATGGTAATTCAAGGAGTCCTGAAACCCAACCCAACCAGATCTTGGCATCCATGGGAGTCCTAGAATCAGATACTGCTATTCATTGAGGTTCTGGAACCCAACCCAACATTGGTATCCATGGGAGCTCTGTCACCAATATTTGTATCAATATGGGCCCTAGAAATAAGCCCAACCAGACATAGGTATCCACTGGGTTCCTAGAACCCAACACAAACATTAATATCTAAGGTGGTCCTAGAACCAAACCTAACTAAACATAGGTATCCTTGGGAGTCCTCGAACCAGACGCAGTCCGGTATTGGAATCCATGGGGGCTTAGGACCAGATATTGGTATGCATGGAGGCTCTAGAACTTAACCCAAGCTCTATCTTTCCCAGATCGAAGACTTTGAATCTGGATGTGTTCTCACTTTCTGCAGCACGGCCTCCCTCCGGGCGGTAAGGACAATTTGCGCCCCAAACCGAGCGTAATGGTAGGCCATTTGTTCCCCGATCCCATCGCTGGCGCCAGTCAAGAGAACCCGGGCCCCGGAAAGGCTGTCTGGGAGAGAAAAAGAAATACGGCCAAAGGGGAAAGCAGAGTACCGTATACACTTGAGTATAAGCTGATATTTTCAGCCCTTTTTTAGGCTTAAAAAGCCCCCCTCGGCTTATGGTAGAAAGTCATGGGGCTGAAATAAGCCCTTGTTTCAGTGCCACGACTTCCCACCAAGACCCTCACCTCTCCACCCAGCAGAGTTGCTGTGCCGAGAGAGGAGAAGAGGAAGGCACGCAGCGACTCCTTCCCACTCAGCGCCAGGCCTTCCTTCGCCGGGCCATGATCTTTACTCTGTTTCAGACGTGAACCTTACTTGCCCCGCTTCTTTCTGTTTCGCAGACAGATATGGATACATACATGCACACATGCCCATTGCCACGTTCAAAGAGCAAGGAGGAAGCGAACCAGGAGTGTGGCCCTGGCCCCCGAAGTGGGAGAGATAGGGTCACATTGCTGCCACCGCCACCACCCTTCTCCTTTGCAAAAGCAAAGGCTCCTCAGAAGCATCTCCCCATTGATTCCGGAGTGTGATGTGTGGAGTATTGGCAGTAGAAGGGGAGAAAGAAGGTAGGAATGGGAGAAGGAAGGAAAGAAAAGAGAAGGAGGGAAGGAGTGGGAAAAGGGAGGAAGGGGGAAAGGAGGTGGGAGGGAAATTAGGGGAAAAGGAAAAATGGGAAAGAAGGAATGTAAGAGAAGGAAAGAAAGGAAAAAAGGGAAAGAAAGAACAGCTGGACTGCTCTGCCAAGAGGAGAAGCCACACGCCTTCCTCTCCTCTCATGCACCTTCCTCTCCTCTCGCGCACCTTCCTCTTATGCCTTCTCCTCCTCCTCTCTCATGCACCTTCCTCTCCTCTCACACATCTTCCTCTCCTCATCTCTTGCGCACCTTCCTCTTCTCCTCTCACGCCTCCTCCTCTCTCGTGTACCTTCCTCTTCTCCTTTCTCACACACCTTCCTCTCCTCTTTCGCACCATCCTCTCTTCCTCTCACACCTTCTCCTCCTCCCTTGTGTACCTTTCTTTTCTCCCCTCTCACACACCTTCATCTCCTCCTTGCAACTTCCCATCGGCTTACACTCAAGTGAATGTGTTTTCCTTCCCAGTATTTTGTGCTAAAATTAGGTGCCTCGGCTTATATTTGGGTTGGCTGATACTTGTGTATATACGGTATTTTGCCTGCCAACAAGTGCCGGCCTTCATTGGGTCTTAGAGTTGGCAGGGAAACCCATGGGCCGTGCCAGGCAGGCAGGGGACACCATCCAAGCCCTCCTGACAGATGGCCACCCATTCCTCTGCAGCTCCTACCTGGCTCGAAGGTGTCTCTCCAGGAGAAGGCCACCCAAACAGCTGTGATGCCAAGGACCGAGAGCAGAAGCCTGGTGGCCCTCATCTTCCTTCTCTCAAAGTGTCACGGCAAATAGAAATTCAAGCCTAGAAAGGATGGCAAGGGTCAGAAACGGATCAGAGATTACAAAGGGCGGGTGCCTCCCACACCCTGCATGCCAACGGGTGTGTGCTTTGAGGAGAGAGAGAGGCCCTGAACTGGGAATCAACTCCATGGAGGACTGCCAAAAGGAGCCTCTTCTAAGGCAGGATCTGCACTGATTGTGTAATGTAGCTTGGAACTGCATTACATGGATAGCATAGACCCATAGAATGCAGTCTAACTGTGTGATAGGAGTCAACACAGACCATGCAATGCATTCAGCTGCATTACAGGACTCTACACTGACCATAGAATGTATTGAACTACATTATATGAATCTACACTGGCCATATAATGCATTGAATTCAATTACTGGACTATATGCTGACTGTAGAATGCACTGAAGTACATTATAGGAATCTATGCTGAATTGAGCTGCATTATAGGGTCTACACTTACCATATAATGTATCGAACTATATAACAGGAGTCTACACTCACCATAGAATACACGGAACTGCATTATAGGACTCTACACTGACCATAGAATGCATTGAACTGTATTATAGGACTTTACATTGATCATAGAATGCACTGAGCTGCACTATAAGACTCTACGCTGACCATAGCATGCATTGAATTACATTACAGGAATCTACACTGACCATAGAATGCATTGAACTACAGTATAGGACACCATTCTCATGCAGTCTAACTGTATGACAGGAGTGTGCTGACCATAGAATGCATTGAACTGCATTATAGATTTCTATGGTGACCACAGAATGCATTAAACCGCATTGTAGGACTCTACGCTGACCATAGAATGCATTGAACTACATTATAGGAACCTACACTGGCAATAAAATGCATTGATCTACATTATAGGAACCTACACTGGCAATAAAATGCATTGATCTACATTATAGGAACCTACACTGCCAATATAATGCACTGAACTACATTATAGGACTCTACGCTGACCATAGAATGCATTGAGCTGCATTATAGGGTCTACACTTTGCACAGAATGCACTGAACTGTACAATAGAGAGTATACCCACTATATAATGCATCGAACTGCATGATAGGCGTCTATATTGCATTATTTGACATTGTAGATTCGCCCTCAAGGCCTCAGGAAACACTTAGCAGAAAACCCAAAACGCAGAAACCTGTCTATATAAGATCAACATGAACGAGTTCATCATAACGCCATATTTCTACTTTAGGGTATAAAGAATTTTAAATACTTTAAAATTCAATTGCTGCACCGAAATTCTGGATTCTCCTCCTTGTTTACAAAAAGTTTAACAGAGGACTGAAAACGATGCTGTCCCCGGAAGGCTGGCGCGACCTTAAATGTGGCGCGACCTTAAGGAAGTAGGGAACGCCCCCTTCGCAGGCAGGGTGGGGAAAAACATGATTCCGCTCACGCATGCGCACGGCACCCCGCTCAAACATGCACAACCTCGCGCATGCGCAGAACGGGCCCATTGGTTACCATTAGAACATGAAATATAATAACAAACCTTCATAGAGACTTTAGAAGCAAAAATAATACATTACAATGCATGCACAAACCCACATATATACACATACATACACACAAAACAAATATACACAGACTGGGCACAGTAACGCGTTGCACGGGATGGCTAGTTATTCATAAAAAGGGTCACCCCGAACCCATAGTAACCCTAAGGTTTCCTTCCTCAAATGAATATTTATTTATTGTGTCAGTGCAACCAGTCGATTATATTACAATTCTAACAGAACAAAGCAAAAAAACAAAAAAACAAAACAGACAAAATACGAAAATTGTGAGTTTGGTAGTTGATTAAATGTCCTTTGACCAGTATCTGGCCACTTGGAGTGCCTCTGGTGTTGCCGCAAGGAGGTCCTCCATTGTGCATGTGGCAGGGCTCAGGTTGCATTGCAGCAGGTGGTCTGTGGTTTGCTCCTCTCCACACTCGCATGTCGTGGTCTCCACTTTGTAGCCCCATTTCTAAGGTTGGCTCTGCATCTCGTGGTGCCAGAGCGCAGTCTGTTCAGCGCCTTCCAAGTCGTCCAGTCTTCTGTGTGCCCAGGGGGGAGTCTCTCATCTGGTATCACCCACGGATTGAGGTGCTGGGTTTGAGCCTGCCACTTTTGGACTCTCGCTTGCTGAGGTGTTCCAGCGAGTGTCTCTGTAGATCTTAGAAAACTATTTCTAGATTTAAGTCGTTGACATGCTGGCTGATACCCAAACAGGGGATGAGCTGGAGATGTCTCTGCCTTGGTCCTTTCACTATTGGCTGCTACTTCCCAGCGGATGTCAGGTGGTGCAATACCGGCTAAGCAGTGTAATTTCTCCAGTGGTGTAGGGCGCAGACACCCGTGATAATGCGGCATGTCTCATTAAGAGCCACATCCACTGTTTTAGTGTGGTGAGATGTGTTCCACACTGGGCATGCATACTCAGCAGCGAAGTAGCATAGCGCAAGGGCAGATGTCTTCACTGTGTCTGGTTGTGATCCCCAGGTTGTGCCAGTCAGCTTTCGTATGATATTGTTTCTAGCACCCACTTTTTGCTTGATGTTCAGGCAGTGCTTCTTGTAGGTCAGAGCACGGTCCTGAGTGACTCCCAGGTAATTCCTTCCCAGGTGAACCTCAGAGCTCGGGATGCTTGTCTGTTCTTGAGATGAAAGGCACATGTCTGTGTTTTAGATGGGTTGGGGATCAGCTGGTTTTCCCTGTAATAGGCAGTAAGAGCACCTAGAGCTTCGGAGAGCTTCTGTTCAACCATCCCAAAGCTCCCTGCTTGAGCAGTAATGGCACGATCATCAGCATAGATGAAACTCTCTGTCCCTTCTGGCAGTGGCTGGTCATTTGTGTAAATGTTGAACATGGATGGAGCAAGCACGCTCCCCTGAGGCAGGCCGTTCTTCTGTTTCCGCCATCTGCTTCTCTGGCCCTGGAACTCAACAAAAAAGCTCCTGTTTTGTAGCAGGTTTCCTATGAGGCAGGTGAGGTGGTAGTCCTTTGTGATATTATACATTTTTCTCAGGAGGAGGCAGTGGTTCACAGTATCATAGGCTGCTGACAGGTCTATGAAGACAGCTCCTGTGATCTGCTGCCTTTCAAAGCCATCTTCTATGTGCTGAGTCAGGTTCAACACTTGCGATGTGCAGCTTTTGCCTTTTCTGAAGCCAGCTTGCTGTGGGATCAGACATGGGTCTATTTTTTCTGTAATTCTATGCAAAATAAGTCTCTCCAGAACTTTGTAGAGGTGGCACAGCAGGGAGATTGGTCTGTAGCTTTTTGGGTCATTACGGTCTTTGCCTGGCTTCAAGATGGCGATGACTCTTGCTTTCCTCCAGATTTTGGGGATCTGACAGGGTGCAGTGCAGTTGTTCATCAGCTCCAGCAGCCAGCGCCTTGCTTTTGGACCAAAGTTCTTGATTTGTTCCATCCGTAGATCATCCAGGCCAGCTGCTTTGCCATTTTTACATTTATTGAGAGCCATGTCCAATTCAGTAGATGTAAATGGTTCATGAAGGTTGTTGTTCTCAATCTCTGGTTGTCTGGCTATTGGTTTCTTTCCTACTTTGGTGGCAAGGTTGGGTTTCCCATTCTTCAAGAGTTGGTGTGCTATCTGATCTGCCTTTATGTTGGCATGGGTATTAGTTTGTGAGGGGTCGTTGCTCAACCGTCTCAGCAGCCTCCACGCCTTCTGGCTGCTCCTGCCCATGTCGACCTCTGTGATCAGCTTGATCCACTGTTCTTTCTTGGCTTCAGAGATGGAGGACACAATGCTCTGCGCTGCCTGAAGGGTTTGCTCACTAAATGGGTCTTCGTTGTGGAGCCTGTAATAGTTTTCCAACAAGGCAGCTGTTTCAGGAGTAATGCCCTGAAGGTAGTGGGTTCTGCAGCCTCTCGGTATCGAGGCCCGTGAGCAGGTTTTCACGATTTCAATAAAATGCTCATATTCCTCAGGGATTGGCACCGTCGATGTGATCATGTCATCTAACATGTCTGAGAATTTAGTCCAATCTGCCTTTCTGAAGTTGAATCTTTGTTTAAATCGAACTTCCTGAGGCCTTATTGTTGGGAACAGTTGGCATACTATTGGTCGGTGCTGTGTGTTTGGTATTGGTGGTCCCACTGATTTAGTGCATTGCTGTACAATGCTGTCACTCACAAATAAGAGGTCTGGGTTATAACCTCAGTGCCATCTCCCGCTGTTGTAGGATGGTGGGAGCTTGCTATCATGGATGAGTGATAGTTTGTGCAGTCCATACCAGGAGAGGACAGCCTCTCCATTTTTATCCTCTTGAGCATAGCCCCATACATGGCTATGGCTGTTGAAGTCACCAATTACTACCGCCCTTTGGTGCCTATCAAAATTCTCGGGGGAGGAGAAGAAGAACTCTTCATTTGGGGGCTTGTACACAGAGGTGATGGTGATGTTATTAAGCTCTACTGTTAGGACCTCGATATTGTTTTCTTCAGTGTTGTGGGCACTGCTGACTTGGAGGCCTGGTTTGACAAAGACAGAAGCGACCAGCATGCAAGCAAGCAAGCAAGCCAACCAGCGGTCCTTTTCAGGACCAACCATGACAATAATGTCAATCAACATTGAAGGTATGTCAGCTGCCAAAGAACAACTGCTCTATGAACTGTGCCGAGATAAGAAATGCGATGTGCTGTGTGTCCAAGAAACACACAGGGATGGACAACAGAAACGACCCAAAGTCCCAGGAATGGTCTTAGTAGTGGAAAGACCACATGCGCAGTATGGAAGCGCCTCAAATGAATGACATGATGTGACACTACAATACCCTTTTGAGAAAGAGAGGGGAATATGGGATTGGAGGGGGGAAAGGACAAGTTCCTCCTCCATCAAATGCCCAGTATAGAAAAACCCATTGAGTCTCGTTTCCTTACTGGTTTTTGGTTGTTGTTTCTTTTGTGGGGGGAGGCCTTAGAACAGAGAATAATGGGTTCCTGTAGTCGAGAAACAGCACAGAAATCAAATTAATTCCCCCAAAGGTTGCAGGAATGATGCAAAACTCACTTCTTACAAGGACAAAACAACCTATGCAACCAATCCATATGGAAGTGAGAGCGAGCTTTTTGACTGTAAATTTGGTTTTATTTTTGAGATTTTTTTTGAAGTTTTAGTTTATTATTATGTTGTAAATTTATATATTTCACAATATAAACTCTCTTTTTATTTATACATATACATACACACACACACACACACACACATATATATCTCCCTCTCTTATTTCTTACATTTTGAATACCTATATATATATATATATATATATATATATACACACACACACACACACACACACACACACCTATATAGGTGCCTTTCCAGAATAAGGAAACTCCTAGCATTATGTCCCAACGCACTTTATTAAAGATCTAGGATATCTGCATGCCCATCCCCCTCCAAACACCCCACCTTGTCATGCCCAGCATTTTTAATTTTAATTATTACATTTGGCCCGGCCATTATTTTTAATTGCTTCATTGGATGTTGTTAATGTATTGCTATTCTTTGCTATTGCTTTGTTTTTTGAGTTATTGTGTTGTTGTTTTATTGTTGTATTTGGGCTCGGCCTCTTGTAAGCCGCACCGAGTCCTTCGGGAGATGGTAGCGGGGTACAAATAAAGGATTATTATTATTATTATTATTATTATTATTATACATATGCCCAATATCTATATCTAATATTATGATTGGGTTGTTGTAGGTTTTTTCGGGCTGTATGGCCATGGTCTAGAGACATTCTCTCCTGACGTTTCGCCTGCATCTATGGCAAGCATCCTCAGAGGTAGTGCTTATGAGGATGCTTGCCATAGATGCAGGCGAAACGTCAGGAGAGAATGCCTTTAGACCATGGCCATACAGCCCAAAAAAACCTACAACAACAGAGTGATTCCAGCCATGAAAGCCTTCGACAATATTATGATTATTATACACACACACACATATATATGAGAGTCCTGCTTATCCGACGCCCCCCTTTACCTCCAGCATTTCCCCTTCTATTAAAGGAGCACTCCTCAACAGTCTCTTTATTCCCAATAAGTGAAAAAGGGCAGGAGGAGGAGGAGGAGGAGGGAGGAAAGCTGTGATTTCCACGCACTTCCTGCTGGGCCCCTCTAGCCCTCAGGCGTTGCCTTGCCTTAATTCTTAATTCTGAGTCCCTGTTAGTATTCTAGGTGTCTAGCACCACATCGGACAGGTAACAGTAGGAGACTCTGTATTATCCGACATTTTCGTTTATCCGACATTCTGACGGCTCATTTATGTTGGATAAGCAAGACTACTGTGTGTGTGTGTGTGTGGCCTTTATTATTACTTACATTTTGAATACTTATATATATATATATAGAGAGAGAGATCCATGTGTATATAGAGATATATAGCTTATATTGTGAATATTAGTGAATTATATACAGAGAGCTCCTGCTTTTAGCCCCAGCTTCTGCCAACCTAGCAGTTTGACACCAATGCCGCCCCCCACCTCCAATGACATTGCAGGTTACAGCGAGCACCATGAACATGTCCAAGTGCCATACTGTCTACTGTCCACCACCCAAGTGAAATCATTCATACGGGGACAATTCCATCCTAAATATTGTGTGTTTCCTCCCAGTGTTTCTGACTCCCTCAATTAGTTGGAATTTGCATGACATGACCCTGCCCACCGACTCTTCCTTAACCCTTTCCTATTCTTTTCTATGGCATGCAGCAAACAGAGGAATTGATCAGCAACTCAACATACTAGAGAGGTTTGAGGAAAATTGATCATGATTTCTAGGAGTTGTAGGTCCTGGGATGTATAGTTCACTTGCAATCTAAGAGCACTCTGAACTCCATCAACAATGGACCTGAAACTAACTTGGCACACAAACCCCCCATAACCAACAAAAAATACTGGAGGTCTTTGGAGGGATATATAGGAGCTGTAGTTCATCTACATCCGGAGTGCACTATGAACCCAAACACCGATGGATCTGTACCAAACTATTGATCTGGACTACACTTGGCATACATACCCGATATGCCCAAATTTGAATACTGGTGGGTTTTGAGGGAAATTGGCCTGGACATTTTGGAGTTGTAGGTACTGGGATTTATAGTTCACCTGCAATCAGTGAGCATTCTGAACTCTATCAAAGATGGAATTGGACCGAACTTGGCACACAGAGTCCCCATGACCATGAAAAAAGTACTGGGGGTCTTTGGGGGACGTACTGGTGGAGCTTCTCGGGGTTAACCTGGCATGATGTGAGTTGTAGTTCACCCACAACCTTATGCATTTTGTACCATTAAAAATTGACTTTTTTAAAATAATGCGGGCGACACTGGGTACCCATGCTAGTAATGATTATAATGGCATTGGGACATTGGCAAAATAATAAAAAATAATGACATCAGTACATTGGTAAAATAGTAATAGGTTGAATGATAATAACAATGATAAAATTGGGACGTTATAATAACACGGCACAGAATAATAATAATAATAATAATAATAATAATAATAATAATAATAATGGTTTTTTTCTCCTATTTTGCCCTGGGCTTTTCTTTTTCTCGTTGGGTTATTAAAGTGTTTAGCTAGACCTTCTGCCAAAGGAAGAGGCTGCAAATGGGGTTTGCACATCCCAGATTTGGAGAAACAGCAAGTTCCTCGACCTCAAGGAGGAGAGAGGCTTCCCTCCAAACCAGCAGTAATGGGTTGTGCATCTATACTGTCTAATTAATGCAGTTTGGCACCACTTTAGCTGCTATAGAATGATGGGAGTTCCCTGTAGTTCAGCAGAGACGGCGAAAGCTGCATCAATTCGACAGTGCGGACAATGGATGTATGGTGAATCGTGGTGTGAGTGGCTTGTGCGGCTGTGCCTTTCCCCCGAAAGGTCCATGTTTACAAACGGTGTAAATACAGGTGTTTTTTGATACTTACCTTGTCGATTTCCGTCCGTGATTTGTACCATTGTCATTACTATTTCTGCTAATGGAGTACTTTCATGACGGCCAAACCTTCCTTTTGAAAACAGATGATGCACACACACACACACATGAATCTATCTATCTATCTATATATATATTCCTCACACCTATAACTCTTGACCCCTTCCACCCCATTCTGACACTTACACTCGAAGAGTTCGAAACAGTGACTTCAGTGGAAAGAAAAGAGAATAAAAGCACACTTCTCCACTTCCTGCTCTCATTTCCATTTTTTTTTTTCACTTCAAAAATGCATTTGAATCTTCCAGATTTCAGGTCTGTATAGTAGATTCTCAGTTACACAGAACACTCAAGTAACCAGTGATCATGATTTTAAGTAAAGCGTCCTGTATTAAAGGGGGTGGACTGGGTGGTCCTTGGGGGTCCCTTCTGACTCTGATTCTATAGTCCTATTTTTCTCTGTGGGGTTGGATGGCCATCTGTCAGGAGCGGTCAGATTGAGTCTTCCTGCATTGATGGGATTGAACTGGGTGGCCCTTGAAGACCCCCTCCAGCTCTAGAATTCTATTAGTATATAGCCCCTTTTCCCCATGAATCTGCTCATGTCTGTTAGTTGGATGGCCATCTGTTGGGAGGGATCGGATTGTGTCTTCTTGTATTCATGGGGTTGGACTGGGTGGCCCTTGAAGACCCAGCTCTATGATTCTATCAGTCTATAGCCCCTTTTCCCTTGGGATCTCTATGATCCTATAATCCTATAGTTCAGTGGTTCTCAACCTGGGGTCCCCAGATGTTTTTGGCCTACAATTCCCAAAAATCCTAACAGCCGGTAAACTGGCTGGGATTTCTGGGAGTTGTAGGCCCAAAATATCTGGGGACCCAAGGTTGAGAAGCACTGCTATAGCTGTATGTCGCTCCATGAACCTGTGCACGGCTATGAGGTTGGATGGTCCTGTCAGGAGGAATCGGATCGTGCCTTTGTTTGAATTGATGGGGTCGGACTTGGGGTCTATATACCCCTATTGCCCTCTGTGAACCTGCTCATGTCTATGAGGCTGGGTGGCCATCTGTCGTGAGGGATCAAAGAGTGTCTTCCTACGTTCTTGGGGATCTATAGAATATGGGGTTTTGGTAGTCCTATTTCTCCATGAACCTGCTCGTGTCTGTACAAGGGACGGTCCTCTGTCGGGAAGGATCCTACATTGAGGGGAGGGGTTCTCTTCAGGTCTAGGCGCTGGCGGGCTGGTTGACATAGCTGCTGCGGATGAGGGCGTCAGGAAAGAAGTCACGGAACAGAAACATCATCCGCACCGTCCAGGGATAGAAGAGCTCCTGTGCCCGGGTGGCTCCGCCTTTCACGATGGACAGTGCGGCCTCCGAGGCCGGAGCAGCCGTTATGGTCACCTTGCCCCTGGGACACAACAAGCACAAAGGAAGGCCACAATGGGGGGAGGGTGTCTTTCATTCAATAAGGGAGCCCCTTGGTTTGGCTTGGAGAGGAGAAAGTTAAAGGGGTAAACCAGACTGCAACTCCCAGCAGTCCTCCTGATTGATTTATCTACCTACCTATATAGCTCTATTTAATCTATCTTATCTTGCTGGGAGTTGCAGTCCAGGAATAGGAAATTGGAAATATGCAGGGATTGGGATGCTCACAAAGAAATCCATGGAGAAGAATGCTTGCTGCTTGGAAGCAGTGCATTTAGATCATCCTCCTCTCCTAAAGGACCTGGTCTAGGGGATGCTGGGAGCTATAGTCCAAAAGAGAGTGTGGATATGCTATTTATTGTGCGTTTTCTTTCCAGGGGGAGTCGTCTTTTTATAATGTATGATAATAATACTATTATTATGATAATATGTATTACTATCATCATCTAAGGCAGGTATGGGCAAATCCAGGCCCGGGGACCAGATGCGGCCCCTTGGGCTCTTTTCTCAGCCCCCCCCCCCCCACCAGTATCTTATCCTTCGTTCTTCCTCCTTCCCTTCCTTTTTCTCCTTTCCTGACATACTTTTCTTTCCTTCCTCCCTCTTTCCCTCCTTCCCTTACCTCCCTCTTTTTTCCTCCCTCCCTCCCTCCTTCCTTCTCTTTCATCCTTCCTTTCATACCTCTCTCCCTTCTCTCTTTCCTCCCTCCCGTTCGTCTTCCTCCCTCTCTCTCCATTCCCTTCCACCCTTTCGTCCTTTTTTCCTTCCTTCTCTTTTTCCTTCCTCCTTCTCTTCACCTCTTTGTCCTTCCTTCTCTCTTCCCTCCCTTCCTTCCATCCATCCTACCCATCCACTCTTTTGTCCTTCCATCCTTCCTTATCTCTTCCTTTCCTCCTTCCCTTCCCCCCTTTCGTCCTTCCTTCTCTCTTCCCTCCCTTCCTTTCATCCATCCTACCCATCCACTCTTTTGTCTTTCCTTCCTTCCCTCTTCCTTTCCTCCTTCCCTTCCCCCCCCTTCATCCTTCCTTCTCTCTTCCCTCCCTTCCTTTCATCCATCCTACCCATCCACTCTTTTGTTCTTCCTTCCCTCCCTCCTTCTCTCTTCCTTTCCTCCTTCCCTTCCCCCATTCGTCCTTCCTTCTCTCTTTCCTCCCTTCCTTCCATCCATCTTACCCACTCACTCTTTTGTCCTTCCTTCCTTCCCTCTTCCCTCTCTCCCTCCCATTCATCCTTTTCTTCCACTTTTGTCCTTCCTTCCCTCCTTCTTTCTTCCTTTCCTCCTTCCCTCCCTTCTACACTTTTGTCCTTCCCTACCTTCTCTTTCTTTCCTCCTTCCCTTCTTGCTTCGTTTCTTTCCCCCTTTCTTCCTTCTCCCCTTTCTTCCTTTTCCCCTCCTTCCTTCCCTTCCACCTTTCCTTCTCTCTTTCTTCCTCCTTCCCTTCCTTGCTTCCTTTCTTTCCACCATTTCGTCCTTCCTCCCTTCTCTTTCCTTCCTCCTTTCCTCCCTTCCTTCCCTTCCACCCTTTCATCCTTTCTTCTCTCTTCCCTTCCTTCTTCCCTTCCTTCCCTTCCACCCTTTTGTCCTTCCTTCCTTCTCTCTTTTCTTCCTCCTTCCCTCCCTCCCTTCTTTCCATCCTCCTCTTCCACCCTTTCATTATTCACTCCTTCCCTCCCTTTTCTCTTTCCTCCCTCCTTCCCTCTTTCTCCTTTCATCCTTCTTCCATCTCTCTTTTCTTCCTTCTTCCCCTCCTTCCTTCCATCACTGGGCAGCTGCCAGCATGCGGCCCTCAAGTTAGAAAGTCTGCCTATGCCTGATCTAAGGTATAATATAATATATCTGTCAGTGTATTATTATTACATAATAATAATAAGTTCAATGTATTATCATGATTTAAGGTATAAATAATATTTATAAGCCAGTATGTATTATTGTTACATAACAATATAATAAATTTCATATATTATAATCTGGTATTATAATGTATTATTATTAAGTAATAATAATAATAATAATAATAATAATAAGTATTACTTTCATCATCTAAGGTATTATCCATAATATATCTGTCAGTGTATTATTTCATAATTATAAGAAATATTGTGTATTATCAGCATCATCTAAGGTATTATAATATAATATTAAAGGCCCCTGGTGGTGCAGCAAGTTAAGCTGCTGAACTTGTTGGCGGTTTGAACTAGTCTTAATGTAAGGGAAACCTTTACCTTTTTTAACAATATGTATTATTATCATCATCTATACAGTAGTACTAACATATTAAATATAATACTACCTATAATATATAATAATATAGAATGATACTATTTTATTATTGTATATTTGCATATTTGAAGTTGTAATGTATTAATTGTGAGCTGTTTGAGTCTCCGTATGGAGAGATAAATAAATAAATAAGAAAATATTGTTAAGTATTACTATATATTATGATATGGCATATATTATATTATTATATTATAGGATAAATATATTATTACATTATAGTATTATTATAGTAGAGTATTATATATTAGGATATTATCTCTTCCAACTCTCTATCCATCCATCCAATGGGGTTGGACTAGATGGTCCTTGGGGGTCTCTTCCAACTCTAGGATTCTCTCTCTCTCTCTCTATATATATATATATCTATCTATCTATTTATTTATCTATCTATCTAATGGGGTGGACTAGATGGCTCTTGGGGTCTCTTCTTACTCTAGGATTCTATCTATCTATCTATCTATCTATCTATCTATCTATCTATCTATCTATCTGAGGGAGCTGGACCGGATGGCCCTTGGTGGTTCCTTCTGACTCTAGGACCATTTGCCTGAAACTCACTTCGTTTTGCTGATGGCCGACTCGGTGTCGATGAGGCCCAGGAAGCAGAGTGTGATGCTGATCTCTTTCTGCTGCATGACCAGTTCGTGGCGCAAGGAGCCAAAGAAGCCCTCCAGGGCAAACTTGGTGGCCGAGTAAGGAGCCACGAAGGGGGTGGACACTCTTCCTGAGAGGGAAAAAATACTAAATACTGCATCAAAGTGGAGGAGGTTATTCTTTGTGCTTTGCTTAGAAGAATAACCTAGTAAAGCGATTAAGGAAGGATGAGAGAAGGGGACAGGAGAGCCATGTCTCCATCTTTGAAGGAAGGAAGGAAGGAAGGAAGGAAGGAAGGAAGGAAGTCCCATGGAGGAGGACGGGACAAGCCTTGTTTCCTTGCATTGGCTAATTGGTGGCCAGTCTCTGGGAGCAGTAGTTTCCCAAGGGCACTCACTCACCTGTCAGGGAAGAGACCACCACTAGTGAACCCTTGCTCTCTGCCAAGGGAGGGAGAGCCACCGAGGCGAGGGCCACATAGCTGAAGAAGTTCACCTGGAAGGGAGAGGAATATTAATATTAATAATAATATTAGTAATAATAATAATTGTAATAATAATTCTGTTGGGTGGATTTGGATTGTGCCTTCCAGAAGGGGGATGGACTGGATGGCCTTTGGAGGGCCCTCCCAAATCCCAGCCGCACCTGCATGAGCCAACGCAGATGGTCCATGTCTCCAGCCCACATCTCAAAAGGGCTCGAGCCGTCATGGTTGAGGACCACAAAATCCAGGCCCCCTAAAAAAAGAAGGATGGGAAAGAAAAGCAGATTTGTCATTGGCAGAAAGCGATGAAAAAACAGGTCCAACTTGTTATCCCAATTCATCCATACAGTGTGAACCTAAGGGTTAGTTAGAATCGCGTAGAAGTACTGCACTTTGACATCACTTGGGAGTTGTAGTTTTGGGGTTTGAGGACCCACCGAGTTCCTCCAAGGCAAAATGGACCAGCTTTTCTGGCTCTGCGGAAGAAGCCATATCTGCGACGAAGTAGACGGCCTTCTTGGCTCCCAGCTCCAGGCATTTGGCCATCACCTGGACAAAAGCAAAAGGAACAACCGCCATTTATGGACTTCTTCAACCAAGAGAAATCCAGCTATTAGCGATGGGGATGGTTCCTAGTACAATTGGTTCGCTGTACCATCCATGGCTTGAAAGTATTTCTGAAAAACCCCAAAATTCAACCTTGGTTTTGCCATTTTATGCGTATTGTTCACCACTGCATATAATGGGAGTTGAGCATCCATGGATTTGGGGATCCACGAGGGTCCTAATACCCAATGCAAACAGATATTGGTATCCATGGGGGTCCTGGAATTGGACCCAATCAGGTATTGGTATCCATAGGGGCCCTAGGACCCAACCCAACCAGATATTAGTATCCATGGGGGTCCTGGAATTGGACCCTATCAGGTATTGGTATCCATAGGGGCCCTAGGACCTAACCCAACCAGAGATTGGTATTTATGGGGGTCCTGGAATCAGACCCAATCAGGTATTGGTATCCATAGGAACCCTAGAACACAACCCAACCAGATATTGGTATTCCTGGGAGTCCTAGAACCCAATCCAACCAGATATCAATACCCATGGGGACCTAGAACCCACCTCAAATAAACTTTGGTATCAATTGGAGCTCTAGAACCCAACCCAACTGTCACACAGCAGGGCTGGAAAGGCGCCTTTAAACCAATCTCACACTCCAGAGCTCAGTTATAAGCAAAGCAGTTTATTAAGGTATAAATGTAGCTTCAGCAAAAATAATAAGAAGTCAATACAAAATGTAATCCATGTAACACAAGGCACTTAGGAAGACTTGGAAGCAATAATCCATGAGACCAGAATGTAAGCAAGATCTTTAAACTGGACTCTTGACAGAACACAGCAACCCAGAAGATCAAAAGTACAAGATCCAAAAATACATGAATCCATGAAACCACTTCATTCTTGAAGTAATACAGGAAACCAGGAAAATACGTGAAACTTAGAACATGAGTCCATGAATCCCCATACCACGAGAGGAACGAGAGAGAGGAACTTAGAGCATGTTAATTCTATCCAAATGTTGATTCCTCTAAAGGCCTTAGAACTAAGCCAACCAGACATAGGTATCCACTGGGTTCCTAGAACCCAACACGAACATTAATATCTAAGGCGGTCCTAGGACCAAACTTAACTAAACATAGGTATTCTTGGGAGTCCTCAAACCAGACGCAATCTGGTACTGGAATCCATGGGGGCCTTAGAACCAGATATTGGTATGCATGGAGGCTCTAGAACTCAACCCAAGCTCTATCTTTCCCCAATCCCAGACTTTGAATCTGGATGTGTTCTCACTTTCTGCAGCATGGCCTCCCTCCGGGCGGTGAGGACAATTTGTGCCCCGAACCGGGCATAATGGTAGGCCATTTGTTCCCCGATCCCATCGCTGGCACCAGTCAAGAGAACCCGGGCCCCGGAAAGGCTGTCTGGGAGAGAAAAAGAAATACGGCCAAAGGGGAAAGTAGAGTACCGTATACACTTGAGTATAAGCCAAGATTTTCAGCCCTTTTTTAGCCTGAAAATGCCCCCCATCGGCTTATACTCAAGTGGTCCTGGTGGGAAGTCATGGGATTGAAATATGCCCTTGTTTAAGCCCCACGACTTCCCGCCAAGATCCTCACCTCTTCACCCAGCAGGGTTGATACTTGTGTATATACGGTATTTTGCCTGCCAACAAGTGTCGGCCTTCATTGAGTCTTAGAGTTGGCAGGGAAACCCATGGGCCGTGCCAGGCAGGCAGGGGACACCATCCAAGCCCTCCTGACAGATGGCCACCCATTCCTCTGCAGCTCCTACCTGGCTCGAAGGTGTCTCTCCAGGAGAAAGCCACCCAAACAGCTGCGATGCCAAGGACCGAGAGCAGAAGCCCAGCGGCCCTCATCTCCCTTCTCTCAAAGTGTCACCACAAATAGATATTCAAGCCTGAAAATGATGGCAAGGGTCAGAAACGGATCAGGGGATACAAAGGGCGGGTGCCTCCCACACCCTGCAGGCCAACGGGTGTGTGTTTTGAGGAGAGAGAGAGTCGCTGAACTGGGACTCAGCTCCATGGAAGACTGCCAAAAGGAGCCCCTTCCGCACTGATTGTATAATGTAGCTTGGAACTGCATTACATGGATTGCGTAGACTCATAGAATGCAGTCTAACTGTATGATAGGAGTCAACATTGACCATACAATGCATTGAGCTGCATTATAGGACTTTACACTGACAATAGAATATATTGAACTACATTATAGGAATCTACACTGGCCATATAATGCATTGAACTACATTACTGGACTCTACGCTGATAGTAGAATGCACTGAACTACATTATAAGAATCTACTCTCATGCAGTCTAACTATGCATTATAGGGTCTACACTTACCATATAATGTATTGAACTATGTAACAGGAGACTACACTCACCACAGAATATACTGAACTGCATTATAGGACTCTACACTGACCATAGAATGTATTGAACTGTACTATAGGACTTTACATTGAACATAGAATGCATTAGCTATATTTTGGGACTCTACTCTGACCATAGAATGCATTGAGCTGCATTATAGGGTCTACACTTTGCACAGAATGCACTGAACTGTACAAGAGAGAGTACACCCACTATATAATGCATCGAACTGCATGATAGGCGTCTATATTGCATTATTTGGCAGCGTAGATTCGCCCTCAAGGCCTCAGGAAACACTTAACGGAAAACCCAAAACGCAGAAACCTGTCTATATAAGATCAACATGAACGAGTTCATCATAACGCCATATTTCTACTTTATGGTATAAAGAATTTTAAATACTTTAAAATTCAATTGCTGCACCGAAATTCTGGATTCTCCTCCTTGTTTACAAAAAGTTTAACAGAAGACTGAAAACGATGTTATCCCAGGAAGACTGGCACGACCTTAAATGTGGCGGGACCTTAAGGAAGTAGGGAACAGAGTGGACAGAGTGGGGGAAAACATGATTCCCTTCGCGCATGCGCACGGCAACATCCTTGCGCATGCGCGCAACGGGCCCATTGGTTACCGTTAGAACAAGAAACATAATAAAAAGCCTTCATGTTTTGAGGGAATGTTGCCCTACACTCATTCAGTTTCATTCAATTCGCATTAAGTTCAATTTCCTATAGTTGGTGAAAAAGAAAGAAAAAGCCCTCGCCCTCCCTCTCAGGAACAATGGCGGCCTCCATTTCTCCCAACCGCGGCAGTTCCCGAAAAGTCTCGCGAGAGTAGGTCAGCCAATGGGCTTTTGCTGCAGGTGGGAAAAAACCGGTGCGGGCGGGCGCTTTGCTGCCCTTGGGCCGGCGAAGGCGTTGCTGTCATGGCGTCTCGCTTCGTCCCTGTGATCAAGTGAGTCGGGAGGGCGGTTTTCTAGATTCATAATCAGGAAGGAAGGGCTCAATGCAATGGGATCTTGGCATCAGTAGTCTGGCAAGCCTTGCAAAACTACAGCACCCAAGCTTTAATGGCAAGAGGGTTGCACTAGATGGCCCTTCCAACTGTAATGCTCTGCGTTTGAAATATTGCAATCCCAAATCTTTTTGAAATAGTGGAATCCAATTCTCTTTTGGGAAACTATGATCACTAGGTTCTTGTAGGTTTTTTCGGGCTATATGGCCATGGTCTAGAGGCATTCTCTCCTGACGTTTCGCCTGCATCTATGGCAAGCATCCTCAGAGGTAGTGAGGTCTGTTGGAACTAGGAAAAGGGTTTATATATCTGTGGAATGACCAGGGTGGGACAAAGGACTCTTGTCTGCTGGAGCTAGGTGTGAATGTTTCAACTGACCACCTTGATTAGCATATAAGTTGGCTGAGCCTGGGAAAATGTTTTGTTGAGAGGTGTTAAGATGTGCCTGGTTGTTTCCTCTCTGCTGTTTTGCTGTTGTAATTTTAGAGTTTTTTTAATACTGGTAGCCAGATTTTGTTCCTTTTCATGGTCTCCTTTTTGTTGAAATTGTCCACATGCTTGTGGATTTCAATGGCTTCTCTGTGTAGTCTGACACGGTGGTTGAATCTGAAAATGAACAAAATCTGGCTACCAGTATTAAAAAACTCTTTAAAAAACTCATTTTCAGATTCAACCACCATGTCAGACTACACAGAGAAGCCATTGAAATCCACAAGCATGTGGACAATTTCAACAGAAAGGAGGAGACCATGAAAATGAACAAAATCTGGCTACCAGTATTAAAAAACTCTAAAATTACAACAACAAAACAGCAGAGAGGAAACAACCAGGCACATCTTAACACCTCTCAACAGAACATTTTCCCAGGCTCAGCCAGGCCTTCAAATGCTAAGGTGGTCAGCTGAAACATTCACACCTAGCTTCAGCAGAAAAGAGCTCTTTGCCCCACCCCAGCCATTCCACAGATATATAAACCCATTTTCCTATTTCCAACAGACCTCACTACCTCTGAGGATGCTTGCCATAGATGCAGGCGAAACGTCAGGAGAAATGCCTCTAGAACATGGCCCTATAGCCCGAAAAAACCTACAAGAACCTAGTGATTCCAGCCATGAAAGCCTTCGACAATACATTGAACTATTATCACTATTGCAATCTAAGGCCCTTTCTGTACTGCCATACAATCCAGATTATCAAATCCGATAATCCACATCATCTGCTTTGAACTGGATTATATGAGTCTACACTGCCTGACAATCCGGTTCAAAGCAGATAATCTGGATTTTGTATGGCAGTGTAGAAGAGGCCGAAGTCTTTGCTTTGAACTGTTTTGAAGGTTGCATTCCAAGTATCTTATTTTAGAATGCTTATAATATAATATAATATATTGTACATACATATTATATTGATAATCTATATAAATAAAAATGTAATGTTAATGTATTGTCGAGGGCTTTCATGGCTGGAATCATTCAGTTCTTGTGGGTTTTTTCGGGCTATATGGCCATGTTCTAGAGGTATTTCTCCTGACGTTTCGCCTGCATCTACAGCAGAGAGGCAGGGACATCTAATCACCTTTCAAGAAGAGTTTGCTCCAGGCACAGTCAGCCCATTGCATGCTAATCAAGGTGGTCAATTGAAAGATTCACACCTAGCCCAACTTACAAAAGCCCTTTGTCTCACCCTGGTCATTCCACAGATATATAAACCCCCTTTTTCCCAGCTCCAGCAGACCTCACTACCTCTGAGGATGCTTGCCATAGATGCAGGCGAAACGTCAGGAGAAATGCCTCTAGAACATTGCCATATAGCCCAAAAAACCCCACAAGAACTGAATGTAATGTTAGTTTGTGGGATTAACATAACTCAAAAGCCACTGGAGGAATTGACACCAAATTTGGACACAATACACCTAACAGGCCAACGAGTGACCATCACTCATAAAAACACTGAAAAACACAGCAGAAGAGACTTAAAAAGCCAAGAAAAAATACATTACAACACATGCGCAAAACCACATATATACACATATACACAAATATATACACACACATACACACATATGTACACACACAAAACACATATACACATACTGGGCCACAGAAACAGGTGGCAGGGGATGGCTAGTCTATATAAATAAAAATGGAACATAACTCAAAAACAAACTGACACCAAATTTGAACAGAATACACCTAACAACCCAATGAGTGATCATCACTCATAAAAGCACTGAAAAAAACAGTGGAAGAGACTTTAAAAAAACACATTACAATGTATGCACAAACCACATATACATACAAATATATACACACACATATAAAACAGCTGGAATGTGTCCAGAGGAGGGCGACTAAAATGATCAAGGGTCTGGAGAGCAAGCCCTATGAGGAGCGGCTTAAAGAGCTGGGCATGGTTAGCCTGAAGAAGAGAAGACTGAGAGGAGACATGATAGCCATGTATAAATATGTGAGAGGAAGTCATAGGGAGGAGGGAGCAAGCTTGTTTTCTGCTTCCCTGGAGACTAGAATGAGGAACAATGGCTTCAAACTACAAGAAAGGAGATTCCATCTGAACATTAGGAAGAATTTCCTGACTGTGAAAGCTGTTCAGCAGTGGAACTCTCTGCCCTGGAGTGTAGTAGAGGCTCCTTCTTTGGAAGCTTCTAAACAGAGGCTGTATGGCCATCTCTCGGGGGTGCTTTGAATGCAATATTCCTGCTTCTTGGCAGGGGGCTGGACTGGATGGCCCATGAGGTCTTTTCCAACTCTATGATTTTATGACATAAACACAGACTGGGCCACAGCAATGCGTGGCAGGGGACAGATAGTATTATAATATAATGTAATACAATATAGTACTAATGATAATACAGTAGAATAATTGTATATTATATATTACATGTAATATTACTAATAATATTGCAGGGGCAGAAGTCTCTTTGTTTTGAACTGTTTTGAAGGTTGTATTCCAAGTATCGTATTTTGGAATGCTCATAAGATATGTATATATATCTATATAAATAAAAATGTAATGTTCGTTCATAATCCAAATTATCTATTTAATAATAATATTTTTTCTATACCATACCTTTGGGCCTTTCCAGACACGCCCTTTATCGCATGATCTGATCCCAGGTTTTTGGTTTATGAGTCTGCACTGCCAGCTAATCTGGGATAAACAGAAAACCTGGGATCAGATTCTGGGATACAGTTTTTAACTGTAGGCACTTAGGACTCTTCCGCACAGCCATATAACCTAGGATATCAAGTCAGAAAATCCCACAATATCTGCTTTGAACTGGGTTGTCTGAGCCCAGTTCTATATATTCCAGTTCAAAGCAGATAATATGGGATTTTATTTAGCTGTGTGGAAGGGACCTCAGTTAACTCTCAAGCAACAGGCAACAATGGAAAATAAGATTTTAAAGAAAACATTAAAATACATGTAGAATGTTTTTGTCTTAGTTAATGTGTTATTACTAATTCATGTATACTGCATTTCAATAGGAATATCAAGTCAATACTATACAGAGTTTATCAATTGCATATTTATTTATTTACCATAATTGATCCCCCACCCTTCTCAAACCGAAGGGGACTCTGGGCGGCCTTACAACAGGTAGCAATTTAATGCCATACACATAAACAAAGACAATTAAAATCCAAGCAGTTTAAAATATGAATTAAAATCACACCATCCAAATCATAATCCAAGGCCGTTCCATTTATCTGTCACATTAATTCGTGGTCACTTATCCACTGCTCCCATTGCTGGTCAAAGGTTTGGTTCCAAAGCCATGTCTAAGTTTTTTCATTAAGGTCAGGAGGGAGGGGGCTGACCTGATTCTATTGGGGAGGGAGTTCCATAGCCAAGGGGCCACCACTGAGAAGGCCCTGTCTCATCCCCACCAGTTGCGCCTGTGATGGAGGCGGGACCGAGAGAAGGGCCTCCCTGGAATATCTTAGCCTCTGTGATGGTTCATAGAGGGAGATACATTTGGATAGGTAAGCTGGGCCAGAACTGTTAGGGCTTTATAGGCCAAAGCCAGCACTTTGAATTGTGCTCGGTAGCAAACTGGCAGCTAGTGGAGCTGACGCAGCAGCGGGGTTGTATGCTCCCTGTACCCTGCTCTGGTGAGAAATCTGGCTGCCACCCGTTGGACCACTTGAACCTTCCAAACAGTCTTCAAAGGCAACCCCACATAGAGCATGTTGCAGTAGTCTATTTAGGAAGTAACAAGAGCATGGACTACCATGGCCAAGTCCGACTTCCTAGGGTACGTGTGCAATTGGCGCACAAGTTTTAATTGTGCAAATGCTCCTCTGGCCACCACCGAGACCTGGTGTTCCAGGCTCAGCAATGAGTCCAGGATCACTCCCAAGCTGAAAACCTGCGTAGTGAAATCAGTATTGATATTGAAATTCTGAGTCTACTTTCCTTTTCTGTTCCTTTACAATCTATGCTTTGTTTGTATCTATGCAGGTTCCTGCTCAAAGGAGGCTTAGCGGGAGGCTCCATCTATGTGGTCTATAGCCAAGGGCTCCTTGGTGGAGGGGAAGAAGGGGCCCAGGCCCTCCACAAGGCCAAAGAGGCCCTCCCGCCGGCCCTGGAGGAGTGGGCCAAGTATTTTGGCTGGCAGGTGAGCCCCTTGGGATGGGGGCCTTGGCTGGGGCAAAGGGGAGAACCAAGGTCTCATTCGTCATGCCACCCCCACCTCCCTCAGGATGGCAAAGAAAAGGCTTTATGAAGGAACAGAGTATCTGCAGCTTAGGAGAAACATGCATCAGGCAGATTGTTTTTCTTTTAATATTTATGTGTTGTTGGGTAATTCCATGCTTACGTTGCTGTTACTGTTATTTTTTGTTCATGTTGTGACTCTGTATGTTTTGATGTTGTTGCTTGGAAACTGCCTTGAGTCCCCCCAGGGAGATAGAGTGATATATAAATAAAAGTTTTATTATTATTATATTTATAGACAGCTGTAGAGTTGGAAGACTGTAGGATCCTAGAGTTGGAAGACATAGAGAATGAAAGTTGAAAGATGGAGTTTTTTTGTCATGTTAGGAGCGACTTGAGAAACAGCAAGTCGCTTTTGGTGTGAGAGAATTGGCCGTCTGCAAGGACGTTACCCAGGGGGCGCCTGGATGTTATACCATTCTTGTGGGAGGCTTCTCTCATGTCCCTGCAATGGGGAGCTGGAGCTGATAGAGGGAGCTCATCTATATTCTCCCTGGATTCGAACCTGCAACCTGTCTGTCTTCAGTCCTGACGGCACAGGGGTTTAACCCACTGCGCCACTAGAGGCGCCATAAAGATATAGAGTTAAAAGAGATAGATTTTAAAATCCTAGAGTTGGAAGATCATAGAATCCTAGTTGGAAGAGATAGATATATGGAAGATCAAAGAATCCTTGAGTTGGAAGAGAGAGATATGGAAGACCACAGAATCCTAGTTGGAAGATATAGGTAGATGGAAGATCCAAGAATCCTAGAGCTGGAAGAGATAGATAGAAGATCAAAGACAGACAGATAGGTGGAAGATCAAAGAATCCTAGACTTGGAAGAGTTAGACCCAACTCAAGCTCTCCCAACAGATGGACATTTCCCCTGTGCTTGAAAGCCTCCAGTATTTGCCTACAGATCTCCCTTAGGCTGTCTGAGATGCATTCATTTCTTTTTGGAACCCTTTTCCTAGCTTGTGTTTGTGTTCTCTTTTTACCCAGTTCCCAGCCATCCCCAAGACCGACTTTTCCCTCTGCAACACCTGGAACTCGGGTGAGAATCTGTTGTTTATTTATAAGGAGAGACATTGGGGCAGATCACCTTGACCCCAGATTTGTTGAGGGAGGTGGCCTTTCAGTTATATGGTAAAGGAAATGTATCACTTTGCTTCTGATTTTTCTATAGGGGTCCGGACAGTCATCGGCGGCCTCTCAGTGGCCCCCACGCGGGCCAGCGAATATACCCAGTACGGCTGGAAGTACATGAAGGATCTTGTGAAATGACACCTGCAATAAAACCCTGTCTGGTCCCCAAGAGGCAGAATGGCTGAGAGACTTTGAAAGAGCCCTGCCTGCGTTTGATGCACTAGCAGTCTTCCATTAAATAATAAAATCATCCGTTCTTCCACAAAGCCTGTTGTCTTTTCTTTGCAGAGCTGGAGTCCAAGTGGTCCTGCTTATTCTCTCCAAAAAAGAGACTGTAGTAGGATCGGCAATAAATGTTATCTAGGACTAAGGAAGACTATGAAAAATTCCTGATCTATTGCTAGAAAACAGCACCTTCTAGTGGCCAATCCCAGGTATTAAGTATAAATAAATAAATATTTTCCTGATGTATTCCATGGTTTCAAAACAGCACCCCTAGAGGTCAATTTCAAGGACTAAGCCTATCTACATATAATAAAAGTGAAAATATGTGTGTGTGTGTTTGGCTGGGGTGTCCACTTACACAGACAGTCTCCTACTTCCACGAATAGCTATAGCTCCCACTGCTCAGGAGACACCAATGGCCCTCCCTCCGATGACACTGCAGGTTATAGTGAGTGCTGTGAACATGTCCTCCAGAAACGCCATCCTGCCCACCACCCAAGTGAAAGCTTTCATTCAGTGACAATTCCATCCTAGATTGTTTTTCCTCCACCACAGGCATCCTAGGGTTTTTGACTCTCACCATTGGTGTGGAATTTGCATGACATCACCCACTGCCTCTCCCTATTCTTTTATGTGGCACACAGCAAACAGGAATTAATCAGCAAATGAGCATACTAGTGATGTTTGTGGAGAATTCACCATGACTACTAGGAGTTGTAGGTACTGGGATATATAGCTCACCTGCAATCTTAAGAGCAGTCTGAACTCGCCCAGTGATGGATCTGGAACTCACTTGGCACACAGAACCCCTATGACCAGCAAACAATACTGAAGGTCTTTGGAGGGATTAAGAGTTGTTCACTATGAACCCAAGCGATGGATCTGGATCAATCTTGGCATGAATACCCGATAGGCCCAAATTTGAATACTGGTGGGTTTTGAGGGGGATTGGCATGGACATTTTGGAGTTGTAGGTACTGGGATTTATAGTTCACCTGCAAGCTAAGAGCCCTCTGAACTCCACCAAAGATGGAATTCAACCAATCTTGGCACACAGAACCCTTATGACCAGGAAAAAATACTGGAAAATTCACCTTGATTTGGGGGGAGTTGTAGTTCACTTACATCCAGACAGCACTGTGAACCCAGACACTGGTTGATCTGGACCAAACTTGGCACATTCCCGATATGCCGAAAATTGATTATTGGAGGGATTTGGGGGGAACTGATCTTCCTTTTTGGGAGTTGTAGTTCACCCACCAATGAAACTTGTGACCTCCACTGATGATGGACCTGGACCACACTTGACACACAGAACCTCCATGACTAACTCAACCTACTGGAGGGGTTTGAAGGGACTGACTCAATGTAGTGGGAGTTATTTACCCTACAGCCAGAGAGCACACTGAACTCCACTGATGAAGCATCTACAGCAAACTTGCTCAACATAACAAGTACTCATGGAGTTTATCAGGGTTAACCTGGCATGATGGGAGTTGTAGTTCACACACAACCTTATGCATTTCGTACAATTAAAATTATGACTTTTTCAAATAACCCAGGCAATGCCAGATACCCAAGCTAGTGTATACATGCCATTTACCTGATGGTTAGAAAACAGCACCCTCTAGATCAGTGGTTCTCAACCTATGGGTCCCCAGATGTTTTGGCCTTCAATTCCCATAAATCCTAATGGCTGGTAAACTAGCTGGGATTTCTGGGAGTTGTAGTCCAAAACTCCTGGGGACTCACAAGTTGAGAACCACTGCTCTAGAGGTCAATTCCAGGTACTAGTCCTATATTCCGGATACACTCTATGGTTACAAAACAACACCCTTAAGAGGTCAATCCCAGGTACTGCACAGATGTTTTAATTGCTCTGTAGAAAGACCTATAATAGATGTTTAGGACTAAAGAAGAGTTATGATGGAATGTTCCTTAAAGAAGAGACATTCTTTCTGCTAACCAAAGAGTTTCTGTCTTTGGAAAACGCAATTGATCATGTTTCTCACCTTTCCTTGCTGCAACTCGCCTGCTGTGCCCGGCCGGTTTTGCCCAAGAATATACAATCCGAAGGTTATGACCAGGTCTCTGTAAACTTGTTTTTATTTTATAGAAAATGGAATGCCTTTCTAAAAGAAACACAGATTCTTTTTATTTTAAACAAGGGCAAAAGGGGAAGGAAGGAATGGATGCGGCACGGACAGGGACACATTACCCAGAAATGGCTGCTTCACATGTCAAGTGAGATGGAAGTAAACATAAAAACAGTCACAGTCAGTGGTTCACCGAGGAGTTGTGTGTGTGTGTGTGTGTGTGTGTGTTTGTCTCGGTTTCCTTCTTTCTGTTGCCATTTGTACAGTTTAGGAGAAGGGGAGTGGGGTGGGGGAAAGCCCCCCCCAACAAAAGACCTCATAAAACAGTGAAAACATTCAGTAACGGCGGCTGAAGCGAGGGTCGCTGGGACGGTCCCCTCGGTCTTGTCCCGAGAAGCCTTCACCTCGGGTCTCCCCTCTGGGCGATGATGGGCCTGATGGGTCACTCGGCAGGAAGCCTCCACGCCTAGAAAGGGCACCAGAAAAAGAGGGGGGAAAGGGGTTTCAGGGGGTGCTTGGCCTCATAGTTTCCCTGGAACCCAATGAGACCGATACTACTAATTTCAGGGAATTATCGTCATCAGAAGGATGGTCACCCAGTGGGCTTTCTTCCATTCTAACAAACACTCTCTCCATATAAACGTCTCTGGGAAATGGGGCACTGAAATTAGAGTGCCTCGATCTGTCAATTGATGGTGCCTCACAACCAAAGGAATACGGTACTTAGAAATAGGTTACTGTGAGTTTTCCAGGCTCCCTGGCCATGTTCCAGAAGCATTCTCTCCTGACATTTTGCCCACATCTATAGCAGGCATCCTTAGAGGTTGTGAGGGCTGTTGGGAACTAGGCAAGTGGGGTTTATATATCTGTCGAATGTCCAGGGTGGGAGAAAGAACTCTTGTCTTTTGGAAGAAAGTGTGAATGTTGCAATTGGTGAGCTTGATTAGCATTGAATGTCCTTGCAGCTTCAGAGCTGGCTGCTTCCTGCCTGTGGGAATCCTAATCAATCCACAAAGTAAATCAGCAATTGGGCCACACAGTTTACAGACAATCTACACACAGATACCTACATAAAAATGCCAACCATCACCCAAGTCAAAAAATAAACACAATTAAAGCCCTGGCAGGCCGTGTAAAATGAATATATGAACCCTCCCCTCCTCCAAGGTGAATTGAACCACTTAAACTGTGTTCTGCAGCCCAATGGAGGCTTCACCACAGTCATCAGAAGAGCTGCAAGAACAAGAACAAGACACGAGAGTCAAGACAAAGATCCACCTAGAGGAAAAGGATTCTTACCATACATCAAGGGAACCACCGACCGCATAGGGAAGCTGAGGAAGAAACACAACCTACAAACTATCTACAGAACCACTAAGAAAATCAAACTAATGCTCCGTTCAGCAAAGGACAAAAGGGATCCTTTCACCTCTGCAGGAGTCTCCCGTGTAACATGCAGCTGTGGACAAGTCTACAGATGGACCCCCAAACGCAGCAACAATGCCCAGAAACGGATCAAGGAACAGGAAAGACACTGCAGACTAATCCAACCAAACAAGTCAGTCATAGCAGAGCACCCGATGAACAAACTTGGGCACAGCATATTATTGGAGAACACAGAAATGCTGGACCACCCTAACAACCACCATGTCAGACGACAGAGAAGCCACTGAAATCCACAAGCATGTGGACAATTTCAACAGAAAGGAGGAAACCATGAAAATGAACAAAATCTGGCGACCAGTATTAAAAAACTCCAAAATCAGGACAGTAAATAAAGAACGACACTCAAACAACAGGGGAACTCCAGACAGGAAACAATCAAGGCGAGCTAACACCTCCGAACAAAGGATTCCCCTATGCAGGAAGCAGCCCGGCTTTGAAGCTGCAAAGCCATTGAATGCTAATCAAGGTGGCCAATTGCAACATTCACACTTGCCTCAAGCAGACAAAGAGTTCTTTCTCCCGCCCTGGGCATTATTCCACAAATACGTATATAAACCTCACTTGCCTGGTTTCCAACAGACCTCACAACCCCCTGCCATAGATTGGGGTGAAACACCAGGAGAGAATACTTCTGGAACATGGCCAGACAGCTCGGAAAACTCCCAGTAACCCAGTGATTCCGGTCAAGAAAGACTTTGACAATACTTCGAAACGGCTTATTTGACAGTTCCCTACCTTCCAAGTCCCTTAGGGATTTATGGCAGTAAAACTCTCAAAGAAATGAAACATATCTATCTTTTTTAAGGGACTAGACTGGAGTCCCTCCCAGCTCTTCCTAGAATCTATGATTCCATCATCTATCTATCCATGTATCTGTCTGTCTGTCCATCCATGATGCATCCACCCTGTATACATCCATCCATTATGTCTGTCTTGCCTATCTTGCATCCTTCCATCTACTGTACCTTGCATCCATCCCCTATACATCTATCCATCATATAACTATCTATCTTGCACCTTCCATCCATTTTACATCCATCCTGTATACATCTATCCATCCGATAATCTATCTGTCTGTCCGTTTTTCTTGCATCTATCCTGTATACATCTAGCCACCCATCATCTATATACTTATCTTGCAACCTTCCATCCATGCTGTATACATCTATCAATCCATCTTTTACCTATCCCTCCTTCCATCTATGTAGCACAAATCCTGTATCTGTCCATGTTCCATCTATCTACTCAAAGACCTGCTGTTCTTCATAAAGCCTAAGGAGGACACCAATCTTAACTTCTCCGGAGCCTTCTCAGGCCCCAAATAGAGGAGCAAGGCCAAGATGGATTTGGGATCTTCCCCATGTTAAATGCAAGTTTATAATAATCCTGCATGGAGGTTTCTTTCTTACCCAGACATCCTGCCACGATAACTGACACGAGCCCGTCTTCCTCTGCCCCTGCCTAGGAAAAAAAATGGGACACTTTAAAATGGCTGTATGGCCATCTGCTGGGAGGACTCTGATGGTGCTTTTCTTGCTTGGCAGAAGGGGGTTGGGGTGGATGGCCTTTAACATCTCTCCTAACTCTATTATAGCCCAGTTTCTCTTCATGAACCATCTAGTGTCAATGAAGCTGGATGGTCATCTGTGTCTTTGTGTGGCCCCAGAAACAGAGGATCTGCCACATGATTCATGTAATCTTCAGAACCAAGGTCCAAATGGGGGGATCTACAGTGTCTGACCTATGCCACGATAATAAATGTGTCAGAAAATCATCACCTCGCCATCGTTCAGGATCCCGCCCCAGGGATCCGCCATCATCGCTGCCACTTTGCCAGGAACGGTCCTCAAATTTTCGATCCCCCCAATCGCGTCCATCTCTGAAAAATGAGAGCAAGAAAACATCATCGTTCAGGAATCCTAGAATCATATAGAGTTGGAAGCGGCCAAGTGGACCATCCAGTCCAACCCTTTTCTTCCACAATGCAGGAAAAATACAACCAAAACACCCCGACCGATGGCCATCCAGCCTCTGTGTAAAAGCTTTCAAGGGAGGAACCTCCATTGGACTCCGAGGCAGAGTTCCATTGTTGAATAGCTCAGGAAGTTCTTCGTAATGTTTAGGTGGGATCTTCATTCTTTTCCTTAGAACCCATGGGTTAAATCTTTCACCAGGGCAGCAGAAAGGAGGTCTCCTCCCACTTCCTTATGATAGCCTTTTAGATATTTAAACATGGCCATCATGCCTCCTTTCAACCTTCTCTTCATCAGGTAAACAGATTCAGCTCTTTAAGCCACTTCTCGGAGGGATTATTCATGGTCTCCAGACCTTTGAACATTCCAGTCAGCCTCCTCTGTACATTGTCAATATCCCTCTTGAATTGTTTTGTCCAGAACTCGATACAGGATTGCTATTCCAGGTGAAGTCTGTCCAAGTCAGAAGAGAAGGGCACCACGACTTCCCTAAATCCAGACACTGTCCTCCTATTGATGCAGCCTAGAATTGCACTGGCTTTTTTTTTCCGTTGCTGCATCACTATTGACTCATGTTCAACTTGTGGTCCACTAAAACGTCGAAATCCCTTTCGCATTTACTGTTGTCGAGCCAGGCATGTATTTGTGCATTTTGTTCTCTGTGAAGTATCCTACATTGTTGAAATCTATTTTTGTTAGCTTTATCATCTGTGAAGGTGCTTTTGGATCCAGATCCTGTCTTCTGGAGTCTTAGCTCTCTCTCCCAAGTTTGGAGTCATCTGCAAACTTGATAAGGAGGACCTCTAAACCTTCATTCAAACCATTCATAAAAATGTTGAACAGCCCTGAAAGGCCCAGGAAAAGAACCTCTTTATGGCACCCAACTAGTTTGTTCTACCAAGGATGAAGAAGTACCATTGTTGGGTTCGGTTGCTTAACCAATGACAAAACCACCCCGCAGGAATATTATCCAGCCCACATTTTATTCATTTGTTTGCAAGATCAAGATCTGTTCCATCCACAACAACCATTTGCTTGCAATCGTATCGAAAAAAGAGATAAGCTTGGCATGATTTGTTTTTGAGAAACCCATGCCAACTCTAAGGGATCACAGCCTTCTTCTCTTAAGTGATGACAGATGGCCTCCTTCATTATCCTCTCCAGAATCTTTCCAGGTATCAATGTCAAGCCACTGGACATTGTTTGGAAAGTTCCTGTGTTTCTGAAAGTAAATAATTCAGATTTACCAGATCCTTACGCTCACTTTTGAGACCATTAGTAGGGCTCCCTGAAAGTGTATTATTTTCCCCATTATTCTATTTATTTATTTACAGTACTCACATTCCACCATTCTCAAAGGGGACTCGGGGTGGATCACAGAACTCACATATACAGCAAACATTCAATCCAGATTATACAATGACAAGACAGACATCCAATAGAGGTATATATACGTTTTTTCTCATCATTCAGCATCTTTTGGAGGCTGTGCTCGATTTTGGCCATAGGGGGGTGCTGTCACTTCATCTCCTTGCAAAAGATCTTTCTTTTGTTTGTAAACGTTCCTCCTAATGTATGCCTAAAATACCTCCCTGCTTAATGCGGTTCCTATTCATCTACTCACATTGGTGTTTTCAATTTGTTAGGTGGGTGAAGAGCTGGGCTGAAGGTCAAGAGCTCAACCTGACCCAGCAGAACGCTGACTTTGGAATCATCAAACGCAGCAATGCCCAAACACAAATCAAGGAACATGAAAGGCACTGCAGAGTAATTCAACCAGAGAAGTCAGTCATAGCAAAGCACCTGATGAACTAACCTGGACACAGCATCTTATTGGAGAACTCAGAAATGCTGGACCACTCTGACAACCACCATGTCAGATGACACAGAGAAGCCATTGAAATCCACAAGCATGTGGACAATTTCAACAGTAAGGAAGAAACCGTGAATATGAACACAATCCGGCTACCAGTATTAAAAAAAATTCTAAAATCAGGACAGTAAATAAAGAGCAACACTAAAAAAACAGAGGAATTCCAGGCAAGGATCAATCAAGGTCAGTTAACACCTCCCAACAAAGGATTCCCTCATGTCAGAAGCAACCATTCTTTGAAGCTGCAAGGCCATTCAATGCTAATCAAGGTGGCCAAATACGACATTCACACTTGCGTCAAACAGACAAGAGTTCTTTCTCCCACCCTGGACATTATTACACAGGTATATAAACACCACTTGCCTAGTTTCCAACAGACCTCACAATCTCTGATGATACCTGCCATAGATGTGGGCGAAACATCAGGAGAGAATGCTTCTGAAACTTGGCCAGACAGCCCGGAAAACTCACAGCAACACAGTGAATCTGGCCATTAAAGCCTTCGACAACACATAAATACAATATTATATCATAAGAACAGCCATATAGCGTCAAAATACATGTGTGTGCTTTAGCCCTTCCTATTTTATAGATGACTAGCTGTGCCCTGCCACGCGTTGCTGTGGCCTATAGTAAAACTTATCAAAGTTGAGGTAGATATCTGGACTATTATGAAAGAGAGGTACCTACCTATTCCTTCCCCCTTTTCCTCCCCCTTTCTCTCCTTTCTTCCTTCTCTACCTCTTTCTTTCTTTCACTACTTGGTTTCATCCTTCTCTCTTTCCTTCATTCCCTCCCCCTTTCTTCCTTTGCCTTTCTTCCCTCCCTGTTTGCTTCCTTCTTTCACTTTTTATTTCCTTTTATTTCACCACCATCATAACAATGCATTGCCTCTGGGACCTGACACCTCTCCCATTTCCCCAGGGTCTAATAGGAATAATAGCATAATAATAATAATAATAATAATAATAATAATAATAATAATAGAAATAACAACCTTTACCTGCCACGTGTTGCTGTAGCCAACCTTCCCTCTTTCTCTCCTTCCTTCCTTCCTTCCTTCTTCCTTCCTTCCTTCCCATCTTTCCTTCTCCTCTTTCTTCTCTATCTCTTTCCTTCCTTCCCCCTTTTTCTTTCTCTTCTGGTCTCTTTTCTTCCTTCTCTCTTTCCTTCTTTCCTTCCCTCCCTCTTTCTCTACATCTTCCCCTTCCTTCACTCCCTCTTTCCTTCCTTCATTCCCTTTTTTCTTTCCTTCTCTCCTTCCTTCCTTCCCCCTTTTTCTTTCTCTTCTGGTCTCTTTTCTTCCTTCTCTCTTTCCTTCCCTCCCTCTTTCTCTACATCTTCCCCCTTCCTTCACTCCCTCTTTCCTTCCTTCATTCCCTTTTTTCTTTTCTCCTTCCTTCCTTCCCCCTTTTTCTTTCTCTTCTGGTCTCTTTTCTTCCTTCTCTCTTTCCTTCTTTCCTTCCCTCCCTCTTTCTCTACATCTTCCCCCTTCCTTCACTCCCTCTTTCCTTCCTTCATTCCCTTTTTTTCTTCTCTCTCCTTCCTTCCCCCTTTTTCTTTCCCTCCCTCTGTCTCTCATTTCTTCCTTCTCTACCTCTTTCCTTCCTTCCCCCTTTTTCTTTCTCTTCTGCTGTCTCTCTTTCCTTTCCTTCCATCTTTCCTTTTCTTTCCTTTTCTTCTTCCTTCTTTCTCTAACTTTCCTTCCTTCCCCCTTTTTCTTTACCTCCCTTTCTCTTTCTTCCTTCTTTCCTTCCTTCCTGTCTTTCCTGGATTTTGACAGGGCGGGAAGGGGCAGGGTGGGGTTTGGAGGTGGCGTGAAGTAAAAGGAGGTAAGATTGGGGCAGGGGAGTGATGGAGCGTGGGGTTGTGTGTGTGTGCGGCGGCGGGGGGAGTGATGGAGCGTGGGGTTGCGTGTGTGTGCGGCGGCGGGGGGAGTGGGGTTGCGTGTGTGTGTGCGGCGGCGGGGGGAGTGATGGAGCGTGGGGTTGCGTGTGTGTGTGCGGCGGCGGGAGTGATGGAGCGTGGGGTTGCGTGTGTGTGTGCAGCGGCGGGGGGAGTGATGGAGCGTGGGGGTGGGTGGGGGTGTGCGGCGGCGGGGGTGGGGTTGCGTGTGTGTGTGCGGCGGCGTGGGGGGAGTGATGGAGCGTGGGTTGCGTGTGTGTGTGGCGGGGGGGGTGGAGTGGGGTTGTGTGTGTGTGGCGGTGGGGGGAGTGGATGGAGCGTGGGGTTGCGTGTGTGCGCGGCGGGGGGAGGATGGAGCGTGGGGTTGTGTGTGTGCGTGCGGCGGGAGTGATGGAGCATGGGGTTGCGTGTGTGTGTGCGGCGGCGGGGGGAGTGATGGAGCGTGGGGTTGTGTGTGTGCGTGCGGGAGGGGGGTGTGTGCGCAGGAAGCAGCGCGGCGGGGCTTGGAGTGGGCATGGCTTCCGCTGAGGGAACATTGGCTGGAAGGCTGTGTGCGCGCGCCAGGGAACTTGCGGCTGGGCGCCAATGCACATGCTCAGTTGTTTTGCCATTTTGTGAGTGTGTTGTTGTGTTGTTTTTCATTTTGAGTAGATATGTTTGTACCTTGTGGGTTGTTTTATGGGCATGGGAATTTTGGTTAAGTTTCGCTGGGTTTTTTTGAGTTTTGTTGTTTTGCCGTTTTGTGAGTGTATTGTTGTGTTGTTTTTCATTTTGAGTAGATATGTTTGTACCTTGTGGGTTGTGTTATGGGCATGGCAATTTTGGTGCAGTTTCGTTGGGGGGTTGTGGAGTTTTGCTGTCCCGTTGAACCAACCTAACAGATTTATATATATAGATAAACATGGAGGAACTGTCTCATTTCCTTTCAGGAAATCTGCCTTTAAAACATCCATTTGTTAGATGGCAGTTTTGATCCGGGCATCATTGAGGCCTGGGGCATCGAACTCATTTTCGTGGACGGGCCCATCCGCCTTATGGTTGCCGCTGAATCTATGGAGGGAGAATCCAGGGAGACAGGCGGCCAACTATAATTTTTGCAATATAGTGGTCAGCGTTCTTTAGTTTTTGCCTAGTTAGGGTTCACCAATGTTATGGAACGACAACTCCCATTCCTTTTTATTAACAGGATGCTGGGAGTTGCAACCCAACAGCTCTGTTGGCTCTGAGTTCCGAGAAAGGACTTTGACATGTCATAATTATAGGTTATTTAATTATGGCATCCCAGGTGTAGTCTCTCAGTACATGGACGAATGAGAGAGATACCACTCATGCAGGGACAAATGACAGGAAACTAGAAGGTTTTATTAGCATGCAATAAAGATCAATTACTCTGATGTATGGCAACAGGCGTAAATCAAACCTGGACCATCAGAGGATTTGTGAGTTTTATGACCCCGATTACATTATATACCTGTATTCACTTGAATCTAATGTGCCATCGAATCTAATGCACACCACAATTTTCAAAATTAACCTGACAGCTATCCTTGTGTCGAAATTCCTGACTAAACAGAACCAACGGCAGCTTCCCAGAGGTTCCTGGATCACAACTCCCATCCGGTCTAGTTATGATGTGGAATGCAGGAGTCACAGCCCAGCCTCTGAAGAAGGGCCAAAAAAAAGGACAAGGTGGGATGGATTCGGCCGGCAGGCCTCATGTTTGACACGTGACGTTGGGTCTTCCCGGCCTCACAATGAGCTTCTAAGTGGGATGAAGACATCCCTATCGCTATGACCCACAGTCCCCTCTGCCTTGCACACTCACCTCCCTTCGCTCACACGCCTTTCAGAGCCATAGCTGCTCCATCCATCCCGAGAATCCCGGTGGCGCTCATCTGTGTAATGCTGGGGGGAAAAGGAGGAGGCCGCCGTCAAGAGAACAACCAAGTACACTTTGAAAAAGGACCCAGGAGGGCCACATCATGGAGACGTTGGGGCTTTCTTCCTCTCTGGAGGAGGCCCTTTCCTGCAGAGCATCCAACACCGCAGGAAGTGTCAAAGAACATGGCAGAGTTTCCCCAGCCCTTCCAAGCCCAACAAACCTCCTCCAAAATACATTTCAAAACAATGCAACCAGAAGGGATGCTGTACCAATTTATAAGGGTCATCAAATCATCTTGGGCCATTTGCTGCCTGGCTTTGAAAACAAGAGTCCCCTCTTTTTTGATTTACAGAAATGGATCTGTGCTCTTCTACTACAGCCCATGTCAAAAGCAGTGAGAATCCCTATATGTTCAAATGAGGAAAATGGCAAGATATGCCAACTGTAGGAGAGTTTGGACTGTAAAGATGCAGAAAATAAGAGAAATGGATAGGTTACTGTCAAGAGGTAAGTCTTCCAACACCTTCTAAAAAGAACGGAAACATTTTTGCCAATATATATCTTTTGTTTCAGGTATTTCAATATTTTTATCTTATCATATATGCTTTTATGGCTGCAGTTTAACTGTGTTTTTTTTTAAAAAAAATTATTGAAATTATTTAAACAATCAGAACGAAGAAGTGAGAACAATACCATTATAGAAAAGAAAAAAAATAGAAATAGAAAAACAGAGATACCAGGAAAGAAAAAATTAACAAATAAAAAAATGACTTCCATTCCACCTTCTTGGCTAGTGTCTCTTCTTTTATTCTAAACCTTTAGAGTTGAAATGTATATTTTAACTGCTAATTCTTCAAATTATCCAGATAGTCGTGAAAGAGACCCCAATTTGTTCTTTTTAAGATATTTCCCATATTCTTCTTCAGTAAAAATGTCAATTCGTCCATATCTTTTATTTCTCTTATTTTATCCAACCACAATTCTGTGGGTGGGTTTTGTTCTTATTTCCATCCCTTCGCAAAAACAATTCTGGTGGCTGTCGTGATAAAGGTAAAAAGTTTATCTTCCTCCTCACTCAACTGTAAATCTGAGTCAGCAAAACCTAAGAGATAGTATTGTTTTTTAAAAAATTCCCTTTTTAAGATTTTTTGTGTCTCTTCATGATTTTTTGTCCAAAACTTAGATGCTATTTTGCAAGTCCACCACCACATATGAAAGAAAGAACCAAGCTGATCATTTCCAACATTTGTCCGATAGGTTTTTATACATATGGGCCAATTGTTTAGGTGTGGAATACCATCTGTGAAACATTTTTAACCAGTTCTCTTTTAGGTCCATAGCATATGTATACTTCAATTTTTTGTTCCACATTTGTTCCCACTCTCTTATTTGAATTGGTCTTTTTAAATTTTGTGCCCATTTAATCACGCAGGATTTAACCTGTTCTTTTTCAGTTAACCATGTAAGTAATATGTTATAAATTTTTGATATTACTTTCTTTTCCAGTTTTAATATCTTATCCCATGTTGATTCTTCCCAACTAAACCCCAACTTTTTGTTTTGGTTATAATAGTCTTTAATCTGTAGATAATGCTACCATGTAATGTTAGAAAATGTCTTTTTGAAATCTTCATGGGATTTCATATTATTTGAATTTTTAATTAATATATCTCTATATAACTTGGCCATTTTCGCCATCCCAAAAGTCTTCTCTGGTGGGCCTCCATAGGGAAGACCCATAATGGAGTTTTATTATAAAGATATATTTTATATTTTTGCCAAACTTTTAGTAGTGATGCTCTAACAAAGTTGTTCCCGAAGTTTTTTCCTTTACTTCTCTGTCATACCACAAATAGGCATGCCAGCCTACTCTCAAACCATTCCCTTCTAGATTTAGGTATAATTCTTTATCTAGTAATATCCAGTAATATCCAGTAATATCATGTGTCATGATATGCTTTTAAATCCGGGAGTCCCAAACCTCCTCTAGTTTTCTTATCTATTAAGTTGGTATATTTTATTCTCGGTCTCTTTCCTAGCCATATAAATTTTAACAGATCTTTCTTCCATTTTGCGAAAAAACCCCTGACTTCTAATAATTGGTAAATTCTGGAATAAAAACATTAATTTTGGCAAAATATTCATTTTTATTAAGGAAATACGTCCCATTAATGATAACTTCAAAAATTTCCAATTTTGTAAATCCTTCTGTATTTTTTTCCAGAGCATTTCATAATTATTTTTTATTAATTGTCCGTTCTTGGCCGTTATCCATACTCCTAAATATTTAAATTTCTTTATAATTTCTAAACCTGTTAATTCTTTAATCATGTCTTCTTTCTTCTTCTCTACATTCTTAGTCAATTTTTTTGTTTTTGTCATATTTATCTTATATCCCGATACCATCCCAAAATCTTTTATCTTTTGAATCAATTTTTGTATATTTTTACATAGATCTTCAACTATTCATAAAACATCATCAGCAAATGCCCGTACTTTATACTCATGTTTACCAATTTTTGCTCCTTGAATCGTCTGGTCTTCTCTTATACATTTCATTAGTGGTTCTAGCGACATTATAAATATTAATGGGGATAATGGATATCCCTATCGTGTCCCTTTGGATATATTAAATTCTTCTGCCATTTGACCATTAATCCTCAGTTTAGCTTTTTGTAAATCATAAATCGCATTTATTGCATTACTGAATTTAGCACCCATATCCAATTCTTGAATTAGTGATTTTAAAAACTGTGTTTTAATATGTGAATTTATAGAGGTGTTTAACTATGTTGCACCTTGCCCTGAGCCACAAGTAGAAGCGGGTAATAAATAATAATAATAAATTTATATACCGCTTTACTGAATAACATTAATAAAACAATATTGCTATTTATTAATGCATATTACTGGATTACCACCTCACTGGCTTCATAGGAAATCTTCTACAAACAGGAGCTTTCTGTTGAGTTCCGGGGTCAGAGAAGCAGATGGCAAAAACAGAAGAATGGCCTGCCTCAGAGGAGAGTGCTTGGTCCATCAATGTTTAACATTTACACAAATGACCAGCCATTGTTAGAAGAGACAGAGAATTTGATCTACGCTGATGATCGTGCCATCACTGCTAAAGCAGGGAGTTTTGAAAGGATCGAACAGAAGCCCTCCAAAGCTTTAGGTGCTCTAACTGCCTACTACAGGGGACAACAGCTGACTCCTAATTCATCTACAATGTAGGTGTGTTTTTCATCTTAAGAACAGACAAGCATCTCGAGCTCTGAGGATAACCTGGGAAGGAATCCTACTGGGGCATTGCAGCACATCCAAATACCTGGGATTTGCTCTGGACCATACTCTGATTTACAAGAAGCACTGCTTGAGTATCAAGCAAAAAGTGGATGCTAGAAATGTTGTATGAAAGCTGACTGGCACAATCTGGGGATCACAACCAGACACAGTGAAGGCATCTGCCCTTGCACTTTGCTACTCTGCTACTGAATACACATGCCCAATGTGGAACACCACGTTAAAACAGTGGATGCGACTGCCAAATTATCACAGGATGTCTATGTCCCACACCGCTGGAAAAATTATACTATTTAGCTGTTATTGTACAACCTGACATCTTTCAGGAAGTACCAGCCTTTAATGAAAGGACCAAGAATAGAAACCTCCGAACCATCCTCTGTTCGAATATCAGCCAGCAAGCCAACACCTTAAATCAAGAAATAGCTTTCTAAGATCTACAGAGAAACTCGCAGGAACACCTCAGCAATCGAGAGTCCAAAAGTGGCAGGCTAAAACCAGAACCTCAATCTATGGCTGATACCGGATGAGAGACTCCCTCCTGGGCACACAGAAGACGGGGCAACTTGGAAGGCGCTGAACAGCCTGTGCTCTGGCACCATGAGATGCAGAGCCAATCTTAAGAAATGGGCTACAAAGTGGAATCCACAACATGCGAGTGCGGAGAAGAGCAAACCACAGACCACCTACTGCAATGCAGCATGAGCCCTGCCACATGCACAATGGAGGACCTTCTCACAGCGACACCAGAGGTACTCCAAGTGGCCAGTTTCTGATCGAAGGACATTTAGTATAATGTCAAGTTTTGTGGTTTTTCTATACATTATAACTGTATCCTCAATTCGCTTCTTACACAATAAATATATTACTATTATTATTATTATTATTATTATTATTATTAAAAACTTATTATCCTGCAGCTTGGTAGGTTTAGGTCTTTCTATGTTTCTATATGCATAAGTACTGTTGTTGTTTGTTTATTTGTATTAAAAATAATTTAAAATATTGGGAAAGGGGATGGATCCATAATCCCAGAAAGCAAGCAGCATGAGCTCCAAGTCACAGACTGCATAAGAAAAGCAACTCACCGGTATATCTCGGTCTCCCATCATTCCTCGCGATCCTTCTCTTCTGGAAAAAACAGGACAGATCAAACAATATCAAACAAAGGAGTGCATATAATCAGTTTCTGTTAGAGGCAAAGGGATCCATACTCTACTGCAGGATCCTTCAGTTGTTTGGGCCTTCCAACTCCCAGAAGCCCCTATTGGTCAATGGTCAGGAATTCTGGGAGCTGGAGTCCCACACACATGGAGGGCTGCAGGTTGAAGAGGCCTGCTCTACTGCAACATGAAGCCTGAACAGCCTAAATTCTGGCCTTTACAGATGTTTTGGACTACAATTCCTGTCAGTCTCAACTGACATGGCCAACAACATATAGAAAGGCGTGTTTTCCTTCTTTCCATTGAGGTACAGGTGAAACCTAAGGCCTGACCTTCAGCAGAGAAACAGAGCACTACTTCCATACAGTTTATTCAACACAAAACAGGAGGGCAAAGGGATTTGGTCTGCCTGGCTCACCTGTCCAGGGCTTCATTTTGATGCTGGCCACAATACCTGTAATCGACGTCATGGAATCGATACTGGCGGCTGAAATCGGAGCGGTGGCGGTAATCCATTGCCATCCGCTTTGCCTCGGGCCAGTAGGCATCTTCCCTCCTGGAAGGGGAAAGGCAAGGATCAGCAAAGGCACAAGATTTCTTCCTCCATCTTCTTTGCACTAGCAACTTAAACTTCAAAAGTTTTGAGGAAAGGATTGAAAAGCAAAACACCCAAATCGTAACCACAGGGACTCCCATAATATTTCACCCCACAGATGTTTTTTATTTGAGGACGGAAGTGGACAATAACCCTGACATTGTGTAGGACAGTTCCTAACAGAAACAAATTAACAGAACCAGAGTATTTCCAAGGATGAGGAAGAGATGTACACAAAAGATGGCTGTTCCTTGGGGAGGCAATTAAGAAGGCCCTTAATAATTTAGACATGAGTGGGGCTGAGATTTCCTCAAAGACTCAGAAGCCTTCCTCATATCTATACACATAATAAAAGTGACAATGTATGTGTGTGGTTGGGCTGTCCATTCACTGAGACAAGTTCCTGCTATAGCTCCCAATGCTCAGGAGACACCAATGGCCCACCCTCCAATGGCATTACAGGTCATAGTGAGCGCCGTAAACATGTCCAAGAGCCCTGCCAATGTCCTCCACAAACACCATACTGCCCTCCACCCAAATGAAGGCTTTCATTCCGGGACCATTTCATCCTAGATTTGATGTGTTTCCTCCACCACAGACATCTGTGTTTCTTACGCTCTCTATTGGTGTGGAATTTGCATGATCCCGTCTATTGCCTCTCCCATAACCTTTTCCTATCCACAACAAACAGAGGCATTGATCAGCAACTGAACATACTAGAGGGGTTTGGGGAGAATTCACCATGATTTATAGGAGCTATAGGTACTGGGATGAATAGTTCACCTGCAATCTATGAACACTCTGAACTCCACCAACTATGGACCTAGAACTAACTTGGCACACAAAACCCCATTGACTAACTCAACCTACTGGAGGGGTTTGAGGGGACTGACTCACCATACTGGGAATTGTAGTTTACCCTACAGTCAGAGAGCACATTGAACCCCAACGACAATGCATCTAGGGCAAACTTGCCCAACGTAACAAACTTGAAGTACTGATGGGAGTTTTTCAATATTAACCTTGTATGATGGGAGCTGTAGATCACCCACAACCTTATGCATTTTGTACAATTAAAAATTGATTTTTTCAAATAACTCAGGCAAGGTCATGTGGCCAACATGACTGCACAGAGCGCCATTACTTTCCTGCTGGAACGGTACCTATTGATCTACTCACATTTGCATGTTTTCAAACTGCTAGGTTGGCAGAAGCTGAGCTTAACAGCGGGAGCTCCCCCTGCTCCCTGGATTCAAACCGCCAACCTTTTGGTCAGCAAATTCAGCAGCTCAGCTGTTTAACCTGCTGTGCCACTGGGGGCTCCCTGAGTATACTAAAGCTCTCAAATATTAGAAGAATTAAGGAAGGCAAACTGCATTGGGTGCTTTTAAACAGAGGCTGGATGGCCATTTGTTGGCCACGCTTTGATTGTGCGTCTTTAATATGGCAGAAGGAAGTAGGACTGGATGGCCCTGGGGGATCTCTTCCAACCCTAGAATTCTATGGCTCCATTTTTCTATATACCTGCTAATGTGTATGAGGGTCTGTCAGGAGGGTCTTGATTGTAATAACAGGAAGGGCTTGAAGTGGATGGCCCAAGGGGTCTCTTCCAACTTTAGCACTCTATGGTTCTATAGCCCTCTTTCTCCCCATGAACCTGCTAATGTCTATGAAACTGCATAGCCATCGGTTGGAAGGGTCTTGATTGCGTCTTCCTTAATAACAGAAGGAGGTTGGAGTGGATGGGCCTGGCAGTCTCTTCCAACTCTAGGATTCTAAGTAACAGAAGGTTTTGGATGGGGTTTTTTTTGGTAGCAACCAAAAAGAGTACATGCAGATAAACATCTATGTTGACTCAAGTCTAATGCACAATCAAATCTAGTGAACACCTGAATTTGCAAAATCATGAAACCGAAAAGTATTTACTGCTGAATGTAATGAGCCTGTGGACTGCAGTTTCACAAGACCTTTCCTGCCAAAGAATGCTGGTGCCTCACCAAACTACAACTCCCAGGATGGCATAGCACTGAACCATGGCCAAATAATAATAATAATAATAATAATAATAATAATAATAATAATAATAATAATATCTTTATATCCGGGTTTTCTACCTCACGGGAAGCAAAGTGGCTTAAAACTTACTAAAATCATGTAAACAACAATCCAAATACATTGATAATAAGTATAAAACATCAAAAATAACAATTTAAGACAACAATAATAAACATTCACATAGGGACTCCAGAAGCAGCTTCCCCTTTTGCTTTGGCTCAGCAATAAGATTACTGTATCACGCAAATGTAATGTGCACCCTAATTTTGGCAAGGTCATTTAGCCCCAAAAGGTGAGCATTAGATTTGAGTAAATAGGGTGAAGCCAAGGGGGGGAGTGAATGCGCTCAGGAACGTAGGTAAGGTCAAAGAACCATAGGGAGGAGATAGTGGTCACACAACAAAGGATCAGCTCAACTCCTATGACCCCTTACAGAATTGGTTGAGCCATTCCAAGATAGCCACCTCTCCAGTGAATATGAGCTCACCTCCCATCGATGTCGTAGGGCCTCCGCACAGCCACGCGCCTCTCTTGCTCATAGCGCAGCTGATCATGCTGCCGTCGCAGCTCCTCCCGCTCCCGCTGGATGCGCTCCTGCTCCCGCCTGCGCTCCCGCTCGATGCGCATGCGCTCTCGCTCCAGCCGCTCCCGCTCACTCCGCTCCCGCTCCAGGCGCACCCGCTCAAATTCCAGCTTGTCCCGGGCAATCTCCAGCCGCTCCCTCTCCTCCTGCTCCCAGATAGCCTGCAAACGCTGCTGCCGGTCCCGGCGGTCGCGGGAGCTTCTGAAGGAAGCGGGTACAAAAAGAACGAACTGCATATGAAACTCACATTTAATGACAGGCAGTCCCCAGGTTACATAAAACATGAGGTCATAAGCTGAATCTGCATGTAAGTTGGAACAGGCCTGGTGTCCACTCTGCCAGCAGCAAAAAGTGCACTCTAATTTGGCCAAAAGAAGGCCAAACTTAGGATTCGTCAGAACAAATGTGCTATTATTTATTTATTTATTTATTTACTCTATTTGTATACCGCATATATCAGCCTGAGGCGGCGACTCAATGCGGTTTACAATAAAAAACAACACTAAACAATGTATGAGACACACAATACAGACAAACACATAATCATCAACGCCACACTTAGAATCAGATTCCGATCTCAAAATCCTTTTTCCATTCCTTGTCCGATGCCGTCATTATTGAGTTAATTGCCAAAAGCCTGCTCGTAGAGCCACGTCTTCACCCTCCTCCGAAACACCAGTAACGAAGGGGCCTGCCTGATGTCCACCGGTAACGCATTCCATAGCCGAGGGGCCACCACCGAGAAGGCCCTGTCTCTCGTGCCCGCCAGTCGCACTTGTGACGCCGGCGGAACCGAGAGCAGGGCCTCCCCGGAAGATCTTAACGCTCTTCCGGTTCGTAGGAGGAGATGCGTTCGGAGAGGTAAGTGGGGCCGGAACCGTGTAGGGCTTTATAGGCTAAAGCCAGCACCTTAAATTGTGCCCGGTAGCGAATTGGCAGCCAGTGGAGCTGGTTCAGCAGGGGGGTGGTGTGCTCCCTGAGAGCCGCTCCCATTAGCAACCTGGCTGCCGAGCGCTGGACCATCTGAAGCTTCCGGGCAGTCTTCAAGGGCAACCCCACGTAGAGCGCGTTGCAGTAGTCTATACGGGATGTGACAAGAGCGTGGACTACCGTAGCCAAGTCCGACCTCCCAAGATACGGGCGCAGCTGGCGCACGAGCCGAAGCTGTGCAAATGCTCCTCTGGAAACCGCCGAGACTTGGGGTTCCAAGCTTAGCGAAGAATCCAGAGTCACACCCAAGCTGCGAACCTGCGTCTTCAGGGGGAGTGCGACCCCGTCCAACACAGGCTGTAACCCTATACCCTGTTCGGCCTTTCGACTGACTAGGAGTACCTCTGTCTTGTCTGGATTGAGTTTCAATTTGTTCACCCTCATCCAGTCCGACACAGCAGCCAAGCACCGGTTCAGGACCTGGACAGCCTCCTTAGTAGTAGGTGGAAAGGAGTGACAGAGCTGGACGTCATCTGCGTACAGATAACACCTCACCCCGAAACTCCGGATGATCTCTCCCAACGGCTTCATGTAGATGTTAAACAGCATGGGGGACAGAATTAGTTAGCTGCAGTGGCTCAATGGGTTAAACTGTTCAAAGCAGCAGGTTGGGGTGAGCTCCTGTTGTCAGCCCAAGCTCCTGCCAACCTAGCAGTTTGGAAACATGCAAATGTGAGATAAATAGGTACCACTTCGGTTGGAAGGTAATAAGGCGCCCATATAGCCATGCCGGCAACGTGACCAGGAGGTGTCTACAGACAACAGGCTCCTCGGCTTGGAAATGGAACAAGAGCACCTCCCCATGGCTGGAGTTGAGCATTGCCCCCAGAAAGCCGGTGATGAAAGGGGAAGCCTTTACCTTTGTTCTGTGTATTTGTATGTCATTATTATTCCACCATATTAAAGGCATTGAATATTTGCCTATCTGTGTATGTTGTAATCCGCTTTGAGTCCCCTCGGGGAGGTAGAGCAGAATATAAATAAAGTGTTATTACATAGGGTTGCTGTGAGATTTTTGGGCTGTATCACCAACTAGGCAAGTGAGGTTTATATATCAGCCAGGCTTTGAAGCTGCCAGGCCATTAAATGCTAATCAAGCTGGCCAACTGCAACATTCACACTTGCCTCAAGCAGACAAAAAAGTACTCCTTCCCACCTTTAACACTTTAACATTCCATGGATATATTAACCTCACTTGCCTAATTTCCAACAGACCTCTCAGCCTCTGAGGATTCCTGCCATAGATGTGGACGAAACGTCAGGAGAATGCTTCTGGAACATGGCCAGACAGCCTGGAAAACTAACAGCAACCCCATGTTCCCATTCCCTTGTGTGCCATGTCCTTTCAGGTTGCGAGCACAAAGACAAGGAAGTGTCCAATTAACACGTGCATAAAGCAATAAACAATGACAATCACCACTATGGGAGCCCCTTTGGGCCTCTCAATCTTACCGGTGCGGTTCTTCGCTCGATCGTTTCTCTCTTGTTCTGTTGAAGGGCACACTCCCTTGCCTCTCTCGGCTCTTTTCTCGGCTCTCCGATTTGCGGTCTTGGCTCTTAGCACTCTAGTTTTTGTAGGAAAGGTTCCACAAAGAGAGGGACATTATTCAATGCTCCTGTATTCCTTCAACTGTAAGATACCATCGATTGTAAGGCACATCCTAATTTCAGTACCACCCAACCACAACAACAAAACATCAGATACACCTGCAATTCTAAGATGCACCCCATCTTTAGAGATGTATATCTTGGGAGGGGGTACAGCTTAGAACTGAAGAAATACAGTATTCGGGAATCTCATTCTCCATAAACCCCACAAAGTTAAACAAGCTGCCTCGATTTGCCAGCAAAAGGCCAGTAACTCCAGAAAGCCCCATTCACCTTCCCAAGTCCCATTTTTGAGAAGGATGAACACAACAGCCTACATTCCAGAAGACCAGGAGTTCAGCCTGGGATCATTCAATTCTAAAGCTGTCCGTAAAAAGCAGGATTAAGAATGACAGGTTCTCAATCCAGTCTCTAGTCCCAAAAATTGTTTGTTTCTGAGGTTTTTATAGTATAATTCCACCCGAGGAAGAATTTCCTGACTGTTAAGAGGAGCTATTTAATAGTGGAACTCTCTGTCTTAGGAGTCTTGTGAAGGCTCCTTCTCTGGAGGCTTTGAAACAGAGGCTGGATGGCAATCTGTAAGGAAGGCTTTGATGGTGCCCTTCCTTCCTGGCAGAAAGGTGTTGAACTGGATGGCCCTTAAGGGTCCCTTCCAACCCTAAGATTATATGATCCTATAGCTCTATTTCTCCATGAACCTGTTAAGTTAGGCATGGGCAAACTTTGGCCCTCCAGGTGTTTTGGACTTCCAACTCCCATAATTCCTAACACCTGGTAGGTTGTGAGGAATAGTGGGTGTTGAAGTCCAAAACACTCGGAGGGCTGAAGTTTGTCTATGCCTATGGTAAGTTCTATGAGGCTGAATGGCCATCTGTTGTGAGGGAGCAGATTGTGTCTTCCGGCATTAAAGGCATTGGACTGGATGGCCCTTGGGGTCTTTTCCAACCCTATGATTCAAAAATCAGCCTTAAAAGAGGCCTCTCAAAGGAAGCTTTCCCCAAGATCTTGCATGGTTTCTTTCTAAGCAGTTTTCTTTTTCAGGCAAAGATTTGGAAAAGGGTTTTATCCATTAAAGGAAGAAAATTTGATTTTATCTCTGTCCTTTCTACTAACTGTTGTAGCTCAGCAGTTTCAGCAGTGACAACAGCTAGGGGCTGATGGTTCATTGATGAGTTAAGACTCGGAAAGGGATTGTGGGCTTTCCTGGGATTCAAAGTGATACAGGCCAAGAAAATACAATTGCCTCGGATAGAGATACGGGCCAAGAACAAGAGAATGCAATTCACTCTGAGCTCCAAGGTGAGTCACAAAAAATAGAAACAACATCCCTAGATAAGGGATCAAGTGAAAACAAACTGGCAGAAAACTCTCACGGGACAACACCTGGCAATACAGAACTAAGCAAAGAATTACGCTTGCAGATTAGGATAGATATTCAGTTCCAGAGATCAACAAGGCTTTGTGGGAAACAGATAGGGAAAGTCCGTGGAAGATGCCATGACTGTTTGTCTGTTTATAGTCAGCCTGTGTGAACCCAAATTCAATTCAGGCAATGTTGGCTTTCGAGCAAGAAGTCAGGCCCGAGTTTCCTAGTAATTATGTCAAGTCAAGTCTTGGTTTCGGATTCAAGTATTCTGGAAGTTTTCTATGTGCTTGCTTTATGATTCCTGCTCAAGTTTTCTAAGTATACCTTTTGTTTAAGGATTTATGCTGTGTTTTTGATTTTTGGCTATTCCTGGACTGTGTTACCTTTGGATTCCTGTGTGGCTATCATCTATTGCTAAGCCTTATACCTTTACTTTCCTTGCCTTATTCCTGCTTTTTTTCATATATTTTAATGTGTTTTTACAATAAACTGTTTGCTTATACACCAGATTCTTGTGTAGTGCTGCAGTCATAGGTGGCTCCAAACCTGGGGTGCAACAGTAACACCTTTATTAACTGGGTGCACTTTATTATTATTATTATTATTATTATTATTATTATTGTTTGTACCCTGCTTTTTCCTCTCTAAAAAAGAGACTTAACAGTAAAACCAAGACAACATGATTTAAAATCTAAAGATATACAAACATCAAAAGAGAATTAAACATGAACGGTATTAAAACACACCTTCAGATGTGTTGTATTGCATCTCCCTACCGACATCTCATCAATCTTATACCAATCCTGGAATTATACGTTTCTAATACCCCCAGTTACATATTATTTCTAACCCCCTCCCCCAAATATTGCAAACAATTCAGAAAAATGCCACTTACTCTCTCTTTTGATCTGCTTGTTGTTTTCACACTGATAACAGGCTCCCCCTTAGATTTATCCATGATCACTGTCCTTTCCGTCCCTTTGTTTCCTGCAGGAGAATCGAGGGGAATTAAAGACACCCAACAGCATAAAACCCAGCTAAATACCTAATGGAAAGAACACTGTCAATTACCTGATTTTCCAGTCTTGGACGGATCTGTCGATCCAGATTTTGAATCCTCTTTCTCCTTTTCCTCTGATTTATCAGCATCATCTTTCTCGCTCTTTTTTATACTGGCAGATCTGCAAAAAGAAAACCCAAGCCAATGGAGAAGGCCCTCTCTGAGCTGTAAATATGGAGAACACCAGCCTGGGAAAGGCTAGTTTAAGACGGGATCCAACGAATAAGAAGAAGAAATTTGCTTCTTCCAAACTGTATTTCTTGTTCGTTATGCCTTCAATTACTGTACATACTTGAATATGAGCAGAGCTTTTCAGCCCCCTTTTTAGGCTGAAAAAGCCCTCCATGACTTATACTCGAGCCAAAGTTATTTATTATTTTAATTTTCATTATTATTATTATTATTATTACATTTATTATTTTAATCTATTTGTTATTACATTTACATTATTTTACCCTTTTATTATTACTATTACATTTATTATTTTACCCTATTGTTATTATTACTATTACATTTATTAATTTACTATTATTATTTCATTTATTTTATTCTATTATTATTATTACATTTTTATTGTATTATTATTTGAATTACAGTAATTATTTTACTCTATTATTATTATTACATTTATTATTTTACTTTATTATTACTACATTTCCATTGGAAAGTCTCATCTTAAATTGCTTTCATGTAAATACTGAATAAAATTTAATCTACTGATGCTTCAATTAATGTAATTTTAATTGTATCTATTTTTATTTTGAAATTTACCAGAAGCTGCTGCACTTCCCACCCCCGGCTTATACTTGAGTCAATACGTTTTCCCAGTTTTTTTGTGGTAAAATTGAGTGCCTCAGTTTATATTCGGGTCGGCTTATATTTGAGTATATAGGGGTACAGTAATTCCCAATTTATGGCAATCTTAAAATAACCCCATCAGGGTTGTTTTTCTGCTTTAAAAGACTAATTTATCCAAGTAGGTTTTCAATTTCTAGCTTTAAAAATTATTGGGGATACACATTTGCATTGGAAAATTTAAAAGATCTTTTGAAAAATTATTATTACTACTACTATTACTATTGCACTATGTAACACATTATTTTGTCCCTAGGTTATGTCATTTCCTCATTGGGTCTATTGTAAAATATGGGAAAAGTTTATTAAACTGCAGAAATGTTTGTTTTTGCAGGAGGGACATCCCGCAGCACATTTCGCTCTAGTTTTTCGACAAGTATCTCATTGAGTCTCAACCAATTCAACCAATTTGTGACAGCCACAAAAACAAAATTTCTGGAGTAGAACAACTACTTTCAAAGTATGTCCTACACAATGAAACAGGAAATAACACTTTCAAACCAGGATCAGAACATTATTATCATTACCCCACTTTTTCTCTCTAAGAACAATCAATCTCGTTGAACTTTACCTCTCACCAGGGGATGCATCCTCCTTAGCATCACCATCCTTTTTGTCCAAGAGCTTCTTTGTCGCTGGCTCGTTTTTGGCCTGAAATAACATTAATTGTGAGGCAGAACACAAACAAGCACCTGAATGGGTTCAAGGGGACAAAAAATGCGTGAAGCCAGAGGACTGACCTTTTCAATGGAAATGATTTTCCCATGTAACTCAGTTTTATGACAATGGGCGATGCACTTTGAAGCCTCCTCGGAGGTGGACATCGTCACAAATCCATAACACCGCAAGCCAGGGCTGCGGGCGTTGGTCACCACTTTGGCACCAACCACCTTGGAAGGCAGAGACAACAAAGCAGACACATTTAATAGAGGCAGACTATTATTTTTTAATGGCGGCAAAACCTGAACATGAGCATAATCTATCTATCTATAAAAGTCTATACCACAAATGCTATTGCTACATGAGAATCCAGTGGCCTTCTGTGAGGTCACTGGGAAAGAAAAGGGACATGTGTATGAGGGGAAGCGACGAAGGAAGAGGAAAAAAGAAAGGAACGTAACGAAAGGAGAATGGGAGCAAGGAAAAAGGAAAAAGGAGGCAAGTAAGGAAGGGGCAATGTTGCCCTGGAGATTCGATGAAAGACGAAGAAAGGGGAGTGGAAAAAAGGAAAGAAAGCAAAAAAGAGAAAAAGTAAGGAAAGAACGTAGGGAGGCAAGGAAGGAAGGATGAGAAGGGAAAGGTATGAGGGGAGGGAAGAAAAGAGCAACAAAGAAAGCCATGTTGTCCTGGATAAATTGTGAAATAGGTCTTCTCAGAGCTGGAGAAGAGAAAAAGGGGAATAGAAGGAAAAGAAAGAAAGAAAGAAAGAGAAAAAGAAGGGAAAGGAGAAGGGAGGGGAGGAAGGATGAGAACGGAAAAGTATGACGGAAGGAAAGAGCCACGTTTCTCTGAAGAATTCTGAGATGGATTGTTGTAGATCAGACACCAGAGGCTGATGGTTGAACTGATGATTTAGAGAAGATTGTGGCCTTTCCTGTGGCACAAAGTGATGGGCCCTCAAGTCTGGGAAATTCAAGTCTGGAAAATGATGGTTCTCTCTGTGAGAAAACCGGCTTGGAAAATGCAGGGCCTCAAGGGCATTTATGCGAGTCAGAAGTCGCAACAGCAGATAAGGAATCAAGAGAAGAGTTGAGTGATAAGGAGATTTCCCAGCCATCTGTAGCTACAGAGACCAACAAAAGTCTTCGTTTACAAATCATAGCTGAAAATAGATTGTGTTGTTCAGAGACTCTACATGGCACAGCAGAGAGAGCCTTCTGTAATGTGGCCCCCTGGCTGTGGAACTCACTGCCTGGTGAGATTAAGCAAGCCCCCACCGTAGCAGCCTTTAAGAAGAATCTAGAAACTTGGCTCTTCCGGTGTGCTTTTGGAGAGTGACCACATATTACATTCCTGTTGTCTTCTCCCTCAAGTTGTCCTCATACTGCCCTTCTCCTCACCTTTTTTTAAAGGCCTGACTCCACTGTTCCGTCCTCCACGAGCTCCTCCCTTACAAATACATCTTTTTTATTGTCATCTCATCCAGGGTTTTATCACTTTATGTGTACATTTGGCCCATCCATTGTGTGTGTTTGTTACTGTAACTTGCACTGCTCTGTTTTGTTCTTATGTTCACTGATTATATTGCCTTATTTTATTGCGTTGTTATTTTTGCGGTTTTGTATTCATTTTATTGTAATTGTATTATCGGGCTTGGCCTCATGTAAGCCGCCCCGAGTCCCCTTTGGGGAGATGGTGGTGGAGGGGTATAAATAAAGTTATCATCATCATCATCATCATCATCATCGGTAAAGGAAATTCACGGGAAATGGAATGATTCCATGGGTGTCTATTAAACAATACGTTGTTTACCTTAAGGTCAGTTCAGGCAATGATGCATTAGAGTGAGAAGCTAAGTCTGAGTTCTCTTGTTCCTGGTTCAAGTCAAGCTTTGATTTTGGATTTACTGTATCTTGAAGTTTTCTATGTTCCTGTTCATTTACTCCTTTTTAAGTTTTACTAGTTACACCTTCTTGATTGTGGACTTATTCTGTATCTGTGATTCTTGGCTGTTCTTGGGCTTTGTCACCTCTGGAACTTTATGATACTCTGGGATTTTTGGATTATTGTTGGATTATCATATGTTGCTATTTTTGGGGGGATTATATATCTTCCTTTCTTTTCTTTTTTAATAGATTTTTATATTCTTTTAATATGTTTTACAATAAACTGTTAGTTTATATTCTTGGACTCCTGTGTGGTGTGGTGGGCCTGGAGTGCAACATAGACCCTCTCAGAGCTGGAGAAGAGAGAAAGAGGAGCAGAAGGAAAGAAAAAGGGACAGCAGAAGGAAGGAAATGGGAAGGGAGAAAGAAAAAGGAAGGAGGGGAAAAGAAAAGGAGAAAAGGATGAGGAGACGGAAAAAAGACGGGATGAAATCAGGGGGACAGAAACACAATTCTGCTAGTATATGTACATACTGAGTGTGGCAATTTTAAAGTATCTAGGCCTTAGTTAAAAGTGTCCTCCCCAGCAGCATTTTGCATCATCATCATCATCATCAACATTATTATAACCTGTCACTATTTGAGGATATGATGCTTCAAAGAGTTCTTTGTAAAATCAGGAAGGAAAACACGCAGTTTAGTTCAATAAAGGGTCCTCTTGAATGAAAGAGAACCCAGAGTTCTGCAAAATGTAGATCACACCACAAACTATTTCTTTTCTGAGGGAGGGAGCCTTAAACAAAAGGCTAAGGTTTTCAAGGAGTAGGCCGGAAAGCCTACGAGTGCCACTGTTAAGACTTGATCAGTTAATTGAGATCCTCTTACTTTTCCATATTTGCTAAAGAGGTTTTTCAAGTCCGTTGCTCGGGTGGTGGATGCCAGGCCGCTCACCCAGAAGTTCCTGCCAGAACTTGCGCTGCTGCTACTACTAGCACTGCGGCCTATGTGGAAACAAGAAGCACTTAGTATCAATGTATGTACTGCTTCTCCCATGCAAAATATATACATTATAAACAAAAAGACTGACGGGGCTGGAGAGCCTGTAGCCCTCCAAACGGTGTTGCGACAGTCAGCAACCCAAACCAATCTTGGGAAAAATAACAAAGGGAATTGTAGTTCAACATCATTGAATCATAGTTGGAAGAGACCTGATGGGCCATTCAGTCCAACCCCATTCTGCCAAAAAGCAGGAAAATTGCATTCAAAGCACTCCTGACAGATGACCATCCACCCTCTGTTTAAAAGCCTTGAAAGAAGGAGCCCCCACCACACTTCGGGGTGGAGAGAGAGTTCCACTGCTGAACAGCTCTTACAGTGAGGAAGTTCTTCCTAACGTTCAGGTGGAATCTTATTTCCTGTAATTTGAAGCCATTGTTCCATTGCGTCCTAGTCTCCAGGGCAGGAGAAAACAAGCCTGCTCCCTCCTCCCTATGACTTCCCCTCAGATATTTATAAATGGTCCTCATTATGTCTCCTCTCAGCCTTCTCTTCTGCAGGCTAAACATGCCCAGCTCTTTAAGCCGCTCCTCATAGGGCTTGTTACCAGACCCTTCATCATTTGAGTTATCCTCCTCTGGACACATTCCAGCTTAGTCAACTGCATCTCCCTTCAACTGCAGTGCCCAGAATTGGACGCAGTGTGATTCCAGGTAAAGTGGTCTGACCAAGGCAGAATAGAAGGGAGGGGTCGCATGACTTCCCTGGATCTAGGCACTAGACTCCTCTTGATGCAGGCCAAAATCCCATTGGCTTTATTAGCCACTGCATCGCATAGTTGGCTGATGTTAATCTTGTTCCCCACGTGGACAAGTTTAACACGTTTAACATGTACTAACAAGTACTGCTATTGAGCCAGGCATCGTCCCCCATTCTGTATCTTTGCATTTCCTATTTTCTGCCTAAGTGGAGTATCTTGCATTTGTCACTGTTGAACTTCATTTTGTTAGTTTTGGCCAATCATCTCCCTAATTTGTTAAGATTGTTTTGAATTCTGCTCCTGTCTTGGTGTATGAGATCTCCTTCGCAATTTGGTATTGTCTGCAAACTTGATGATCATGCCTTCTCACCCTTCATCTAAGTCAGGGGTCCTCAAACTTTTTGAACAGGGGGGCAGTTCACTGCCCCTCAGACTGTTGGGGGGGGGGCGGACTATAGTTTACACGGGAATATTGTGAAACATTTATTTTATATATTGTGAAACATTTATTTCTAATCACAAATAAATGAAATTTTGACTTCAAGCATGTCGTAGCATGGGTAACAGGCTTACTATAACAGCATGGAACACATGAATATGTTTAACTGATCAGCCTATTGGCCAAACTCCCATAACCTCTTGTCATCATAGTTTGTGGCAGCCACACGAAGTTTCTGGATGAGAACTACTACTTTCAAAATAAGGGCCACACAATTAAAAAGAAAATAACACTTTCAAACCAGGAACAGATTTCTGTTCTACAATTCTATCATTATGTTTATTTATACACCACTTTCTGTCTCCACAAGGAGACTGTGGGCCCTTCCAGACAGGCCCTAGATCCCAGGTTTTCTGCTTTAAACTGGATTATATGAGTCTGCACTGCCAGATAATCTGGGATAAACAGAAAACCTAGGATCAGATCCTGGGATATAGGGCCTGTCTCAAAGGGCCCTTCCAAACAGCCATATATCCCAGAATATCAAGACAGATAATTCGCAATATCTGCTTTGAACTGCATTATCAGAGTCCACACTGCCATATAAGCCAGTTAAGTGGATTTTATACAGCTATGTGGAAGGGTGCAAAGCAGCTTACATTTCATTACAATTTTAAATCTACAAATATATGAAACATTACAATAGAACTAAATATCATTGCTATTCTTTAAAGCAGGAGGGGTTTGGGAATTGCAGTTCTGAGGATTTATAGTTCACCAGCCATCAAAGAGCATTCTGAGTTCCTCCAAAAATGGAACTGAACCAAACTCGGCATACAGAAGTCCATGACCAAGAGAACATATGGAGGGATTTGGGGAAAAGAGACCCTGATATTTGGAAATTGCAGTTGTGAGGATTTATAGTTCACCAGCCATCAAAGAAAATTTTGAGCTCCTCCAAAAATGGATCTGAACCAAACTTGACATACAAAAGTCCCATGACTAACAGAACATACTGGAGGGGTTTGAGGTAGGATCTACAACAGAGTATGGGATTTGCAGTACCTTCAATTGCTTCAGCTCTGTAATCAAAACCACAGGGCTCTCTCCCACTGCCTGGAGGCACAGCTGCTGGGAGAAGGCTCTTTGCTGTTCCATAGAGGAGTGCTGGCACAGCCCCCAGGAGAGGCGCACTGTTGCCATGGCATCAGAGCCACCGGGCTGCCCCTCGAGGCAGGGAGCACCCCAGTGGCGACCTCTTCCCCCTCTTCCCCCGTGCATTTGCCAATGCTGGGAGAGGGATGGTGCAGAGAGTGCGTGCCCAGGGGCCAGTGGAGGGAGAACACTCCCTGCACTGGCCCTCTTCCCCCGTGCACTTGCCAACGGCAGGGAGCGTCCTTCTCCCGGTGTTTGCAAGTGCGCGAGGAAAAGGGCGGTGCAGGGAGCACACTCCCAGGGGACGTTGACAAGCGTGTGGGGGAAAAGGGCTGGTGCAGGGAGCACGCTCCCTCCACCGTCCCCTGGGCATGCGCTTCCTACACCAACCCAACGCTGGGAGAAGACCAATGGGTGTGGCGGCCCAGCGCATCCGCAGGCCGGATGAATGCCCCCGGGGGGCCAGGTTTGGCCCGCGGGCCTTAGTTTGAGGACCCCTGATCTAAGTCATTAATTTAAGTCAACAGGACGGAACCATGCGGCACATCAGATCTGTATTGTTTAGGAGCCTAGATGAAAATTGTATCTTTAAAAAAATTGCCTTCATTCCTATATTTAAGAGCTTTATGCTTAAATATTTTAATTACCATATTTTTTTCAGTTGCAAGATTTTTGGAAATAGCAACCTTCCAAGCCTAACCAAATATATTTTTGTAGTGGCATATCTGTATCCGTGGCAGTTTAAAGACATGGTTCTTCAGTTTAAGAGCTGAGTTACCTGTGTGCCATTACGTGAATGCTTATGAATATCACTTGTTCAAAGAGTTAACTTCTAACAAGGTCATGCTTTTCTTGGCTAGTGGTTTTCAGAAGGTGGTCTCCACATGTTCATAGAGATTCGCATTTGCCAAATGGATGTGACATCATTTTTACCTTTTCAATAAGGTTGTGGTGCACTTATTTCCAATAGATTATGGAATTTGCAATAAAGACATGCTTTTCCCTAGATTGGTGGTTCTCAACCTGGGGTCCCCAGATGTTTTTGGCCTTCAACTCCCAGAAATCCTAACAGCTGGTAAACTGGATGAGACTTCCGGGAGTTGTAGGCCAAAAACATCTGGGGACCCCAGGTTGAGAACCACTGCCCTACATAAATACCTCGAAAAATGGGATGTGTCTTAGAATCGCAGGTGTATCTTATGTATTTATGTTATTGGTGGTGGTAATGAAATTAGGATGCGTCTTACAATTGATGGAGTAATCGGATTGAAGAAATAAATATACAATTGTAATTAAAAGCATTTACCTCTTTCCTCTTTTGAAGCCAGTGTTGACTCTCTGGTCTCCTCAGAACTAAGGGCAGAAAAAGAAGGAAAAACAGAAAAGCAAAAACTAATCAGGACAGAAACAGGAACAAATTGGCATTAAATTAATAAAGGGGAGGGGGGAGGACTCTAATACCTACCATAATTAGTTGCCCAAATAATTTGTGTGTGTGGCTTTATGACTGTTAATGTACTTCTGGATGGAAAGGCAAGAGGACTTTTGTTGTATTAAAATAAGCAATAAGGTGTTTTTTTTGGGGGGGGGGTCAAGCTTCAAGGCAGAACACCTTGTAGATAGTTAAACAAGGCAACGGGTAAAGAGAAACAACCTCGGAAGGTCGCAAACAAAGAAAAGAAATAAAACCTTTTTTTAACCGAGAAGGAGAGAAAACAAAAGAAAACCTACAAGATGTCTCTCTCTCTTTTTTTTAGACAAGGTAGTCTTGCAGGCCAATTTGAAGGCACACTGTGACTCAATGAGATCTTTTTATATATAATAAAGACAGCGTCTGGTCTAAAACGGAGGAGAAGAAACCAACCTCATGTTCAGATCACCACCCTCTTGGGCAGAGGGCTCTTTAGTGGCAGAGGACTCTTCCTCCTGCTCCTCCTGCTCCTCCTCCTGACCCTGAGCCTGGGCTTCCGTCTTCACGGCCTCCTCGGGGCTCCCCCCTTGGGGCCTTGTCTCCGTCTCCTTCTCCTCCTCCGCGGTTTCCTCACTACTGGCTTCCAGAGTTTGGGCTCCTCTGCTACTCTCATCTCCTCCTCCTTCACTCCTGCTCGCTAAGGCTAAAGAGTCAGAGTCCACTGTGGCTTCCTTAACACTCTCTCCGCTCAGCTCCCCTTTTGCTACCACTAAGGCCTTGCTTTCCTCTTCCTCTTCTTCTTTCTCTTCTTCTTGATCTTCCTCTTTCTTTTTCTTGCCCTCCGAATCTAAACGCTCTTCGTCCGGCCGAGCGGTGGTGCCGCCAAGCGCCTCTTCCTCTTCCTCTTGGCCCACCGGCAACGGCTCATGCGCTTCCTGCTCCGCTTCCGGAGGGTCTTCGTTAAGGGGCTCAGATTTACAAGTGTCACCCAAAATGTCGAGCATTTTCTCATTTTCTATGGATTTAACAGGAATAGAATGGCACAAGGTTTAATCAACCAGGGAAACACAGCACAGACAAAGGCGGCTCGGGCATGGCTGCCCCACTAACGCTACACAGAGACTGGAAAATCCTTGCGGCTAGTAACACATTCATATACCTAGTGCTAATTAAGACACGGCTTTACTATAGCAAGACCATAAGCTATGAGGAAATAGATATGACCCTATTAGTTTTAACGACAACTTTTCCTGGCTTGTTCTTGATGGGTTCTTCAAGAGGGGTATTCTTCCCATATTCCAAGAGACTTAAACGGAATGAACCAAAGAACATAAAATTCCATTTCAAACTCTGAATTTTGTTCTTTTTTTTTGTTTCCAACATGAGAACGGGGATGTCTTCGGAAGGCGTACAAATGTGAGTCCAAGAAAGCATATAGCATTTTATGGGATTTCCATGCAGAACCTCTCATCTTCCTTCTTCCGTTACGCTGTAACTCACTTACACAACTGTGTATTCGTCTAGAATCTGTTAAGCTGCCTTTACTGCTACCTGATCAAGCAATCATAAACAAACAAACATCTTTTCTTTGAGAAGCATTTTTCTCTCTCTTTTCATTTAACATTTCTTCAAGCGCATTTGTGACACTAAATTGAGTTGTTTTTCAGCTCTGAAAAAGCGCTTGCTAAATGACAGGCATTACTTCTCAGATCTAGAGATATGGCTGAGTTTATGAACTTTGCAAAGGTAGGGATCTGTCGGCTACACAATTACAAGGTCACACCCTGGGTTTAATTTAAAGAAATTAATTGAGAAATACCTGGCTCCAAACGCTGCTCTTCCAAATCCTGTAGCAAAAAATGGATGGAGAAAGTTAAGACAGTCCGATGTGTGTAAGACCTGACTCTCAATGAGTTTGGTGGAATTCCTTTCCAGATTAAATTATTATAGGCATTTAGACTCCGGGAAATCTTTCAAATGAAGTCAAAAGCCGAATTAAATTTTATAGAAGTTCCAAAGAGACAAGAAGTCTATACTAGTTTTTTGTGTGTCAGGAACGACTTGAGAAACTGCAAGTTCTTTCTGGTATGAGAGAATTGGCCGCCTGCAAGGACGTTGCCCAGGGGACGCCCAGATGTTTTACCCAGATGTCCCCGCATGAGAAGCTGGAGCTGCCAGATGGGAGCTCACCCTGCTCCCCAGATTTGAGCCACCAACCTTTCGGTCAGCAGTCCTACTGGCACAAGGGTGTAACCCATTGCACCATCAGGGGATTAAAGCTAGAAACTAAGACTTTTCCAAGGGAGGTGAGTGATCGGTACAAAAGCCAAATAGCCTCACTTTTAATTAGGCTCTTGGGGAAATAGGGAAGCCCAGAGCACCAATTCTGACCTCAGTAGCTATTGTTCCCCAGTGCAATTACAAGGCTTAAGAAAACACTTGAGAACAGATCCCAAACTAAGAAACTCACAAAGGATAAAAGAAGAGAATACACTGGGAAAGTATATATTTTCAATTCAGTTTTGTGGCCTTGTTAATTTTAACAGGATAATGTAGAAATTGGAGGGGTTTGTTTATGAGGGTTCAGCAAACTCTGCCTCAAGGGATGTCAGGAGAGAAACTATTGGTGAGAAATGGAAAGAAGTTTCAGTTTTTGGAGTATTTTGGATTACTGGAAAAGGGAGACTCAAGCTATTTAGAGGCAATTCAATCAGAGCACGCCAATACACTTAATACATACATTTATTTATGTGAGATTTTTTAAATTATTTTTTTTGTCATGTCAGGAGTGTAGTTTCTGGTGTGAGAGAATTGGCCGTCTGCAAGGACGTTGCCCAGGGGACGCCCAGATGATTTGATGTTTTTATCATCCTTGTGGGAGGCTTCTCTCATGTCCCCGCATGAGGAGCTGGAGCTGATAGAGGGAGCTCATCCGCCTCTCCCCGGATTCGAACCTGTGACCTGTCGGTCTTCAGTCCTGCCGGCACAGGAGTTTAACCCACTGCGCCACCGGGGGCTCCCATGTGAGAAAATAAACCAGGTTGATAGCCTGTCTGAAACCCCCCCCCCCCCCATATTTGCCATCAGAGGTGAAGCTAGTTTGGCCTCATAAACATGGAATTTAGAGTCTGAAGGCAATCAAGCAAGAAGGCAGTCTATCTTCATTCCCACTGAATACTTTTATGATGATAATAATAATAATAATAATAATAATAATAATAATAATAATAATGGGATGGAGGTCAAGGACTGCCAGCAGAGAGCATTCTCAGGACTGTACGCAGTTTGGAACGAGCTACTCTTTAACTGGTCTTAAAATTAAGCTCAATGAAGTTTATGCCTTGCCCAGAATACAGGAGAGAAGTCAATAAAAGGTCACTCCATCCAACCACTACAATAATCTGCTTTACAAAACCTTCCAGAGCCTGCTTGGAATCCAAATAATAACAAGAGAAGCTTGTGGATTTGGATAAGTGAAGCGGAGTAATCATTAGTATATGGCTAGATAAATAGCCACCAGTCTGGCAATAACTAAATGGATTGTAAGTATACTGTATAATTTTTATTTTAATCTTCATGGTTTTAATTGCTATTTTTGCTATTGTATTTTATGAAGCAGCATTGAATTGTTGCCAATTGTAAGCTGCCCTGAGTCCCCCTAGGGGTTGAGAAGGGTGGGGCAAAAATGCTCGAAATAAATAAATAAATAAAGCTGTACCAATAATTAAAGCTGGGAAAGACTTAAGAGTAATCAAGAGCAAACATTTACTGAAGGACGAGTTATGTTCCTGAACACACTGTTTTTAGGCTTGGGGTGGGCTCACAGATCTTCCTGCGTTGTATCACTTTTGTATCCAGTTAGGAGACAACTTCAAGAGAAGCAAGTGCCATTACCTTCACAGTTGCTAAATCAGGGGCAGCAGTTTCTAGCTGGTCATCGAGCTCATCACCATTCTCCTGTCAGAGTAAAAACCAAAAAGATGCACAAATGTCCCAGAAAAGTTTCCTCTTAAACAAGCTGAAAGGAGTGTTAATTGTGGCTTGGTCCAGACCTGCCCAAAGATGGCTCCCTTCCTGGGTCATGGCCCATCTGATGTAAAAACACCCCAGTACCCCAAAAGATGAGCCTGAATCTTGTTTACAAAGGATTCCCAAACATCTTAATGGAAATAGGTGAAAAAACAGCACACATACACATCTAAATGCAGTCACTAGAACAGGCATGGGCAAACTTTGTAACTTGGGGGCCATATGCTAGCACTCCCTGCTAGGAGGATTGGCTTCCTGGTGACAAAAGGAAGGAAGGAAGAACAAAAGGGAGGAAGGGATGGATGGAAGGAGAAAGAGGGAGAGGGGGAGGGAGGAAGGAAAGAAGGAAGGAAGGGAATTAGGATGAGAGGGTGGAAGAAAAAGGATGAAAGGAATGAAGGGAAGGGGAGAGAAGGAAGGAAGGGAGCGAGGGAGGAAGGAAGGGAGCAAAAGAAGTATGGAAGGAAGGGAAGGATAAAGGAAAGAGAGAAGGAAGGAAAGACAAAAGGGAAGGAAGGAGAAAAAGGGAGAGAGGGAGGAAATAGGGAAGGAAGGATGAAAGGGTGGAAGGGAAAATGGAAGGAAGAAAGGGAAGGATAAAGGAAAGAGAAAGAACGAGAAAGGGAGGAAAGAGAAGGAAAGACGAAAGGGAAGAAAGGATGGAAGGAAAGAGAGGGAGGGAAGGAGGAAAGAATGAGAAAAGGAAGGAAAGACAAAAGGGAGGGAAGGAGAAAGGGAGTGAGGGAAGGATCAAGGGGTGGAAGGGAAGGAGAAAGAGGGAGGGAAGGGAGAGAGAAAAGAGATGGAAGGGGAAAAAAGGGAAGGAATGATGAAATGGTGGAAGGGAAGGAGAAAGAGGGAGGGAAGGAAAGAGAGGAAGGGGGAAGGGTAGGATGGTGAGAGAGAGAGGAGGGCCTGAGAAAAGAGCTCAAGGGGCTGCATCTGGCCCCCGGGCCTGGGTTTGCCCATATTTGCATTAGAATGTGCAGCTTGCTCCCCAAATGAAGCAGTAAGCATGTCAAGGCTCAGAGAAACTGCATTTTTTGGGAGGTAGGCCTGGAAGGTTGGAATAAACATGTCCATCCGTGTTAGAAGGAACCAAGTCCTAAAACAACATAGGCCCTTAGCAAGCCAAACCCTTGACCTTGGTTGCAACACAGAATTATGACACCTGGACCTCTGCTAAGACTCGTGTGCACCCTGATTTATTTTGTCTACAATTCTGCTGATCAGAATAGTTCTGCAACTGTTCCTCTCCTGGCCTTGGCAGGAGCACAGTACAGATACATACGACAGCTGAAGCCAGAAATCAAAAGAGTCTGGGCAGCACAGACATCAAAGGATTATAAATTAGTGTGGTTAAGGAACACCAATTGTTAAATCATCCATTTTAAAATGTCTGTAAAGAAGCATCCACCGTTTATTTACCTCGCTCTCCATTAGCTGCTCTGGAAGTTCTTTCATTTCAACATCAATATTGTCTTTATCAGAGTCAAGAATGTTTTCGGAACTGTAGTCATCTCCACCGTCAACAGCACTGGAGTTGTCTATTTCAGCTTCCTCGAGAACACTCATGTCCCCCATGTCCATTTCCTGCAAGTTTTCTGAACTTGCTTCAATATCCTCCTATAATGGGATTGAAAAGACAACCACACACCATCATTCCTGTGGTTTGACACAGAACCTTTAAAGACTAAATTAAGCTTCACATATATTCTTCCTACCTGTTCGTCTCTCGAATTCTCCTCCAAACCGTTGTCATCTCCACATTCTTCCTCCGGTTTACGCCCTAACAAACAGCACATGGATTGTTTTACACACTTATTTTCCAATTTACGTTGATCTTAAGACATTATTAAAAGAAGATATGTACCATTTAGAATCCACACTAGCTGGAAAACATGACTTAAAGCATGCCTGTGTGGTCACACCGAAGCTGCTTTTAAGGTCTCTTTGGCATTAATGTGTCTTAACTCTCTGTCAACTTGGGGGATGCTGGATTGCCTTCTTTTGGGGCAAGGAACCCAAAAGAGTTAATGTCCATGCTGTTGCTTTGAGAAAAAGGTAACAATTTATTAACAGGTCTTGGGTCTGATGCCATCCAGGCACTAGCTTGATTTTCCCAAAACAAAGTTCATATTTAAAATATGATTCTGAAGCTGCCAGACGTGGACGTTTCTGAGGAGAATATATTATGACAGTTTTCATGAGGAGAATAGATTACAGTTTCCCTTGCTCTCAGTCTCTGGTATACAGGCCTCTGAGGCGACCAATACCCACAGCATTAACCAGTTGTTGTTTAACTACAGGGTGTGGCAGCATAACTTCCTTTTTTAAAATGTGCACCATTCAGTCGGTTAAAGACGTAGCGGAGCGCTAGTGGTCTCTTTCGAGAGGCGGGAGTATAAAGTTTTGTCCTGACACAGTTCAGTCGCCATCATGCGTTGGAACAGTGAGGAGCGTGCTTTTGCCGTTGAGGCCTACTTTTCGAGCGGATGTTCTGTGATTGCAATCCAGGGCGCTTTTCGGAATCGCTTTAATTTAGCCCCATTGGCCCCTGTCACGGACCAGAAAACAATTGTGACATGGGTCACTACATTCAGACAAACTGCAAGTGTGACAAGATGAAGAACTGGAGTCCCTCAGCCCATTAGATCACCTGAGAACATTGAGGTAGCGAGAGCTTCAATGTTGCGATCACCACAGCGTTCTGCGCGCAAACATGCATCTGCCCTTGGATTTTCCAATCGTTCTGTGAGGAGAATTCTTCATGATGATCTTCGTTTCCATCCTTAGAAGATGGCGATTGTGCAGGAACTTTCTGAACGTGACTTCAATTCTTGGAGGAACGCGTGTGAGGTTCTTCTCAAAGTCGTTCCTGAGGACGCTATTGTTTTTTTTTAGTGATGAAGCCCATTTTCATTTGTCTGGATCCGTCAACAACAAAACCTGCGCTACTGGGCTGACAACAATCCTCGAGAATTACATCAAAGGCCTTTGCATTCACCTAAAATCACAGTGTAGTGTGCAATTTCCTCAGCTGGAATTATTGGTTCCTGGTTCTTTGAGGAAAATGAAGTCGCAGTGACAGTGAAATGGGAACGGTATGTAAACATGTTACAGGAATTTTTTTTCCCACGGTTAGATGGGTTGGACTTAGGGGACATTTGGTTCCAACAAAACGGTGCAACTGCACACACTTTAAGAGCATCGATGGCTGTTTTGAGGGATCACTTCCCAGAGCGACTCATCTTAATTAGGGGGGATTTGGAGTGGCTCGCCCGCTCTCCAGATTTGGCCCCTTGTGATTTTTTCTATGGGGTTTTTTGGAATCCCAGGTTTATGTAAACTTTCCAAGGACCCTACAAGATTTGAAGACCAACATCCAGGAAGAAATTGCCAACATAACGCCTGCTATGCTGGCAAGAGTCATGACAAACGCCAGAAATCGGTTTACTCAGTGTATGGAGAATGGGGGACATCACCTACCTAACTATGTAAAACAAAACTTTAGGTATGCGTCTACATTATAAAAAAAATTCTGATTCATACAATGGATTTTATTAAGTTTTGAAAAAAGGAAGTTATGCTGCTGCACCCTGTAATTGGTTGAAGTACTGGTTGTAGTCCCTCTGTGGAGATTGAGAGATGACAGGATATAAAAGCCCGAAATAAATAAATAAATGGTCTGAAGTAACAGATTGTAGGTAATATAACTGGTTATGAAGTGCAACTGGTTATATAGTACAATTGGTTATAGTACTGACTTGAAATGGCTTGTCCAAGCCTGAATCTCTGGGACCAACAGAAGACACATCCCGCTTCAAGGATTCCCTGGTGGTCTATGATCTATAATTGCTCCTTTACCTAAGGCAAAGAGGCGTGGCCAACTAACTGACACAAAACAGCTCCCTTTTCCTCAGGCAAAGGGCAAACAAAATGGCTGACAGAAACAAGGAAGGGTTCTCCCAAACTCCACTCTCACAAAAACTAATATAAAGGAAACTGTTCTAAAACTATGGGCAAGGAAGCCAGACAAAGGGATCTGGAACTGGTACAGTTCCAGCACAATGCCCCTGACAACATAAAATGCAATCACAATACTGCAAAATACTTGTATTAGTTTCAACAAAGGAAAAGACTGTTTAAAAGTATTTTAAAAATCCATTCAAATATTTGCCACTTGGGTTTTGGACAGTTGCAGTAATTGTTTAATGTTGGAAATAGCAACCTTCTACAAGCCTCCTATATCCGTTATTTGTTATGTATATAATTGTGATTGTTTACTATATTGTATGTATATATTGATATGCAGTTTTCCCTTAACTGCATATCGATATATATGCAGTTTACGGACTCTGAGATGGCAAATGCTGAGCATTAGATTGTTTTTATTGATTCTGATGTATATACTGACTGTCTTAATTGTTATAATTGCTGTTTACATGTTTTATCCATTGTTATGCTTATGCTGGCATCGAATTGTGCCTTTGTAAACCGCCCTGAGTTCCCCCTCGGGGGGGGGGGGGTTGAGAAGGGCGGGGTAGAAGTACGTGAAATAAATTAACACTATGTTGATTGACGTTGTGGGAAGGACTGCAAACCTTGTGACCAGATCTGGGACTATTCAGATCGAGACTCTATTTCAGAAGTCAGTTTACATTAGAAGTCAGTCAGTACAGTATGCAGTAGTCAGTGTCCTGCAGTGCATAGACCATTGGTTCTCAACCTTTCTAATGCAGTGACCCCTAAATACAGTTCCTCATGTTGTGGTGACACTCAACCATATTTTTGTTGCTATGTCATAACTGTACTGTTATGAATTTTAATGTAAACATCTGATATGCAGGATGTATTTCCATTGTTACAAATTGAACATAATTAAAGCATAGTGATTAATGATATGGACAATGGATGAAGGGATTGGAATTACTGCCAACAGATTCAGCTCTGACTTTTTGGAAATTGCACTTGTGTGAATTATAGTTCACTAGGCACCAAAGAGCATTCTGGACTCCACCAACAATAGAATTGAACCAAACTTGGCATACAGGACTTTCATGACCAACAGATAATACTGGAGGGGTTTGGGGGAGGCATGTACAAAGATTTGTCCTACACTCGCCCCTCGCGTCCTCTGAAGGCGGAGGGCACGTGGGGCGAGCAGGAAAGGCTCCCTCCATGGCTGCCGCCTTACACTCGCCTCTCGCATCCTCCGAGGCTGGAGGGCACGTGGGGCAAGCAGGAAAGGCCCCCTCCATTGCCGTGGCTGTTTGGCTCGCACAGGAGCCGGCAGCCATTTTGGAGGGGGGCGAGGCCAACCCGTGCGGCTTCGCGACCCCCAGAAAATGGCCAAGCGACCCCCTTGGGGGTCGCGACCCCCAGGTTGAGAACCACTGGCATAGACAGTCTTTACCGAGTCAATGTTCAGTAATGTATTAGACTGAAGAGATGGACTGAAAGCAGTATTTAACTCTTCTTAGGAAGATCATACTTTACAAAAGGTTATGAACATTCCAAATAGTGTGAGTGCCACTTAATCTCGAAAAGGGTCACATTTCCATAAGGCTATGGAGATTCCTGGTTTTCCAAAAGGTTATAATCTCTAAAAGATCATGCCTTTCCAAAATGTAATTGCTTTAAAGCTCTGCTTATCAACTATCTCTGTCTGAAGGCTTTATGATATAGATTATAAAAAAGTAATAATCAATGCATATACTGGTTATAATTGCTCATACCTTTATGCAACACCATGCTTCTAAAACCCTTGTTACTAGATAGTTGCTACATTTTTAGGCACCCTGAATGTGACTGGAATTCAATACTCTGAAGAAACAAGATGCTGTCTAACCTGGGAAACTAAACAGGATCACGCCTGGTTAGGACCTGAATGGGGAAACCACCAAGGAATACCAAGTGACGGTATAGACCAGGTATGGGCAAACCCAGGCCCCTTTGGGCTCTTTTCTCAGGCCCTCCTCTCTCACACCATCCTATTCCCCCTTCCTTCTCTCTTCCTTCCTTCCATCCTTCCCTTTCTTTCTTCCTTGCCTCCCTCTTTCTACTTCCATCCTTCCCTTCCACCATTTCGACCATCCTTTCTTCCCTCTTCCCTCCCTTTTTGTCTTTCCTTCCTTTTCTTTCCTCCTTCCCTTCCTTCCATTCTCTTCCACCCTTCCTTCCTTCTCTTCCTCTTTTCCTTTCTCCTTTCCTCCTGGGGGATGTGTAGCTGGAAGAAGAGAAGGTAGAGAGGGGACTGATTTTCTGATGCTCTAGAGACCAGGGCACAAGGGAACAATGGTTTCAAATGGCAGGGAAAGAGAATAGACTGAAAAGATTAGGAAGAACTTCCTCAGAGTAAGAGCAGTTGGAGAGTGGCATAAGCTACCTCAGAGTGTGGTTGACTCTCCTTCTTTGGAGGCCTTTCTGCAGAGGCTATGTATTGGGAGTTGTTTTCCTGCAAGGAAGGGGGTTGGACTGGATGGCCCTTGGGGGGGGGGGGTCTCTTCCAGCTCTAGAATTCTATATCAGGAGAAGGCAGAACAGGTTCTAATAGAAACACTTTTTCTCTCTCATCCATCCGTCCTGACCAAGGCCAACCCTTTCGGGATCCAAATGCTTTGTCTTTCCTTCCCTTTCTGCCTCCAAAAGAGAAGCGGAAGGGGAGGAAAGCTGCCTCTCATCTTTCTCCCTGCCCCCATCTTGAACGGACCTCCTTCTCTTCCCATACACCCCTTTTTGTGTCAAGGCTGAGCCTCCAAGGGGAAAGGTGTGTGCATATTGGTGTGTTGAAGAGAGAAAAGAATGAGAGTGAAAGTGAGAGGTGGGTGTGACAGGAGGGAAAAGCTCTCTTCCTTTCTGGGCAGTCAGTCCTCCTGGCAAGAAAAGGACTTGGGGAGAACGCCCTCCCTTCTGGTCTGCCCACCCCACTCCGGTCCACCATGTGGCTCCCAAGTTAGAAAGTTTGCACATGCCTGGTATACATACTATTAGAAATGTCAGTAATTTGGGGGAGGTGTCAAATATATTTCATATGTATTTATTTATTTATCTTATTTATATCCCACCTTTTTCTACCCTGAGGGGGACTCAAGGCGGTTTACAATCACACCTTCACAGTGCTTTAAAACATACAGTATCAGCTAAAAACATGAGTTAAAATTAAGACATTGTACACATACTTAAAATACATTTCAATGAATCACACCATCCAGAGTCAGAGTCTGAGGTCATCCCAAGGTCAAACTGCACATTTTCATAAAATATCCTGTACTGCTCTATTTTTCAAAGGCCTGTTCCTTTAGCTTGGTTTTGACTCTCTTTCTAAACACTAGGAGGGAGGGGGCTGCTCTGATATCACTAGAGATGGGCCACCACTGAGAAGGCCCTGTGTCTCGTCCTGTGCTTGCAGGGAAGGTGGGACCGAGAGCAGGGCCTCCCCAGATGATATTAGTCTCCAGGATGGTTCATAAGGTGAGATATGTTTGGACAGGTATGCTGGGCCGGAACCGTTTAAGGCTTTATAGAGTGAAGTCAGCACTTTGAATTGTGTTCGGTAGCAGATTGGCAGCAGAGGATGCTCCCTGTATGGCGCACCGGTGAGCAACCTGGCTGCCGCCCGTTGGACCAGTTGAAGCTCCTGTACAGTCTTCAAAGGCAACCCCACACAGAGTGTGTTGCAGTAATCTATACGGGATGTAACCAGAGCATGGACCATCATGGCCAAGTCAGACTTCCCAAGATACGGGTGCAGCTGGCTTCTTCAATGGGAGATTCTGAAGAAATCCCAAATCATAAAATCATGGCCCCCTCACGCCTCAAGACATTGAATAAGAGGGCAATGAATGGCGAAGATGAATTGAAACATATTGTTTCTAAATTGTGCAAATGTACTGTTAAAAGTAGCAGTCAGCAAAGCGATTTAAAAGGCAAGATCCAAACAGTAACATCTAAGGATGAAAGAAGAAAGCAAACAAAAACTAATTTGCTAACTGTATAACAGAAAGAAACAAATCAAAGACCCTGGGCGACAAAGCCAGAAATCAGTCCAAAATGCATATTTGTGGAAGAAATTATGTTGAAACGAGAAAAAAAATGTTAACAGCACAACAGCAGACCGTTTTGTACCTTTCACAGTTCTTTTGGGGGTTCTCTTTGGAGTACTCTCTGAAGCAACGGGAATTTCATCAGGATTTCCTCCTTCTTCCTCAATTGCCTGTTGGAAAGGGACAGCTGTGAGTTGCTTCAGAAACAGGAAGGCTCTGGCTTTATTATTCTTCCACACTGTGTAGATGGGACTGCTGTGGAGGGAGTCGCGTTTGCAACTCACAAATAATCAAACCATAAACATGGCATGATGGTAGTATTTTTTATGTATTATTACGCTTCTTGATTTGGCAAAACTGTGTTCCCACTGTCATAATTCCCTCCTGCTCAAACTTCTTCCATTGCTCTGTTCAAATTCAATTTCCCCAAATCAATTATGTCCCCCATTTCACTTCCCAAATGTATTGCCCAATTTCACTGCCCAAATAAATTATTGCCTTTCAATCTTTCTCCACTCTACATTGTCCTTTACTGATTAGATTATTTATTGATACAGGGTAATCTATGGGTCTGGTTTCTATTAGTAGTCCCACTCAAAAGAGAAAACCTATTCAATGAACAGAGATTGAAAAGGGCTTTGAGAGGATGGAAAAGGCAGTTCTACAAAAAGTAACCAACAAACAGCAACATGTGGAATGTGGAAAAAAACAAACAGGGAAACAATATCCTACTTGTATTTTATACTTTACGTCAAAGTTTGTATGCATGCGTGTGCGTTTGTGAGTATTTATGTATGTTTGTGGGCAATTTCCAAGATGGTTCCCACTTCCAGAGAGCCCTATGACTCCCACTAACAACGGATCTGGACAAAAATTGGCACAGATTCAACATGACCAGCTTTGAACATTGGTGGGGGGTTTTTGGGGGGAGGAGAGATTGACATTGATGTTGGGAATTGTAGTTCACCCACAATCAAACATCATTGTCAACCCCACAGATGATGGATCTGGACCAAACTTGGCACACAGGCCCAACATCGCCATCTTTGAATACTGGTGGAGTTTGAAGGGAATTGACCCACAATGCCAGGAGTTTTAGTTCACCCACGTCCTTATACATTTTCGAATGGGGACATTCATAAAACAAACACAAGTGATTACTATTTCTTATTAATAGCACTATTAAAAAAACCTAACCTTGGCATTGCCGGGTACGTAAACTAGTATCATATAAATTCGAAATGTCGCTTGAAGGTATGTTCCTTCACAGAGAAAATCAGTGCATCTTCCCCCAGACTAAATCTACCTCATTTAAAACAACTGTTTGATTTATATCATGATATTATTCCAGAATATGGCATATTGTGCATGCTAAAAAGGGTATTGTGGAAAAAGCAGCAGGATATAATATTAATGAAATTACAATGGTAATTTGGAGAAAATCCCTATTTTTAATGCTTCACTCATACATCCTGAGTAAGGAAGTTATTTAAAAAATGAATGGACTACATCCATGTCATTAAAAAGAATCTTTTGTTTTATATTCAGACTCTTACAGAACGGCATTTAAACTGGCCTATTATACATGTGAAAAGGGTATTGTTGCCATGTGTATAATATATTTAGAAATAAAACTAAAGCTTATAAATAAAACTAAGCTTATAAATAGATATGGTTTTAGCTCTTTGACAGTTTAACTGCCATAAATCCATAGGTAACTTGAGGGCAGAAAGATGTAAAATAAACAATTTGTAAGTAGATCTGAGATGTATATTATATATACATAATTTTATTTCTTTATGTATATTATATATATGGTTTTATTTCTTAGATTCAGGCTTCTGGGGGCATTATTTTAAAAATGAAAGGATCATATCCATCTCATTACAAATGTTTTATTTGCATCCTGACTTTCTTACAAAATGAGGTCCAAACCAGCTTATCCTATATGATAAAAGGGATATTGTTGTCTTATGTACATTACAGAAAGAAATAAAACCAGTTATGATATGGTATCATTTCTCTGAGTCTGCCATAAATCTATAGAGGACAAGGTCAAATAAACAATTTGTAAGGAAATCTGGGAGCATTTGTTTTGTTGCCAAATAAATATGAAAAATGCGGCACTTTTAATTTGGGAAAATTCCCTGTTTTTAACTGAGATGTGTGGAGGAATTATTCTTAAAAATAGAAAACATAAATCTCATTAATAAATGCTTATTTGATTATATCCTGATTGTCTTACAGAATGAGATCCTAACTGGCCTACTCAACATGTTAAAAGGGTATTGTTGTCTTACATATATTATATAAAGACATGTGTGTGTGTGTGTGTGTTGATATAACATATATATACACACATACACAACATATATACTACAGACCTTTCATATAATAGTTATATAATTATGTATAGAACATTTATAAAATATATTGGTATATAATATAAAAACATTATAAAATATTCACACAATCTCTCACTCTGTATATATAAAAGAACATTTATAATATATAATAGACTTATGAAGAGATATATACTACATACAATGTATATTATAGAACAGTTTATGTATATATGTATAAACATTTATATAGTACTAGCTGCACCCGCCACGCGTTGCTGTGGTCAACCCCTCCCTCTTTCTCTCCTCCCTTCCTTTCCATCCTTCCCTCTTTTTCTTTCTTTCTCTCCTTCCTTCCTTCTCTTTCACTTCCCTTCCTCTCCCCCCTCCCTTTTGCTTTCTTTCCTTCTTCCTTCTCTACCTATTCTTGGACTGCAGGTCCCAGCAGTCCTCCTGATCGAACTATCTACCTACCTACCTACCTATCTCTATCTAATCTATCTGGAGGATTGCTGGGACTTGCAGTCCAGGAATAGAAAATAGGAAATATGCAGGGATTGGGATGCTCTCAAAGAAATCCAAGGAGAAGAAAGCTTGCATCTTGGAAGCAGTGCATTTGGCTCATCCTCCTCTCCTAAAGGGCCTGTTCTAGGGATGCTGGGAGCTGTAGTCCAGAAGAGAGTGTGGATATGCTATCGTGTTTTTGTTTATTATTATTATTAACTTTATTTATAGCCTGCAAAATCTCCCGAAGGACTCGATGCGGCTTACAAAGGCCAAGGCCGCCGCCAACAACAACATACAAATATAACAGTAAATCTCATAAGCAAATAATAAAACATCAAGCAAAACAATAAAACACTAAAACAAGGGGTAGTCGTTTTTGTGCATGTGCTGTAGTGTATTTTTCCTTTTGTGGATTTAAAGTCCCTTCCACTGTGTTTTTCAGTGTTTTTATGAGTGATGGTCACTCGTTGGTCTGATAGGTGTATTGTGTCCAAATTTGGTGTCAATTCGTCCAGTTGTTTTTGAGTTATGTTAATCCCACAAATGAACATTACGTTTTTATTTATATAGTTTAGCCGTCCCCTGCCGCGTGTTGCTGTGGCCCACATGGGGGTTCTGTGTGGGAGGTTTGGCCCAATTCTATCGTTGGTGGGGTTCAGAATGCTCTGTGATTGTAGAGGAACTATAAATCCCAGCAACGACAACTCCCAAATGTCAAGATTCTATTTTCCTCAAACTACACCAGCGTTCACATTTGGGCATATTGAGTATTCGTGTAGAGTTTGGTCCAGATCCATCATTGTTTGAATCCACAGTGATTTCTGGATGTAGGTGAACTACAACTCCAAAACCAAAGAACACCCTTCCAGTATTTTCTGTTGGTCTTGGGAGAACCGTGTGCCAAGTTTGGTTCAATTCCATCGTTAGCGGGGTTCAAAATGCTCTTTGATTGTAGGTGAACTATAAATCCCAGCAACTACAACTCCCAAATGACAAAATCATTTTTTTTTAGTAAAGGACATACATTGGCTTGCTCGGTGTCTTGTGTCCAAATTTGGTGTCAATTCGTCCAGTGGTTTTTGAGTTCTGTTAATCCCACAAACGAACATTACATTTTTATTTATATAGATTTATATTATATATTTTATATAACAATGTACAGGACTTTTATAAACTATCTTTGAATATAAATTATAGAACTTTCATACAACACATATAACCTATATTATAGATTGGGATTGTTTTAATGGGTTATTTATACTGTTATGTTTTGTTATAAACCGCCTTGAGTCCTTGGAGAAAGGCGGTATAGCAATGTCCAGACAAATAAAAAAGTATCTATTAAAACATCACAACACATATATATAATAGAATATTTAATATAACTTTTATAAAATATATATTGTATATTGAATGTATTATAGAACATTCATATGAAATATATAATAGAACATATATATATATATATATTGACAATGCTCACTCACATTGAGGAGTTATATTGTTATAGAGATTTTAAATGTTCAATGTGTTAGTTATGATGCTTTATTAATGTATTTGTTTTAGCCAGGATTTTCAGTTGTTTATTTTAACTGTCTGTTTTAATGTTTTTTTTTTGTGTTTAGTTTAGTTTGAGTATTTTTAACTGTTTTAATGTTTTACTTTGTCATTCACATAGCATTGAATGTTTGCCATTTTTGCTTTTGTCGCCTTTGGAAGCAGCCCTTAATCCCATCCCCCCCCCCCCCCCCCCCCCCCAACAGGGGAGAGAGGATAGGTTAAAAATAAAGTTTTCTTCTTCATATATATAGATAGATAGATAGATAAACAGAACCTTTCTAGAATACATGATACATACATATTATGCAATATTTATAATAATCTCTGTATTTTAATATGTATTTTACAGAAATACGTTTTAGTATTTATAGAATTTTTATTTACAATGTTGCTGTTTCACCCACATCTATGGCAGGAATCTCAGAGGTTGTGAGGTTTGTTGCAAACTAGGCAAGTGGGGTTTATATATCTGTGGAATAATGTCCAGGGCAGGAGAAAGAACTCTTGTCTGTTGGAGGCAAGTGTGAATGTTGCAATTGGCCACCTTGATTAGTATTGAATGGCCTTGCAGCTTCAAAGCCTGTCTGCTTCCTGTCTGGGGGAATCCTTTATTGGGAGGTGTCTTCCCCCCAAAGAGGACTCAGAGCGGATTACAAATTATCTGTAAATATAATATATTATCTTATTAGCATAGCCCAATATTGGTATTATATATTACTATATTGTGCTATACCACTATACGGCAATATCATTAGTAATATTTCATAATACTACATGTAATATATAATATATAATCATTTTATTCTTTATTATTAGTATTATATTAAATTACAATATTATCAATATTATATGTACATATAATATATAGTATATTATTAGCATAGCATATTAGTATTATATCTTACTACGTTGTACCATACGACTATACTGCAATATTATTACTAATATTACATTTAATATATAATTATTGTATTATACTGTATTATTAGTATTATATTGTATTATAATATTATGTGTATCTATATAAATAAAAATGTAATGTTTGTGGGATTAACAGAACTCAAAAACCACTGGACGAATTGGCACCAAATTTGGACACAATACATCTAACAACCCAATGTATGGGTTGTCATTTGGGAATTGTAGTTGCTGGGATTTATAGTTCACCCAAACTCTACACAAATACTCACTATGTCCAAATGTGAACACTGGTGGAGTGTGGGAAAAATAGAATCTTGACATTTGGGAGTTATAGTTGCAGGGATTTATAGTTCAGCTACAATCACAAAGCATTCTGAACCCCACCAACGATAGAATTGGGCCAAACCTCCCACACAGAACTCCCATGTGGGCCACAGCAACGCGTGGCAGGGGACGGCTAGTATACAATACATTATCTTTATAGCATAGCACAATATCAGTATTATAAATTACCCCTTTACGGGAGTAGAGGAGAGACGGGATAGAAATAGTAGAAAGAAATAAAATAAATAAATAAATACCAGTATACTGCAATATCCTGAGTAATATTACATATAATAATTATATTGCATTATTAGTATTATATTGAATTACATTAGGATTAATAATATTACATGTAATATAAAATATTGTATTATTAGTCTTATATTGTATCACATTAGGATTAATAATATTACATGTAATATTACATTATTACAGTATTACATTATGATTAATATTACATGTAATATAAAATATTGTATTATTAGTATTATATTGTATCACATTATGATTAATAATATTACATGTAATATTACATTATTACAATATTACATTATGATTAATAATTTTACATGTAATACAAAATATTGTATTATTAGTATTATATTGTATCACATTAGGATTAATAATATTACATGTAGTATTACATTATTACAATATTACATTATGATTAACAATATTACATGTAATATAAAATATTGTATTATTAGTATTATATTGTATCACATTATGATTAATAATATTACATGTAATACTACATTATTACAATATTACATTAGGATTAATAATATTACATGTAATATAAAATATTGTATTATTAGTAATATATTGTATCACATTATGATTAATATTACATGTAATATTACATTATTACAATATTACATTAGGATTAATAATATTACATGTAATATAAAATATTGTATTGTTAGTATTATATTGTATCACATTATGATTAATAATATTACATGTAATATTACATTATTACAATATTACATTACGATTAATAATATTACATGTAATATAAAATATTGTATTGTTAGTATTATATTGTATCACATTATGATTAATAATATTACATGTAATATAAAATATTGTATTATTAGTATTATATTGTATCACATTATGATTAATATTACATGAAATATAAAATATTGTATTATTAGTATTATATTGTATCACATTAGGATTAATAATATTACATGTAATATAAAATATTGTATTATTAGTATTATATTGTATCACATTAGGATTAATAATATTACATGTAATATAAAATATTGTATTATTAGTATTATATTGTACCACATTAGGATTAATAATATTACATGTAATATAAAATATTGTATTATTAGTATTATATTGTATCACATTATGATTAATATTACATGAAATATAAAATATTGTATTATTAGTATTATATTGTATCACATTAGGATTAATAATATTACATGTAATATAAAATATTGTATTATTAGTATTATATTGTATCACATTAGGATTAATATTACATGTAATATTACATTACTACAATATTACATTAGGATTAATAATATTACATGTAATATAAAATATTGTATTGTTAGTATTATATTGTATCACATTATAATATCATCAATATATGTACATACAATATATTACCTTATTAGCATAGCACAATATATAATATACTAATATAACGCAATACATTATATAATAATAATTATTATTATAGTACACTATAATAACATATAATAATATTGAAATAGAATAAGACTGCTATATTGCATAGAATATTGCAGTTCGCCCTGGCGTTGATTTCCCCTCAGGCTTTCTTTTCTGAAAATGGAAACGGGGCTCACGTTGCGGAGGCGTTCGAGGAGGACGCTCTTGTTGCCGGCGGTGTCCAGGCTGCGGCGCTTCAGCTCGGCCCGCAGGTCGATGACGCGGAGCTCGGCCAGGCGTCGGGAGGAGGAGGAGGAAGGCGAGGAGGCCTCTTCGCCTTCCACACCTGGAGCCGCCGTCGCCGCCGACTCAGCCATCCCTCACACAGCGGCCGCAAGATTTCTCTCAGAAGACGAGAGCAACCCGAGACCTTCTCAGTGGCGACGTCGCGCTTCTCTTTCGGGCTCCTTTTCCTGGTTGTCCCCTCAGACAAAATGGCGGGAAGAAAGAGAAGAGGAGCCCAACTACAGGCGAGAGAAGGTTCGCTTCCACTGCGCACGCGCGTCTCCTCCCTCAGCGGTGGGGGGGGCAAATTAAACGCTCTTGTCGCGCTGCGCACGCGCGGTTTCCCTCCCCCTCTCCCGTGGAGAAATAACATGTTTATTGCACTGCGCACGCGCGGCTTCTCGCCCTCCTGTGGACGAAGGAGTGTATTGCTTGTAAGCTCCCCTCTGGAGGAATAAGGAGAGCTATAAATTGTGGCAAGTTCTTAGTGGGATGGGCATCCCAAGCCACCTTGTCTCTCTCCTGAGGAATCTGTACAAGGACCAAGTAGCAACAGTAAGAACTGACCATGGAACAACAGACTGGTTCAAGATTGGGAAAGGCGTACGGCAGGCTGCATACTCTCACCCAACCTATTCAACTTGTATGCAGAACACATCATGCGATGTGCAGGGCTTGAGGAATGCAAGGCTGGGTTGAAAATTGCTGGAAGAAACATTAACAACCTCAGATATGCAGATAATACCACTCTGATGGCCGAAAGCGAGGAGGAGCTGAGGAGCCTTCTAATCAAGGTGAAAGAAGAAAGCGCAAAAGCCGGGTTGCAGCTAAACGCCAAAAAAACCAAGATTATGGCAACAAGAATGATTGACAACTGGAAAATAGAGGGAGAAACCGTGGAGGCCGTGACAGACTTTGTATTTCTAGGTGCAAAGATTACTGCAGATGCAGACTGTAGCCAGGAAATCAGAAGACGCTTACTTCTTGGGAGGAGAGCAATGTCCAGTCTCGATAAAATAGTGAAGAGTAGAGACATCAGACTGGCAACAAAGATCCGCCTAGTCAAAGCCATGGTATTCCCTGTAGTAACCTACGGATGTGAGAGCTGGACCTTAAGGAAGACTGAGAGAAGGAAGAAAGATGCTTTTGAGCTGTGGTGCTGGAGGAAAGTTCTGAGAGTGCCTTGGACTGCGAGAAGATCCAACCAGTCCATCCTCCAGGAAATAAAGCCCGACTGCTCACTGGAGGGAAAGATACTAGAGACAAAGTTGAAGTACTTTGGCCACATCATGAGGAGACAGGAAAGCCTAGATAAGACAATTATGCTGGGGAAAGTGGAAGGCAAAAGGAAGAGGGGCCGACCAAGGGCAAGATGGATGGATGGCATCCTTGAAGTGACTGGACTGACCTTGAGGGAGCTGGGGGTGGTAACGGCCGACAGGGAGCTCTGGCGTAGGCTGGTCCATGAGGTCACGAAGAGTCGGAGACGACTGAACGAATGAACAACAACATACTTGCCACATATAAATTGTGACAAGTTCTTGGTGGGATGGGCATACCAAGCCACCTTGTCTCTCTCCTGAGGAATCTGTACAATTATTATTATTATTATTATTATTATTATTATTAAACTTTATTTGTACCCCGCTAGCATCTCCCAGAGGATTCGATGTGGCTTACAACAGGCCAAGGCCACAACAATACAACATAACAATACAATCAAGCAAATCAAACAATTAAAACAAATTAAAGCAAAGTAAACAACAAGCCCAGTACATTAAAACACAATAAAACTGGGCCGGGCCAAAAGGTGGGTACAAGGATTAAAAGTGCTGATTTGACAGGAGGTGTATAAAGGGTTTCTAGGGCAAGTGCGATGTGCAATGTGCAGCAATAATTGGTTCTGGTAAAGTGCTTGTGGGACTCGGTAGTGGAGATTTCCTAATCTGGGAAGGCGCATCGGAAAAGCCAGGTTTTTAAGTTCTTTCTGAAGATAGCCAATGAAGGGGCTTGTCTAAGGTCTTTGGGGAGGGTGTTTCAGAGTTGGGGGGCCACTACGGAGAAGGCCCTGTCCCGCGTCCCCACCAAGCGCGCCTGTGACGCTGGTGGGATCACGAACAGGGCCTCCCCAGATGACCGAAGAGAACGCGTGGGTTCGTAGATGGAAATGCGGTCACGCAGGTAGGCTGGTCCCAAACCATTCAGGGCTTTGTAGGTAAGTACCTGCACCTTGAATTTATTATTTATTTATTTATTTATTGTGTCAGTATCAACCAAACAATTGTATTACATTTTTAACAAATTTTTAAGAAACAGACAAAACAGAGTTTGCAAGCTTGGTAGTTGATTAAATATCCTTTGACCAGTAGCTGGCCACTTGGAGTGCCTCTGGTGTTGCCGCAAGGACCAAGTAGCAACAGTAAGAACTGACCACGGAACAACAGACTGGTTCAAGATTGGGAAAGGCATACGGCAAGGCAGGAAAAGAGATTTAAAGATGGCCTCAAAGCCAACTTTAAAAACTCTGGCATAGACACTGAGAACTGGGAAGCCCTGGCCCTTGACCGCTCCTGCTGGAGGTCAGCTGTGACCAGCAGTGCTGCAGAATTTGAGGAGGCACGAGTGGAGGGTGAAAGAGAGAAACGTGCCAGGAGGAAGGCGCGTCAAGCCAACCCCGACCGGGACCGCCTTCCACCTGGAAACCAATGCCTTCACTGTGGGAGAAGATGCGGGTCAAGAATAGGGCTCCACAGCCACCTACAAACCTACAAAAATAGTCATCAAGGAAGACCATCTTACTCGTCCAACGAGGGATCGCCTAAGTAAGTAAGTAAGTAAGTACGGTAAGGCTGCATACTCTCACCCAACTTTTTTAACTTGTATGCAGAACACATCATGCAATGTGCGGGGCTGGATGAATGCAAAGCTGGGGTGAAAATTGCTGGAAGAAACATTAACAACCTCAGATATGCAGATGACACCACTCTGATGGCCGAAAGCGAGGAGGAGCTGAGGAGCCTTCTAATCAAGGTGAAAGAAGAAAGCGCAAAAGCTGGGTTGCAGCTAAACATCAAAAAAGCCAAGATTATGGCAACAAGAATGATTGACAACTGGAAAATAGAGGGAGAAAATGTGGAGGCCGTGACAGACTTTGTATTTCTAGGTGCAAAGATGACTGCAGATGCAGACTGTGGCCAGGAAATCAGAAGACTCTTACTTCTTGGGAGGAGAGCAATGTCCAATCTCGATAAAATAGTAAAGAGTAGAGACATCAGAACTGGCAACAAAGATCCGCCTAGTCAAAGCCATGGTCTTCCCTGTAGTAACCTACGGATGTGAGAGCTGGACCTTAGGGAAGGCTGAGCGAAGGAAGATCGATGCTTTTGAACTGTGGTGTTGGAGGAGGGTTCTGAGAGTGCCTTGGACTGCGAGAAGATCCAGCCAGTCCATCCTCCAGGAAATAAAGCCCAACTGCTCATTGGAGGGAGGGATACTAGAGAAAAAGTTGAAGTACTTTGGCCACATCATGAGGAGACAGCAAAGCCTAGAGAAGACAATTATGCTGGGGAAAGTGGAAGGCAAAAGGAAGAGGGGCCGACCAAGGGCAAGATGGATGGATGGCATCCTTGAAGTGACTGGACTGACCTTGAAGGAGCTGGGGGTGGTGACGGCCGACAGGGAGCTCTGGCGTGGGCTGGTCCATGAGGTCACGAAGAGTCAGAGACGACTGAACGAATGAACAACAACAACATACTTGTCGCACTGCGCACGCGCGGCTCTTTCGTATTGGCGAAATTAAAGTACAGCTTGTAAGCGTTGTACTCCTCCCTCTCCCATAGAATGAGCCAGTCTTGTTGTACTGCGCACGCGCAGCTCCTACTACCCCCCATCCTCCCGTGGATTTATTATTATTATCTATTATTAACTTTATTTATACCCCGCAAAATCTCCCAAAGGACTCGATGTGGCTTACAATGGCCAAGGCCGCCGACAACATGGCATACAATGCACAATAAACTCATAAGCAAATAATAAACCATCAAGGAAGACAATAAGACAATAAACAATAACATCATGACACAATTAAAACCAAATGTAATGGACAAAATTAAAGGTGCTGAGCTTGACAGGTAAAATGTGAAGGGTGTTGGACGTAGGTGCAATGTGCAGACAATCCCGAGTCTCTAACAATGTGCATTTGGGGCTTGAGGCCAGGAGTTTCCTATTCTGGAAAGGCACACTGGAACAGCCAGGTCTTCAGGCTCTTCCTAAAGTCAGCCAGCGTTGGGGCTTGTCTGATATCCTTGGGGAGACAGTTCCAGAGTCGGGGGGCTACCACAGAGAAGGCCCTGTCCCTCGTCCCCACCAGGCGCGCCTGCGACGCAGGTGGGATCGTGAACAGAGCCTCTCCAGATGATAGGAGGGAACATGCGGGTTTGTAAACAGAGATGCGGTCACGCAGGTAGGCAGGTCCCAAACCGTTTAGGGCTTTGTAGGTAAGTACCTGCACCTTGCATTTATTATTTATTTATTTATCGTGTCAGTATCAACGAAACAATTGTATTACATTTTAAACAAATTTTTAAGAAACAGACAAAACAGAGTTTGCAAGCTTGGTAGTTGATTAAATATCCTTCGACCAGTATCTGGATCACAGCAACGCGTGGCAGGGGATTTATTTATTTATCGTGTCAGGAGCAACCAGACATTTGTATTACATTTTTAACAAAACAAACAAACAGACAAAACACAAAGTTTCCAAGCTTGGTAGTTGATTAAATGTCCTTTGACCAGTATCTGGCCACTTGGAGTGCCTCTGGTGTTGCCGCAAGGAGGTCCTCGATTGTGCGTGTGGTTGCACTGCAGCAGGTGGTCTGTGGTTTGCTCTTCTCCACACTCACATGTCATGGATTCTACTTTGTAGCCCCATTTCTTGAGGTTGGCTCTGCATCTCGTGGTGCCAGAGCACAGTTTGTTCAGTGCCTTCCAAGTCGCCCAGTTTTCTGTGTGCCCAGGGGGGAGTCTCATTTGGTATCAGCCATAGATTGAGGTTCTGGGTTTGAGCCTGCCACTTTTGGACTCTCGTTTCCTGAGGTGTTCCAGCGAGTGTCTCTGTAGATCAGTGGTTCTCAACCTGGGGTCCCCAGATGTTTTTGGCCTCCAACTCTCAGAAATCCTAACAGCTGGTAAATTGGCTAGGATTTCTGGGAGTTGTAGGCCAAAAACATCTGGGGAGCCCAGGTTGAGAACCACTGCTGTAAATCTTAGAAAACTATTTCTTGATTTAAGTCGTTGACGTGCTGGCTGATACCCAAACAAGGGATGAGCTGGAGATGTCACTGCCTTGGTCCTTTCACTATTGGCTGCTACTTCCTGGCGGATGTCAGGTGGTGCAATACCGGCTAAACAGTGTAATTTCTCCAGTGGTGTAGGGCACAGACATGCCGTGATAATGCGGCTTGTCTCATTAAGAGCCACATCCATTGTTTTAGCATGGTGACATGTGTTCCACACTGGGCATGCATACTCAGCAGCAGAGTAGCATAGCGCAAGGGCAGATGTCTTCACTGTGTCTGGTTGTGATCCCCAGGTTGTGCCAGTCAGCATTCGTATGATATTGTTTTTAGCACCCACTTTTTGCTTGATGTTCAGGCAGTGCTTTTTGTAGGTAAGAGCACGGTCCAGAGTGACTCCCAGGTATTTGGATGCGCTGCAATGCTTCAGTGGGATTCCTTCCCAGGTGATCCTCAGAGCTCGGGATGCTTGTCTGTTCTTGAGATGAAAAGCACATGTCTCTGTTTTAGATGGGTTGGAGATCAGCTAGTTTTCCCTGTAATAGGCAGTAAGAGCACCTAGAGCTTCGGAGAGCTTCTGTTCAACCATCTCAAAGCTCCCTGCTTGAGCGGTAATGGCACGATCATCTGCAAAGATGAAGCTCTCTGTTCCTTCTGGCAGTGGCTGGTCATTTGTGTAAATGTTGAAAATTGATGGAGCGAGCACGCTCCCCTGAGGCAGGCCGTTCTTCTGTTTCCGCCATCTGCTTCTCTGGCCCTGGAACTCAACAAAAAAGCTCCTGTTTTGTAGCAGGTTTCCTATGAGGCGGGTGAGGTGGTAGTCCTTTGTGATATTATACATTTTTCTCAGGAGGAGGCGGTGGTTCACAGTATCATAAGCTGCTGACAGGCCTATGAAGACAGCTCCTGTGATCTGCTGCCTTTCAAAGCCATCTTCTATGCTCAGCACATAGCACCTCCCGTGGAAGAATGAGAGATATACTTTTCGCACTGCGCACGCGCTTTTCTTCCTTCCTGAAGGTGGAACGAGAGAGCCACTTTTCAGCGATGCGCACGAAATCCTAACAGCTGATAAACTGGCTGGGATTTCTAGGCCAAAAACACCTGGGGACCCCAGGTTGAGAACCAACGCGCGGCACCCCTCCCCCCCATGAGTTATTCTTGTAGCTCTGCGCACGCGCGGGTCTTCCTTCCGCTTGGTGGAGTCTAAAATATGGCCTGTCAGCATTGCGCATGCGTAGTTCCGACTGCCCCTCTCCCCTATTTTATTTATCGTGTCATCAGCAACCATTGTATTTCAATTCTAACAGCAAAACAAACACAGAGATTAAAAAGAAAAAGAAAAAAAAGGGAAAAAAAGGAAAAAAAACACACAGATTTTGCAAATTTGGTATTTGGTTAAATGTCCTTTGACCAGTATCTGGCCACTTGGAGTGCCTCTGGTGTTGCCGCAAGGTCCTCCATTGTGCATGTGACAGGGCTCAGGGTACATTGCAGCAGGTGGTCAGTGGTTTGTTCTTCTCCGCACTTGCATGCCGTGGATTCCACCCTGTAGCCCCATTTCTTAAGATTGGCTCTGCATCTCGTGTTGCCAGAGCGCAGTCTGTTCAGCGCCTTCCAAGTCGCCCAGTCTTCTGAGTGCCCAGGGGGGAGTCTCTCATCTGGTATCACCCATGAATTGAGGTGCTGGGTTTGGGCCTGCCACTTTTGGACTCTCGCTTGCTGGGGTGTTCCAGCGAGTGTCTCTGTAGATCTAAGAAAACTATGTCTTGATTTAAGTCGTTGACATGCTGGCTGATACCCAAACAAGGGATGAGCTGGAGATGTCTCTGCCTTGGTCCTTTCACTATTGGCTGCTACTTCCCGGCGGATGTCAGGTGGTGCAATACCGGCTAAGAGTGTAATTTCTCCAGTGGTGTGGGGCGCAGACACCCTGGAGGAATGAGAGCGCTGCTTATCCCACTGCGCACGCGCAGCCTTAAGCCCGGGGAATGAGAAGCAGTGAGCGCACGCTGCTCTCCGAACTATTCTTGTCGCACTGCGCACGCGCGAGTCCTCCATGGCGGAGTAAGAGTACGGCTTGTCAGCATTGTGCACGCGCAGCTCCTAGTCTCCCTCTTCCGTAAAGGAAAAAGGAGAGCGTTGCTTGTCGTACTGCGCACGCGCAGCTTACTCCAACGTCTCCTGTAGAGGAATGAGAGCCATACGCGTACTGCGCACGCGCGGCTCCTTTCGGGTGGCTGAATGAGTCATTCTTGCCAGTGTTGCGCACGCGCAGGAGGTCAGTTATCTCCCCTTCTCCTCCTAAGAGGCGGGTGGGGGGGGTATGACACCCAAATAGACTCCTCAGCGCATGCGTGGGACTTTGCCATGACTGCGCATGTCCATTTTCTGTCAAGGAAGAGCATAGGCAACCGGCGTCCCTCCTCCCCACGCATGCGCAGAAGCCTTTCGCAGCCTTCTCTGCGCCTGCGCACTAGAGACGGCCTGCCATTTTTTTTTTGAAGGCATAGCGGGGGACCTCCGTCGCTATCCAGAGTTTTTGAAACACACGCGAGAGGGGAATGGCAGCAGCAGAGACCCAGAGCGGCGAGGCGGCCGCGGTTCCGGAGGGCCTGGGCTCCAATACGAGGCGTCTGGCCGAGCTCCGCGTGATTGACCTGCGGGCCGAGCTCAAGCGCCGCAGCCTGGATACTGGCGGCAACAAGAGCGTCCTCCTCGAGCGTCTCCGGAAGGTAAAGAAAAAAGAAAGGCCCGAGGGATGTGAGGAGAAGGGGTTAAATCACTTGTGCGCATACACTACCATGGCTTTCGGCGCCTGCGCATTCGAACCGAAGCGCGCGATGGCGTTGCCTTGGAGAGAAGGGGGGAAATCCGTTGCTAGTGCGCATGCGCTTGTGCTGTGAGCGATCCATTTCAAAAATGGTTCAAAAGTCATTACAAAACAGGAAGGGGGGGGGGAAGGGCGGCTGGCATGTCGTTTCTAAATCATAGTGAAAAATTCATTACCATAACGAGAGTAACCAAGTTCCGTTACTATTTCATTACAATAAGTGCGCATAATTACTGCAAATGGGAAAATTTCAGGGACTGCTTTCTCCCTCATTTCTAAAGCTATTGGTATGAAACTTGCTACAATGGTAGAACGCAGTGTCCACTGTTAGCCCACCCAATTTCAGAACGTTTCACTTATCCACGAATTTTTTGGGAATTTTTAAAAAAATTATAAACAACATTTCTAAAAAAACCTCCTTGAATTTTATATACAATGCACAAGATCACCAGGGCATCAATCCCCAGAAGTTTCAGAAAGATTCACACATCTACATATTTTTGGGGATTTTTAAAAGTTTAGACAAAAACAGTGTACCCCCCCCCAAAGTGACAACAGCCATCCCCTTGAATGCCTATCTGTCTTTATTTCCATCATTATTTATTTATTTATTTACTGTGCTTATAGACCGCTGTTCTCAGCCCAAGGGCGACTCACAGCGGTGTACAATAAGATGCAAATTACAAGACATAATCTAACAACAAACTAGCAATATTAAAAACATCGTCATCAACAACATCAACAATCTCAATATCAATATACAAAAATACAAAAAGTCATTTGCGTCGTCTCATCGTTAAACCACAATCCAATATCGTTTTCTGTTATTCCATTCCTGTCGTCATTACCAATTATTGCACTTTTTGTTCGAACGCCTTCTCGAACAGCCACGTCTTTAGTTTCTTGCGGAATATCATCAGGGAGGGCGCCAGTCTGATGTCCACGGGAAAGGTGTTCCACAGCCGAGGAGCCACCACCGAGAAGGCCCTGTCTCTCGTCCCTACCAGGCGTGCCTGTGAGGCAGGCGGGATCGAGAGCAGGGCCTCCCCGGACGATCTCAAAGTCCTCGTGGGCTCATAGGCCGAGATGCGGTCAGATAGGTATTTTGGGCCGGAAACGTTTAGGGCTTTATAGGCCAACACCAGCACCTTGAATTGAGCCCGGTAGCAAATCGGCAGCCAATGGAGCTGGTACAACAAGGGCGTTGTATGCTCCCTGCGTCCCGCTCCTGTTAGTAACATGGCTGCCGCACGCTGGACCAGTTGAAGCTTCCGGGCCATCTTCAAGGACAACCCCACGTAGAGAGCGTTGCAGTAGTCTAAGCGGGATGTAACCAGAGCGTGGACTACCGTGACACTACATTATGACACGCAACCACATAACTTAGCACAGATTTACATTCTATTTCTGTCATGTGTCAATTCTGTATCTGTGTTTGGTGCAAGTTTTTAAAAATATTGTTGTGTTTTTACCAATGCATGTATTGTATTGTATTTATTTATTTCTCGCACTTCTACCTCGCCCTTCTCAACCCCCGAGGGGGGACTCAGGGCGGCTTACAACAGGCACAATTCGATGCCCACACAACAATAAGATAAAAATAAAACATATATAAACAGTAATTAAAACAATTAAAACAATCCATTATACATCATAATCCATAAAACTAATCTAGTGCTCAATGTTTGCCAGCTCAGAGTCTGTAAATTCAATTCTACATTGTCAAATCCATCAATTTTGTTCGTCGCTTGTCCTTTGTCTATCTGCCAGATTACCCAAAAGCCTGGTCCCAAATCCATGTTTTTAATTTCCTTCTAAAGGAGAGGAGGGATGTCGATGACCTAATTTCCCCAGGGATTGAATTCCACAGGTGAGGGGCCACCACCAAGAAGGCCCTGCTCCTCGTCCCCACCAACCTCACTTGTGATAGAGGTGGGGCCGAGAGCAGGGCCTCCCCAGAAGATCTTAAACTCCGAGGCGGGACGTAGAAGGAGATGCATTCGGACAGATATGCTGGGCCAGAACCGTATAGGGTTTTGTAGGTCAAAACCAGCACTTTGAATTGTGCTCGGAACTGGATCAGCAGCCAGTGGAGATGACATAACAGAGGGGTGGTATGCTCCCTGGTGAGTAATCTGGCTGCTGCCTGCTGGACTAATTGAAGTTTCCGAACAGTCTTCAAAGGCAACCCCACATAGAGTGTGTTGCAGTAATCTATTCGGGATGTAACAAGAGCGTGGACCACTGTGGCCAGATCAGACTTCCCAAGGTATGGACGCAACTGGCGCACAAGTTTTAATTGTGCAAAAGCTCTCTTGGCCACCGTTGAGACCTGGGGTTCCAGGCTCAGCGATGAGTCCAGGATCACTCCCAAGCTGTGAACCTGTGTCTTCAGGGGGAGTGTAACCCCATCTAACACAGGCTGTAACCCTATGCCCTGTTCGGCCTTACGACTTTTTGAATTTGTTGTATCCTGCTTTGAGCTATCAGCTTGGGTACCTGGCATTTGAACTTAGCACACATTTACATTATATTGTTGTGATGTGTCAATTCTGAATCTGTGTTCGGTGCAAGTTTTTAAAAATATTGTTGTGTTTTTACCAATGTAAACAGGGTTATTTGAAGAAGTCAATTTTTTAATTTTACAAAATGCATAAGGTTGTGGTTGAACTACAACTCACATCATGCCAGGTTATGCCCGAGAAACTCCATCAGTACTTAAAGTTTGTCATGTTAGGCAAGTTTGCTCTAGATGTATCATTCATTGGTGGGGTTCAGTGTGATCTCTGGCTGCAGGATGAACTACAGCTCCCACCATTGTGGGTCAGTCCCCTCAAATCCCTCCAGTAGATTCAGTTGGTCTTCGAGTTCTGTGTGCCAAGTTTGGTCCAGATCTGTTGTCGGTGATGGTCACAGTGTCTCTGGATATAAGTGAACTACAACTTCCAGTAATGAAGGTCAGTTCCCTTCAAACCCCTCCAGTATTTTTTCTTAGTCATGGGGGTTCTGTGAGCCAAGTTAGGTCCTGGGCCATCATTGGCGTGGTCCAGAGTGCTCTTTGATTGCAGGTGAACTATAAATCCCAGCACCTACAACAGCTATAAAGCAATGTGAATTCCCCCAAACCCTCTCCAGTATTTTTTTTGGTCATAGGGGTTCTGTGTGCCAAATGTGGTCCACGTCCATTGTCAGTGGGGGTCACAATGCTCTGACTTGATGCAGGGTGAACTGCAACTTCCATCTTGAGGAGTCAATTCCTCATACTTCTCCAGTATGTTTAGTTGCTGATTAGTTCTACTCTTTTGTACAGACAGAGTTGAAAGAGTAGGAAAGGGTTAAGGGAGAGGCAGTGGGTGGGGTCATGCAAATTCCTCACCAATGTAGAGAGACAGAAACGCTGGGGTGTCTGTGGTGGAGGAAACATGTAAAATCTAGGATGAAATTGTCTCTATATGAAAGCATTCCTTGGTTGGTGGGCAGGATGGTGTTTGGGGAGGACATTGGCAGGGGTTGGGCTACATGTTAATGGCACTCGCTATAACCTGTAAACACGTTGTAGGGAGGACTTGCACACAAGTCTCCCCTTTTAATTGGCTCCTTAGCATTGTGGGTTAAAGCTGTGTGTGGAAGTGGGAGCCTATCTATAGAAGTGGGCACCCCAGCCACACACATTTTCACTTTTAATAGATATAGATATGAGCAGCTGACAAAGATCTGTAGTACGACAGAACTTGGGCTTCCATTCTTCAAGGCGCTGTGGTTGTTTGCTTCCTGATAAATACAATGCTGGTCTGTTTGTCGATGTTTTTAAATAGGCTATTGAGGAAGAAGGAGGTGATCCTGATGTGATCCCAGTGGTGCCGGAAACAGCCTCCAAAAAGACCCCCAAGAGAAGTAGTAAAGGTATGCCAAGATATTTCCCATTGTATTTGTTGCTTGCGAAGACTAGACTGTAGCAGTAGGGCCCTGGCCCTGTTTGAAGTTTCAAATAGCGTTATGTGAAAGAGAGGCTCAGCAGAAGTATGATAGCTGGGACCTAGTGCTGATAGCGCTACACTGGTTGCGTAACGCAGCTCTGAATTAGAGAAGGGAACACGTGCGCCAGACACAGCACCACGTGCGCAAGAAACTGCACACAGTGAGAGACGCAGCTACGACAGAGTCGACAAGGTGGTTCAGTAGAAAGGGGAGGGGGGTCAGCCAAGCATACTGATGTAGGCTACCAGCACTGGGTCCCAGCTATCATACTTTTGCCAGAGGCCCTAATCACCAAAGCAGTATATTCTGAGAGGTCTGTCTCTGCTATGGCACCTAAGTTCTGGCACTGACATGGATATTCACTAAAACGTTTTGTACTGTGGTTGATCGAATAAACGTTTGCACACAAGTCTCCCCTTTTAATTTCCAGATGGCCTCATTAGCCTTTATATTATTCTTATCATTTCACATTTTTTAAAGGTTGTTCATCTCATATTGTAAACGGCCCTGAACACATGGGAAGTATTGCATGGTTGAAATATATGAACAAACACACAAATAATTCTGTATTTCTTCAATTCTAAAACTTTTTTTCCCTGTACATACATCGCTAAAGGTGAGCGTGGCTCTTAGAATTGCAGGTGTATTTTTGCATTTTGTTTTTTTGGTACTGAAATTAGGGTGCTTCTTACAATCGATGGCATCTGAGAATAGATGAAATGCAGTATATAGTTACCTTATGGAACACTGCTTCAATGTATTACAAAAATAGAGTTGCTGTGAGTTTTCCAGGCTGTCTGGCCATGTTCCAGAAGCATTATCTCCTGATGTTTCACCCACATCTATGGCAGGTATCCTTAGAGGTTGTGAGGTCTGTTGCAAACTAGGCAAGTGGGGTTTATGTATCTGTGGAATAATGTCCAAGGTGGGAGAAAGAACTCTTGTCTGTTGGAGGCAAGTGTGAATGTTGCAATTAGTCAACTTGGTTAGCATTGAATAGCCTTGCAGCTTCAAAGCCTGGCTGCATTCTACATGGGGGAGTCCTTTGTTAGAAGGTGTTAGCTGGCCCTGATCAATTATTGTCTGGAATTAACTTTGTTTTCGAGTATTACTCTTTATTTGCTGTCCTGATTTTAATACCGATAGCCTAATTTTGTTCATTTTCATGGTTTCCTCCTTTCTGTTGAAATTGTCCACATGCTTTTTGTGGATTTCAATTACTTCTCTGGTGGTTGTCAGAGTGGTCAAGCATTTCTGTGCTCTCCAATAATATGCTGTGTCCAGGTTGGTTCACCAAGTGTTGTGCTATGGCTGATTTCTCTGGTTGACTTAGTCCGTAGTGCCTTTCATGTTCCTTGATTTGTGTCTGGGCAGTGCTACTGCATTTGGGGATCCATATGTAGACTTGTCCACAGCTGCATGGTATATGGTAGACTTCTGCAGAGGTGAGAGGATCCCTTTTGCACTTTGCTAAATGTAGCATTAGTTTGATTTTCTTTGTGGGTCTGTCGATAGTCTGTAGGTTGTGTTTCTTCATCAGCTTCTCTATGTGGCCAGTTGTTCCCTTGATGTATGGTAAGAACACTTTTCCTCTGGGTGGATATTTGTCTTGATTCTCGCGGCTTGTTCTTGGTCTTGCAGCTCTTCTGATGTCTGTGGTGGAGTCTCCATCAGCCTGCCAAGTCCGGTTTAGGTGGTTGAGTTCACCTTGGAGGAGGTGGGGGTTGCAGATTATTTTTGCACCATCTGCCAGGGCTTTAAATGTGTATGTGTGTGTTTTTTTTAAACTTGGGTGATTGTTGGAGTTTTTTATGTAGGTATCTATCCATGTGCGTAGATTTATCTATCCATGTGCGTAGATTTTCTGTAAACTAATCCAATTAAAAACCTAGCTGTGGAAACAAACTTTTAGAGAGTAGCACAGTGCAGTAAGTAGCCATGAAGTGATTGTAACACAGTTGGAATGGCTCCTGGATTATGACTTTGGATTTTGTGTTGTTTTACAGTTTATTTTAATGTACTGATATGTCATGTTTTATGAATTTTTACTGATTTTAATGTATGTATTTGTATGAGGGTTATCCAGAAAGTAAGGTTACAATATTATTTTTTAAAATACAAATAATGAATACATTTTAATAAAACTTACATGGATTGTAGCATAGACATTACATTATTTTTCCACATAATCATCATTCAGTTTAATACATTTTGCCATCCATGGGATGGATTTTTGATGCCTTTGTCATAGAAGTTTCTCTCCGCCTTTTTCAGCTAGTTTGTCACTTCAATTTTCACTTCATTGTCATTGGAAAAGTGTTTTCCACCCAGGTGTTCCTTCGATTTAGTGAACAGATTATAGTCAATGGATGCAAGATTGGGTCTGTGAGAGGAGTGGCTTAAAACATCCCAACCAAATGAAGTCAACAACTCTTGTGTTGCATGAGCGGTGTGCGAACATGCATTGTCATGAAGGAGACAGACTCCCAACCTGGAAGTTGCTCTGAGTCCCCTTTGGGATGAGAGGAACTGGGATAAAAATCTAGTAAATAAAGAAATAAATACTAGCTTCAATGGTGCCTTAGATTCGAGTCAATACGGTTGTAAACAGGAGGCTTTTAATAAAAAAATGATTCTCATCTTTTAGGACGGAGGACGGAGGAAGAAGGGACTGAAGACAATGGGCTGGAAGATGAGCCTGGAGAGGGGCAGGTACGGCTAGCTTGAGCGCCTTGCGGTGGGCAAGTTCACAGTTTTGGAGTCCCAGAGACTATTATATACATGGTTCTTTTCTTTCTCTTTTTGCAGGAGGATAATGAAACGAGTGTGGATAATTTTCAGGATATTGACATGATGGAGATTAGTGTGTTAGATGAAGCTGACATAGATAACAGCACTGGCATAGATTGCCAGGAGAAGGAGGCGGCAAGCAGTGCTGAGAGTAGACATGGCTCCCCCTTTGCTAGGAAAGACAATGTTGGCGCAGAAAAGACAGACATTCCAGAGCAGCAGGCAGGAAGCCCTGTAGGTCCCAAGGTGTCGCCTCCTCCACTCATGTCTGAGATTAAAGAAGAATCTAGAAAAATACCACTAACCATGGTATGCACCTCTTTTTTAAGTATATATATATATAATTTATTGCCATGACGTCTTCCACCCTCCACCCATTACGAATCAAAATACTAAACATGATTTTTGGGGAGGGGGGGATCTAATCAAAAGGCTTTGATTCCCCCTCCTTTGTGTGTACGTATGCTCATAGCATTGACTCAGATGTATAAGCATGGGACAGATGCGCCATAGATGATGTCGCTCATCATCCAGCAAGTTTGGGTCTTTAACTGTGAAATGGTTCATCTTTTTACTTTATTTATTTATTTACAGTATTTATATTTTGCCCTTCTCACCCTGAAGGGGACTCAGGGTGGATCACAGAACACATATATGGCAAACATTCAATGCTGTTTTATATACTGACAAGTCATACAACTGTACATAGATAGAGGTATATATAGACTTTTCCTACCTTCGGCATCTTGGAGGCTGTGCTTGGTTCCGGCCATGGGGAGTGCTGTTGTTCCATCTTCCCTGCTGAAGAGATTTTGTTCATAAACTTCTTCCTTGATCAGATTGCCAATATTTTTCTGGCATTTCCTTATGGGTGCCTTAAATATCTCCCTGCTTTAAAGCGGTACCTATTTATGTACTCACATTTGCTTTCCAACTGCTAGGTAGGCAAAAGCTAAGCTAAAGGCCAGGAGCTCACCCTGACTTTGAACTGCCAACCTTTTGATTGGCAAGATTTACTGCAGCTGGTGTTTAACCTGCTGTGCTAAAGCCCCGCCCTTGGGCCTTTCCATACGCTCCTCTCAGAGAGGACGGTTTCTGGGGGGCATTGAAGGCCTCGATTGATTGTAACTGGTGGCCCTGTTTGTAATTTTCCCCCCCTTGAGAGGGAGGATTTAGGGGCCTGAACCATTTGGTTACCAAATGTGATTGAAAAACCAAAGTATAATCCCACGAAGCTACATTGTTTAGTGGCAATCTGAGATATAGTTCATTGGAAAGAATTTGTGAATTGAATGCAAAGCAATCTTGGAAATTTATTTACAGTATTTATATTCCACTCCTCTCACCTTGAAGGGGACTCAGAGTGGATCATAGAACACACATGCGACAAACATTCAAACACTGGCAAGACAGCTGCACATAGATAGAGGTATATATAGGCTTTCCCATCTTTAGCATCTTGGAGGCTGGGCACAGTTCTGGCTACTAGGGGTACTGTTATTCCATTTCCCCTGTCTAAGAGCTTTGTTCGTAAACTTCCTCCTTTATTGAATATACCTCCTCGCTTTAAAGCGGCACCTATTTATCGACTCACATTTGTTTTTGAACTGCTAGGAAGGCAGAAGCTAAGCTAAAGGTGGGCTTCGAACTCTCAACCTTCCAAATAGCAAGATTTATTGTTGCTGGTGGTTAACCTGCTGTGCTAAAGCCTGGCCCTACTTGGGCTGCGGCTCAGACTGCATTCGGGGTGTTGGCTCCAACTTATAAAACGTCTGAGAAGCTTAGTTTGCTGAATACAAAGTGGACTTAGAAGACCAAAGAGCCTTTGAATCCCACTCCTTTGAGGCTCCATCTTTATGACGGCAAATGGTGCAGAAACATGACTGTGATAAAGTGAGAAGGAAGGGGTTAGAGCAGCAAAATGTGCATAAAAGTAGCGCATTTTGCCACTATCAGGAGATAGCTTTGGTGACTTTGCATCTGCAAGATATTCTGGACGATATCTTCCATTGACTGTGTTATTATTGTTATATTATTATTTGTGTTCTGAGTCCCAACAGTGCTTACCCCTACTTTAAAATTGAACTCCTGCACAATTACGGCCAAAGTCAGTGCTCTGTCCGGGCTGTGTGGATAGATTGCCCCAATTTGTCTCAGTGGGACTTAGCTGTTTGTTCGCTGCTCCATCAGAACATTTAGCAAAGCTCTTCTTCCCCTCACTAGGCTTCTATCACTGAGAAAAGTGCATGAATCTCGACCCGTTCTGGCTTCTTGGGCTCAACACCAGTGTCTCATTTTGACTATTGTCTGGAAAAATAACTTTGCAATCTCCTACTGCCATGGTTATGTACATTTTGGGAAACAGCGCAGTTTGACATATTAAATTACCTCCCTTTGTTCTCAACGTGAAAATGCCAATCAGAAAGTCAAAGTTTGATGTACGAATCTTAAAGGCTGTGCATTCCCTGAAGCCACAGCCATCATTTGCCATTATTTACCATTGCAGCAACACCACAACACAATTTTCTCAGTGCATCATCGTTTATTTTATAATCCATGCATTGTTTTGGCAGAAGGCTCGCGAATATCTGTTTGTTGTTATCTATGGGGGGAGCCAACTTCGCTTTTGACTTCTCGGTGCTTGCTTCAGCTTCAATTTCAATGGGGAAAACTGTGACATTTGAGATAAATTGAAGCTCTTCCCACTGTTTTTATAGGCAGAGGACGAAGATGTCAGTGGCCCCTTCGATCTGCCACCCTCTGACTTTGAAAACATGCAGGTAACTAACTATTCAGGTTTGAACGGAGTGGTCATTTTCAAGTGGGGATGGGTTCCTTTTTGGTTGTAGAATGTTATAATAATGCACTCTGTGTTGCCGAAGGCTTTCGTGTCTGGAATCACTGGGTTACTGTGAGTTTTCTAGGCTGTATGGCCATGTTCCAGAAGAATTTTCTCCTGACACTTTGCCCACATTTATGGCAGAGGTTGTGGGGTCTGTTGAAAACTAGACAAGGTCCAGGATGGGAGAAAGAACTCTTGTCTGTTGGAGGCAAGTGTGAATGTTGCAATTAATCACCTTGATTTTTCAATGTAAAGCCTTGCAGCTTCAAAGCCTGGCTGATTCCTGCCTGGGATGATCCTTTGTTGGGAGATGTTAGCTGGCCCTGATTGTTTCCTATTTGGAATTCCCCTGTTTACAAAGTGTTGTTCTTTATTTACTATCCCGATTTTAGAGTTTTTTTTACTACTGGTAGCCAGAGTTTGTTCATTTTCATGGTTTCCTCCTTTCTCTTGATATTGTCTACATGCTTGTGGAGTTCAATGGTTTCTCTGTGTTGTGTGACATGGTGGTTGTTAGAGTGGTCCAGCATTTCTGTGTTCTCAAATAATGTGTCTCAAATAATGTGTCCAGGTTGGTTCATCAAGAGCTCTGCTATGACTGACTTCTCTGGTTGAGTTAGTCTGCAGTGCCTTTCATGTTCCTTGATTTGTGTTTGGGCGCTGCGTAAGAAAATCCAACCAATGCTACGTTCAACAAAGGACAAGAAGGATCCTCTCATCTCTACAGGAGTCTACCGTATACCATGCATAGGGACCCCCAAATGCAGCAACACTGTCCAGACACAGATCAAGGAACATGAAAAGCACTGCAGACTAATTCAGCCAGAGAAGTCAGCCATAGCAGAGCACCTGACCTCACAACCTCTGCTTTTGGAGCATGACCATACAGCCCAGAAAACTCACAGCAACCCAGTAATACATTTTATTTATATTCTGCCCTTTTCCCCTAGGGAATTTAGAGTGGATTACAACCTTTACATATATAAGCAAACATTCAATGCCTTTACAATCATATACAATGAGACAGACTAACACAAACAAAGGTAGAGGCTTCTCCTTTTATTTCTGGCTTCTGGAAGCTGTGCTCTTCTCTGGCTTTGGGGAAGTTCTTTTCTCCATTTCCAAGCTGAGGAGCCTGCATTGTCACCTCCTGGTTGTGTGGCTAGCAAGATTTTTTCCCGCCAAAGCGGTACCTTTATCTACTTAAATTTGCATGTTTTCGGACTGCTAGTTTAGCAGAAGCTGGAGCTGACAGATGGGAGCTCACTCCATCTCATGGATTCAAACTGCCAACCTTCACATCAGCAGTTCAGCAGCACAAGGGTTTAACCCATTGCGCCACTGAGGCTCTTTGGATTGGTACATTAGGTTCAGCTGTCCTACTTCCAGAAGACTAATCTGCATTGCAAAACTTCCTCTTTGGTAACGGTTTCCTCATTTTTATTTTATTTTATTAGGAGCTTGACGAATTTTCCTTGGAAACAGGTACTGTTTTCTTTTTTTAAACCAAATCCGCACTGTCCCATCCCTTTAGCTTTTCAAACCCAAACTCCTTTAGCAATTCTTCCTCCATTTTATTCGGCTATAGTTCGTTATTCTAACTGGTGCACGGTCCAGTTCAGAAAAGAAAGAGAAAGCTACAGAGACTGGAAACCCAGCCATATCACCAGGTCTGCACAACATATTGTCAGTGTTTGTAGACTGCTTTGGCACAAAACCCCTTGATCGGGGGAAATTAACTGAGCCGTACTGGAGGCAGTATTCTCTCTAGAGCAGACCTTGTGATATTGTGTGGCGTCTTGGTACTTTAACTTTGCTAGTCGAGGGTCAGTCCAGCGTTAAATGGATACCTGAAGACAAGAAGATGGGTTAGTTTTGGAAATCCATTCCACTTTGCTTTCTGGACTGCACTGATATTCCTATTCCATCAGAAGCCATTGTCATGGACTTGTCTCCTTAAACAAACCAGCAAACTGAACTGTCCCCCCCAAAAAAAGAATCAACACAGAGACTTTTGGAAGCTCATTTCCGGAAGAATGGAAACGCCACACTGTGACAGGAAGACACACAAAGGAGCAAGCTGGGAAGCCCTCGCCTAAAGGTTTTTCTTCATTCTCTCTTTCAGTTTAGTGGCAGGCATTTGAATGTGGGAATAGTCCAAAAGGGGTTTTTCCAGTCTCTGTGTAGCGTTAGTGGGGCAGCCATGCCCGAGCCGCCTTTGTCTGTGCTGTGTTTCCCTGGTTGATTAAACCTTGTGCCATTCTATTCCTGTTAAATCCATAGAAAATGAGAAAATGCTCGACATTTTGGGTGACACTTGTAAATCTGAGCCCCTTAACGAAGACCCTCCGGAAGCGGAGCAGGAAGCGCATGAGCCGTTGCCGGTGGGCCAAGAGGAAGAGGAAGAGGCGCTTGGCGGCACCACCGCTCGGCCGGACGAAGAGCGTTTAGATTCGGAGGGCAAGGAAAAGAAAGAGGAAAATCAAGAAGAGGAGGAAGAGGAAAGCAAGGCCTTAGTGGTAGCGAAAGGGGAGCTGAGTGGAGAGAGTGTTAAGGAAGCCACAGTGGACTCTGACTCTTTAGCCTTAGCGAGCAGGAGTGAAGGAGGAGGAGAAGGAGGAGGAGGAGGAGATGAGAGTAGCAGAGGAGCCCAAACTTTGGAAGCCCGTAGTGAGGAAACCGCGGAGGAGGAGGAGAAGGAGACGGAGGCAAGGCCCCAAGGGGGGAGCCCCGAGGAGGCCGCGAAGACGGAAGCCCAGGCTCAGGGTCAGGAGGAGGAACAGGAGCAGGAGGAACAGGAGGAAGAGTCCTCTGCCACTAAAGAGCCCTCTGCCCAAGAGGGGGGTGATCTGAACATGAGGTTGGTTTCTTCTCCTCCGTTTTAGACCAGACGCTGTCTTTCCCCCCTTCCCTGTTGAGCATTTAGGAGTGCCACATGCATTGCGGTTCCATAGGGCCTTCACAGCATTGTAGCTTCTTATACTAAATAGATTCTCTCTCTTTTCTTTTCTTTCTTTCTTTCTTTCTTTCTTTCTTTCTTTTTCTTTTCTTTCTTTCTTTCTTTCTTTCTTTTTATTGTTGCTGTTGTCCATCTGGGGTGGGGGATAGAATATAGCTCAACACCTTATTTATTTTATTTCTCCTTGTTGATATGGTTAGTGGGCTAATCAATAAACAGATCTATCTATTTTATTTCTGAGCCTTCCAAGGTTGCAACTCGGTGTAAGCAGTTAGCGAAGCCCCCTCTAATCGCCCCGTTGAGCTTTTTTTTTTTTAATTAAGCAAACCCCTTTTGCAATCAGACTTAGTTTTTCTTTTGGAACTTGTTTTAGTTCTCCTTTCAGAGTCTATGATCTTATGAAAGGAGCTCATTCTCCTTTCGGGCATCTGACTATAGCAGATGCAGCCTCGCTTGTCCCTTTCCCCCTCTGCAGCTCCTCTATTTGATTCAGTAACTTTTTCTTTTTCTTTCCTCTCTGTCTTTAGCTCCAATGAGGATACAGAAGTTAAAAGCACTTCAAAGGATGAGAAGGGTAAGCTTGCAGCTCCCAGTAGTTTTAATTTGAGGAATATCACAGAACGATAATGACTGGAATCCTGTATCGCCTACTTACATAACTGTAGGTAAATATAGTTAGTCTGAAGCCACAGGAAGAGACGAGTAATAGATTACTGTTGTTATTACTACTACAGTAATCTATATAAATAAAAATAATGTTCGTTTGTGATACCATCAGAACTCAAAAACCACTGGGGGAATTGACACCAAATTTGGACACAAGACACCTAACAGTCCAATTTATGTCCTCCACTCAAAAAACCCCCCAAAGAAACAGAAACCCCAAAAATCCACACAAGGGAAGAGCAGCCATTACAGCACTGAGAGCCAAGCGCATGCACACGCACGGCCATACCAACAGAACTGGCACAGCGAGCGGCACCCAACTCTCTCTCTCACTGCGGCCAGATGCGGCCTGCCGAGGGCATTTATCCGCCCTGCGCGGCCTGGCCAGGCCTCGTGCAAAGCCCCTCGCTTCTTGTGTCAGCGGCGTTTCTCTCTCCCCCCCCGGAGTGGCTTCGGCCGGGGTCTCGCCGGGCCAGGCTTCTCCCTCCGTCCCTCCCGCCCTCCTTCCTTCCCCCTTTCTCTCCCCTTCCCCTTCCTTCCTTCCCTCCCTTCCTTTCCTTCTTCCTTCCTTCCCTCCTGTGTGGGAGGGGGAAGCCACCAGGGAAGCCAGCGTTGCCTGGCCACGCCCACCCGGTGCCGCCTCCGCCGCCAAGAGCGCACACCCTCTTCTTCGCCATCAGGGATCTTCTGCTGCGCTCCGCGGCCACGAGGCGCCTCCTGCTCCATTCCCAGCCGAGAACAAGCGATGGGCGCCGCTCTGAAAAGGTTTGGCCCAATTCTATCGTTGATGGGGTTCAGAATGCTCTGTGATTGTAGGTGAACTACAAATCCCAGCAACTACAATTCCCAAATGTCAAGATTCTATTTCCCCCATACTCCACCAGTGTTCACATTTGGACATATGGAATTTGTGCCAAATTTGGTCCAGATCCAACATTGTTTGAGTCCACAGTGATCTTTAGATGTAGGTGAATTACAACTCTAAAACCAAAGGACACTGCCCACCAAACCCTTCCAGTATTTTCTGTTGGTCATGGGAGAACTGTGTGCCCAGTTTGGTTCAATTCCATCGTTGGTGGGGTTCAAAATGTTCTTTGATTATAGGTAAACTATAAATCCCAGCAACTACAACTCCCAAATGACAAAATCAATTTTTTTTGAGTGAAGGACATACATTGGGTTGTTAGGTGTCCAGTGCTTTTTGAGTTCTGTTAATCCCACAAACAAACATTACATTTTTATTTATATACATTTGTTATTTCCTATATTTATACCCTGCCCTTCTCCCCCTGAATGGGGACTCATGCTTACATATGCCAAAAACCACTTTCAAAACGACAGAAAATAGGTTTTCTCCTCCCCTCACCACCTTCATTCTCCTTTATTAAATCTACAGTGTAGATGCACCCAAAGTCAACCCTTCCACACTGCCATGTAAAATCCAAATTATCTACTTAGGACTGGATTATATAGCAGTGTAGACACATGCACACACGCGCATGCACACACACACATATATGGATGGATGTTGGATCACTGGGTGGTGATACACACACACACATATATATAACAATACTTTATATATTTCTATTATATGTACTTCTATATAATACATATATATATTATTTTATATATACTACTATATAATATAATGTTGCTACTATATATAACTATATTAAGTAGACTCATAGAATAGAGTTAGAAGGGACTCTACCATGATATTGGGGGAGAACAGACAGGAGGGAAGGAAGGAGAGAAGGAAGGAAGGAAAGAGGTACCGAAAGAAGGAAAAAGAGAAAATAGGAAAGAAAAAGGGAAGGAAAGGCAGGAAAGAGATAAGGAAGGAAGGAGAAAAGGAAATAAAAAGTGAAAGAAGGAAGGAAACGGGGAGGGAAGAAAGGAGACAAAGAAGTAGAAAAGGGGAGGGAAGGAAGGAAAGAGAGAAGGAAGGATGAAACCAAAGAGCGAAAGAAGGAATGAAAGAAAGAGGTAGAGAAGGAAGAAAGGAGAGAAAGGGGAAGGGGAAGAAAAAGGGGGAAGGAATAGGTAGGTACCTCTCTTTCATAATAGTTCAGATATCTACCTCTACTTCGAAAATTCTTACTGTAGGCCACAGCAACATGTGGCAGGGCACAGCTAGTCTATATAAATAAAAATGTAATGTTCGTTTGTGCTATTCACAGAACTCAAAAACCCCTGGACCAATTGACACCAAATTTGGCAGCAAAACACATTCTTATCTGATCTATGTCTTCCAAATAAAAAAATCTTTAAAAACGAAGGGGAAATAACTTTAATATCCCCCCCCCAAAAGGTACCTAATTGAGCATGCTCAAAAGGCCTTCTCCCCAGCGCACGCGAGGCACCAACTCCTCTTTCTTTTCGGGAGGGGAGAGATTGAGGAAAGGAAAGAGGGAAGGAAGAAAGGAGAGACGGAAGGCAAGCCCCAGCAGAGGTTTGAAAGGGAAGGAGCGGCTGCACATACCCCTCCCCCTCACTCAGGACCGTCGTCAGGTGAAGGGGGAGGATGCAAACCCCTTATAAAACTGCCACAGAAGGAAGGGAGGGAAAGAAAGGAGAGAAGACAGGAAGAAAAGGACTGGTGAAGAGAAGGATATGGATGGAAGGAAAGGTAAAAGGAAAGAAAGATTGTGAATGCTGGATTGTGAATTGTTTTTATACTGTGTCTTGAATTTTGCTGTTCCTATGTTGTACACCGCTGTGAGTCGTCCCCGGGCTGAGAACAGCGGTATATAAGTAAAGTAAAGTAAGTAAATAAATAAATAAATAAAGAGGAAGGAAAGGAAAGGAGGCAGGCATGGGAGAGGAAAGGAAGGAAGGGAAAGGAGGGAGGAAGGAAGGAAGGGAGGAAGAAAGGAATTATTATTATTATTATTATTATTATTATTATTATTATTATTATTATTATTACGGAGAGTCTGAATGGCCATCTATCAGGAGTGTTTTGCTGTGCTTTTCCCTTATGGCAGAGGGAGGTTGGACTGGATGGCCCTTGGAGGTCTCCCTACTCTAGGATTCTATTTCTAATAATAATAATATTAAGCAGAGTCTCTATAGCCATCTGTTAGGAGTGCTTGGATTGTGTTTTTCCCTTATGCCAGAGGGAGGTTGGACTGGATGGCCCTTAGAGAGGTCTCCCTACTCAAGGATCTATTACTACTACTACTACTACTAATAATAATAATAAGCAGAGTCTCTGACCATCTGTTAGGAGTGCTTGGATTGTGTTTTTCCCTTATGCCAGAGGGAGGTTGGACTGGATGGCCCTTGGAGGTCTCCCTACTCTAGGATTCTATTACTAATAATAATAATAATAATAATAATATTAAGCAGAGTCTCTATGGCCATCTGTTAGGAGTGCTTGGATTGTGTTTTTCCCTTATGCCAGAGGGAGGTTGGACTGGATGGCTCTTGGAGGTCTCCCTACTCTAGGATTCTATTACTACTACTACTACTACTACTAATAATAATAATAATAATAATATTAAGCAGAGTCTCTATAGCCATCTGTTAGGAGTGCTTGGATTGTGTTTTTCCCTTATGGCAGAGGGAGGTTGGACTGGTTGGCCCTTGGAACACTAGGATCCTATTACTGTGGATTCCTCCCAAACCCCTCCAGTATTTTCTGATGGCCATGAAGGTTCTGTGGCCCAAGTTTGGTTCAGATCTGTCATTCATGGGGGTTCTAGTGGTCTGTGGAAGTCTGAGCTGAATCAGTTGAAGGTACTCCAAATCTCATCATCCATTGTCCGTACTCCCCAAACTTATTGTTTTTGTGATTAATCAGTATGCTTTAATTATGTTCAATTTATAAGAACAGAAATACAATGTATTGTCGAAGACTTTCAACATAAATACATCATGCATATCAGATATTTACATGATGATTCAGAAGAGTAGCAAAATTACAGTTATGAAGGAGCAACGAAAATAGTATTATGGTTGGGGGTCACCACAACATGAGGAATTGCATTAAGGGGTTGTGGCATTAAAAAAAAGTCTAGAAACACTGCTAATGACATTCTATAAAAATAAATACAATACTGTCCGTGTATTTGTGATTAACATAAATTTAAAAAAACCACTGGGAGAATAGATACCACATTTGGGCAAAATACATATATCATGCCAACAAGTGACCATCACTTATAAAAATACTGAAAAACACAGCACAAGAGACTAAAAAAGCAAAAAAAAAAATACAATGCATGCACAAAACAACATATTTACACATATACACAAATACACACACACACATATATATACATATACACACACACACAATACATATACACAGACTGGGCCACAGCAACGCGTGGCAGGGGACAGCTAGTGTTAGGTAAAAAAGTAAAGGTTTTCCCCTGACATTAAGTCCAGTCGTGTCCGACTCTGGGGGTTGGTACTCATCTCCATTTCTAAGCGAAGTACCGACATTGTCCGTAGACACCTCCAAGGTCATGTGGCCAGCATGACTACATGGAGCGCTGTTATCTTCCTGCCCAAGGTTGATCTATTCACATTTGCATGTTTGTGAACTGCTAGGTTGGCAGAAGCTGGGGCTGACAGCGGGAGCTCACACCACTCCCCGGATTCGAACCTGTGACCTTTTGGTCAACAAGTTCAGCAGCTCAGTGCTTTAACCCACTGCACCACCAGGGGCTCCTACAGTAATCTTAAATTATAATCTTGGGAAAGATAATGACTGGAATGCTGTATTATCTTCTTTGGAAAAATCAGTATATTTATCTACCGTCCTATCTCCCCAAAGGGACTCAAGGCTAACTATTGTTGTAGATCAGCCACTAGAGGCTGGTGGTTTAACTGATGATTTAGAGAGGATTGTGAGCTTTCCTTTGGCACAAAGTGATGGGCTCTCAAGACTGGGAAATGCAAGTCTGGGGAATGATGGTTCTCTCTGTGAGAAAACCGGCTCGGAAAGTGCAGGGCCTCAAGGCCAGTCAGAGGAGCCAGAAGTGGCAACAGCAGATAAGGAATCAAGTGGAGAGCTGAGTGATAAGGAGAGTTCCCAGTGGAACCCACCTGTAGGTACAGAGATCAACAAAAAAATTGTTTATAAATCAGAGCTGAAAATAGATTGCGTCGTTCAGAGAGATTATGTAGGAAAGTTGTGAAGGAAATTCACGGGAAACGGAATGATTTCATGGGTGTCTATTAAACAACAAGTTGTTTACCTGAAGGTCAGTTCAGGCAACACTGTGTTAGATTGAAAAGCTAAGCCTGAGTTCTCTTGTTCCTGGTTAAAGTCAAGCCTTGGTTTGGATTTAATATAGATCCTGAAGTTTGCTATGTTCCTGATCATGTACTCCTGTTCAAGTTTTAATAGTTATACCTTCTTGATTGTGGACTTATGCTGTGTCTGTGATTCCTGGCTGTCCCTGGACTTTGTCACCTCTGGAACTTTATGAGACACTAGCCATCCCCTGCCACGTGGTCCAGTCTATGTATATGTGTCTTGTGTGTGTATATATATGTGTATATGTGTGTGTATATGTGGTTTTGTGCATGCGTTGTAATTGTTTTTTTTTTTTTGCTTTTTAAGTCTTTTCTGTAGTGTTTTTCAGTGGTTTTATGAGTGATGGTCACTCGTTGACCTAATATGTTTATTGTGTCCAAATTTGGTGTCAATTCATCCAGTGGTTTTTGAGTTATGTTAATCCCACAAACGGACATTACATTTTTATTTATATAGATTTGGATTATTGTTAGATTATCACCTGTTGCTAAACCTTTTTGGGATTATCTTCTCCTGATTTTATATGATTTTTATATGTTTTTACAATAAACTGTTAGCTTATATTGCTGGACTCTTGTGTGGTGCAGTGGTCATAAGTGTTTCCAGGCCTGGAGTGTAACAACTATTAATTTTGCTTCAGATATAAACATTATTATCGTTATGTTTTTTCTCTCCACAAAGGAGATTCAAAGTGGCTTACATTAAAAGCATTTCAATACAATTTCAAATCCAGACATATACAAACATGCAAATAGAATTAAACATCAATGATATTAAGTAAAGATTAACAGTAAAATCCTTAAAACTGATTGTTACATTTCTTTGGTTATCTCTAGGCCGCCTCAGCAGCAGCTCTGGCCGAAATCTCTGGGTCAGTGGCCTTTCATCTTCAACCAGAGCTACTGACCTGAAAAACCTCTTCAGCAAGTATGGAAAAGTACGGATGAAATAGACTAAATCTTGTCATGTTTTCTTCTTAATGGGTCCAGTGAGGGGTGCCCCTTTTCTACATTTGCCCCTCTGTGATTTTTCTGTTTTGTTTTTTTAAGACTGACACATGTTGCTTTCCCTCCTCCCTTCTGGTTTCAGGTGGTGGGCGCCAAAGTGGTGACCAATGCCCGCAGCCCTGGCGCCCGGTGCTACGGCTTTGTGACCATGTCCTCCTCAGAGGAAGCTACCAAATGCATCGCCCATTTGCATAGGACAGAGCTGCATGGGAAGATGATCTCTGTGGAAAAAGTAAGTTGGGCTAAAACAGGAAGATTAGAGGGACAGCTTTGCATCCACAGAGATTTCAGGCCCTAGTTTCCTTCCACAATGACCATCATGGCTGATGCAGGCAAAGGGCATTTTCTTATTTAAAAACACATAATAAAACTTGATTTTTATTCTGGGAGGAGGGAGGCAGACAGAACAGATTAATAGCATGTCAGTGGGAAAATTTGCTTTGAGATAAGAGCAATGTTGTTGGAAATAGCAACCTTCCAAGCCTCTTCTAACTGTTTGTAAATACCGTATATACTCGAATATAAGCCGACCCGAATATAAGCCGAGGCACCTAATTTTACCACAAAAAACTGGGAAAATGTATTGACTCAAGTATAAGCCGAGGGTGGGAAATGCAGCATTTACGGGTCAATTTCAAAATAAAAATAGATACCAATAAAATTATATTAATTTAGACATCAGTAGGTTAAATGTTTTTGAATATTTACATAAAACTGTAATTCCAGATAAGACTTTCCAACTCTGATTGAACCATTATTCTAACCACCTTCAATGTAAATATGCTTACATGTCCTCCAATAATAATAAATAGAGTAAAATAATAATAGAGTAAAATAATAAATGTAATAATAACAATACCGTAAATAAGTAACAATAACAATAATAGAGTAAAATAATAAATGTAATAACAACAACAATAAAATAATAAATGTAATAATAATAACAACAACAACAACAAAGTAAAATAGTAAATAATATTGACTTGAGTATAAGCCGGGGGAGACTTTTTCAGCCTAAAAAAAGGACTGAAAAACTAGGCTTATACTTGAGTATATACAGTATGTATAATTGTTAGCCTATGTTGTATGTACATTTTGGTTTGCCAGTTTAACTGTACCTCTTTGGTGTGGGAGGGGTTTGAGACACAGGACTCCATTTTGTATTTAGTTTGCACCAGACCTCAGTGGAGGTGGATGCATGTTGCTGTTTGGACTTTAGTAGAGAAGTATGCTTTTAGACCTCAATGGAGGTGGATTGCAGTTTGAGTATATACAGATATACTTAAAGGCTATGGACAATTGATTAAGTATCATACCCTGTGTACTCAACACAGAGAAGAAACTACATCTTATATAACTGAACTCTAATAAGAAATGTCCCTGTATGGTGAATTAATACAAATTGTTTATGAGTAAACAAGATACGATATTTTTCAAAGAAGACATTGTTCTTATCTCTGAGTACCTGTTTTAACTAAGAGATTTCAAGGGTGTGTATATTTGTTGGGCAACTGCAATTACAATTATAACTACAATTTGAACTTCAAAGAAACAATCATCCTCTGCTAAATCAGTATATTTTTTGTAGGGGCATGTCTTTATCTTTGGCAGTTTAAAGACATGATTCTTCAGTTTAACAGCTGAGCTACCTGTGTAGCATTACATGAATGCTTATGAATATCACTTGTTCAGAGGGTTGACTTATAACAAGATCATGCTTTTCTTGACTAGTGGTTTTCAAAAGGTGGTCTCTACATGTTCATGGTGATTCACATTTGCCAAACAGATGTGACATCATTTTTACCTTTTAAATAAGGTTATGGTGCACTGATTTCCAATAGGTTATGAAATTTCCAATAGATGTGAGTTAAGAGCTTGTTCATGGAACAAATTAAACTCTTAACTCAAGGTGTATCACTGTATTTGAAATGAAGAACAATTTTCTGCAACATCAACTTACCAGTATTTCAATGGGAAGTGTAGGTCTGCTTTTGGCCGATGATAGAGTCAAGTGAATTTCTATTGTTATTGTCGTGTGCGTTCAAGTTGTTTCAGACTCAGAGCGACCCTAAATCTAATGTTTATGGTGAGGCCCGGGTAAAAGACCTTGGAGGGCCACACCATCCTGCAGACCACAGTTTGAGGACTGGTGACAAAGATGGTTGCATATCCAATTTACTTAAGCATCTTAGGAGAGCTATGATATGCTGTTGTTGCTACATTCCTAGCGATTTCCTTCTGGAAGAAAACAGATTTCCTACTTTATGTGTAGCAGCGCTCCTCAGGTTATCTGATATAGGCAAGCAGCCTTCCTCCTCATTTTTTTGTTTGTTTTCTGGAAATACACCAAAACTGTGGTCTAACTAAAGTAGATGAGTGTTCAGACATGTTTTCTTCCTCTTATATCATAACCCAAAGCCCTTTTTGTCCTGGAATCCATTGGCTTGTTGATGGAAGTATTAAGCCACCTGTTGCTTCTGTCCTTCCAGGCCAAAAACGAACCAGCGGGGAAAAAGGGGTCCTCTGACAGAAAGGAAGTGGAAACAAAGAAGGACAGGGACCGGCGCCATTCGACGGATTCAAGATCTGAAAGGTGAAGCAGCAGTGTTGACCATTGTTATGCCGTTATCTTGAATAACTTTTCAATAACTTTAAAGCATAGGTTCTTTTTATTGCAATTTCCAGTGTGAGAGGGTATATCAGAACTTTTACACAAAGAATGACATTAGACATACATACAGATTATATGCAACTACATTGGATTTAGAACAACCTACAGTTACGATGGACTAACAAACAAAGGAGAATTACATTTAGAATCAACATTCACACACATGTACATGCATCCATCCTCATGCATCCAAATATTACCATATAATTTTCTCCCTCCTTGGAGAAGCACCTGTTAGGCCAGACCCTGCTATCCTGAGCCTGCCAATGCACAGTTCCAAAACTTCCATAACTTCAAAACTCCAAAATGCATCCTTTCCTTAAGCACAATGCCAAGGACCAGACCTCTGTTTTCTGTACAGCAGAACCTGACTCCCTGAACAAAATCTCCGACTCCAAAACACGCTTCTTCCTCTTCCCTTGAGAAAGAAGGCCAAAGTGACCAGACTGCTCACTTGCAAATCTGCCACTCTCCAAATACACCATCTCTCTTCTTCCCATGGAGCAGATCATGGCGGGTGGAACACACTTCTGCGTTCTGCCACAAATTGAGAATTATTAGATTGAGTCTTTTATAGAAATATTCTGCTGATGTAGTCCCAAATTTGTAAATTAATGATAGACTCTTCCATCCTGACTCCATCTCAGTTTCCTGGCCAGATGTTGATTCTGCAATGATAGTTTCATGGTACTCTCCCCCTAAAAAAACCCTCAATGTAAATATCAGGCCTCACTCTACTTTCGGCAAACTGAAGTTAAACAAATTACACTTTTGCTTGATTCAGTGATAAGCCATGCTTAGCTGGGAACTGAGTGCTTGTAGATGTGCTCTATTTATTCATCATGTCAGAAGCAAATTGAGAATACAGCTATAATGTTGGAAAAAAAAACCCATAAACAAAATTTTAATTTGGCATTATACTAAATGTCCTTTGACCAGAAGCTGGCCACTTGGGGTGCCTCTGGTGTCGTTGTGAGAAGGTTCTCCATTGTGCATGTAGCAGGGCTCAAACTGCATTGTAATAGGTAATCTGTGGTTTGCTCTTCTCCACACTTGCATGTCGTGGACTCCACTTTGTAGCCCATTTCTTAAGATTGGCTCTGCATCTCGTGGTGCCAGAACGCAATCGGTTCAGTGTCTTCCAAGTCGCCCAGTTTTCTGTGTGCCCAGGAGGGAGTTCCTCATCCGGTCTCAGCCACTGATTGAGGTTCTGGGTTTTAATCTGCCACTTTTGAACTCTCGCTTGCTGAGGTGTTCCTGCAAGTATCTCTCTGAATATTAGGAAGTTGCTTCTTGGTTTAAAACGTTGGCATGCTGGCTGATATCTGAATAAAGGATGAGCCAGAAATGTCAATACCTTGGTCCTGTCATTGCTGGCTGCTACTTCCCAACAGATATCAGATGGTGTAATACCGGCTATACAGTATAATTTCTTCAGCGGTGTTGAGCAGAGACATCCTGTGATAATGTGGCATGTCTCATTAAGAGCCACATCCACTGTTTTAACATAGTGGGATGTATTCCACGCTGGGCATACATACTCAGCAACAGAGTATCAAAGTGCAAGAGCAGATGTCTTCACTGTGTCTCGCTGTGACCCCCAGGTTGTTCCAGTCAGCTTTCATATGGTATTATTTCTAGCACCCACTTTTTGCTTGATATTCAAGCAGTGTTTCTTGTAAGTCAGAGCACGATCCAGAGTGACTCCCAGGTATTTTGGTGTGCTTTAATGCTCCAGTGGGATTCCTTCCCAGGTCATCCCCAGAGCTTAAGATGCTTGTCTGATCCTAAGGGGGAAAGTACACATCTGTGTTTTAGATGGATTAGGAATCAGCTGGTTTTTCCTGTAATAGTAAGAATGCCTAAAGCTTCGGAGAGCTTCTGTTCAACCATTTCAAAGCTCCCTGCTTGAGCGGTGATGGCTCGATCGTCAGTATAGATGAAACTCTGTGTCCCTTCTGGCAGTGGCTGATTGCTTGTGTAAATGTTAAACATGGATGGAGCATGCCATTCTTCTGTTTTTGCCATCTAGATATTCTGAAAGAGTGGAATACTAAAATATGATCGATGTGACTTCAGGATGTACACAAATTAGTCATGCTTCTAGGTTTCAATAGTTTGAAACCTATCCATATTCAAATCAAATCAGAACTTTATTAGTCCAAAGACCCAATTTGCACAGTGGTAAAATGTGCACAACTGCAAACAGATGAATAATCAGATAAACCTACCCTTACTTACCTGTGTCTAATGTGCTATCAAATCTAATGCACACCTCAATTTTCAAGACCCTGAAACAAAAAAAGAAAATAAAAAAAGGAGAGGCGGGTAAGACGTAAAAATTGTTGTTGTTGTAATATTCAGTGGGAAAAATGTAGTCTTTATAGTTTGGCCCCAAGAGGTGCACTTTACAGCTGCTGCCTGCTTAGGATCCCTTCTTTAAAAAACAAAAGTGTTAGAAGAGCCAAGCTTCCAAAAATGGAAAAGACAAATTTGGGGTGTACTTATTATACTGTAGAATGGATCCACTTTCACTGGCCTGGCTCAATGCGATGGGATCTTGGGGGCTGTAGTTTTACAAGGCTTTGAGTCTTCTCTGGTGCATCGCCAAACTTCAACTCCAAGGATAGCATAGCATGGAACTGTGGCAAATCAAATTAGAGACGACGTCCCTCAAGAAAGTGTCCCAGTGGCTCCTGAAGCAGCTTCCCCTTTGGCTTTGGCTCTCATTCAGATGACCGTATGACGTGGATCAAAAGTGCAGCCTCATTTTGGCAAGGTCATTTAACAAAAAAAGGGTGAGTAGTAGGCACGAGTAAACAGGGCAGTGTATGCCTTCCCATCAGGCCACAATCTTCTGCTGCTTCTAGGTCGCATAGCAATAAAAAAGAAGAGAAAGCAAACAAAAAGGATGATTCCAAAGAGGAAGACGCTGGCAGCGAGGCGAAAGAAGCAAAAGAAGGGGAGAAAACGGAGGAGGAACAGAAAGCGGGGTCCTCTGGCCGTGCACGTTCTGTCAAATCAGGTAACTCATTCTCCTGGGGGAGAGTTATATATTATGTCAGAAGCAAGTTGAGGATACAATTGTAATGTATTTAAAAACACAAAACACAAGTTAAAAACTTGGCATTACGCTAAACGGCCTTTGACCAGTCGCTGGCCACTTATAGTGCCTCTGGCGTTGCTATAAGAAGGTCCTCCATTGTGCATGTGGCTCACCTGTAATAGGTGGTCTATGGTTTGCTCTTCTCCACACTTGCATGTCATAGACTCCACTTAGTAGCCCCATTTCTTAAGACTGGCTCTGCATCCTGTGGTGCCAGAGAACAGTCTGTTCAGTGCCTTCCAAGTCGCCCAGTCTTTTGTGTGCCCAGGAGGGAGTTTCTCATCCAATATCAGCCACTGATTGAGGTTCCAGGTTTTAGCCTGCCACTTTTGGACTCTTGCTTGCTGAGGTGTTCCTGCGAGTATCTCTGTAGATCTTAGAAAGTGATTTCTTGATTTAAGGTGTTGGCTTGCTGACTGGGATCCGAACAGTGGATGGGATGGAGACGACAATACCTTGGTCCTTTCATTATTGGTAGCTACTTCCTGGCAGGTGGTGCAATACCATCTAAACAGTATGATCTCTCCACTGGTGAGGGGCATAGACATCCTGTGAAAATGTGCCAGGTCTCATTAAGAGTCACATCCACTGTTTTAACGTGGTGCGATGTATTCCACATTGGGCATGTGTATTCATGCAGAGTAGCAAAGTGCAAGGGCAGATGTCTTCACTGTATGTAGCACCCACCTTTTGCTTGATAGGTAAGCAATGCTTATTGTAAGTCAGAGCATGGTCCAGAGTGACTCCCAGGTATCTTGGTGTGCTGCAATGCTCCACTGGGATTCCTTTCCAGGTAATCCTCAGAGCTTGAGATGCTTGTCTGATCCTAAGGGGAAAAGCACACATCTGCTCTTTAGATGAATTAGGGATCTGTAATAGGCAGCAAGAACACCTAAAGCTTCTGAGAGCTTCTGTTCAAACATTTCAAAGCTCTCTGCTTGGGTGATGATGGCTCTCTGCTTGGGTGTTGATGGCATGATCGTCAGCATAGATGAAATTCTCTGTCCCTTCTGGGGGAGAGTTTGCAGTTTTGTTGTCTTTCACAAAAGTGGGAGTGTTTGTTGGTTTAGAAATCCAGGCAGCAGCCTTCCATGTCCATGAATGTCGGCCACTTTGGTATGGGAAGTTTGAAAGAAAGGCCCCTGTTGATGTTTGCCTTTTGTTCTTGAGGAAACATGTCCTCAATCATGGCTACTCTTGTGCCAACCCAGGAAGCCGAGGGATTGAACGGACGGTGGTCATGGATACATCCAAAGGGGAGCCAGTGATCAGTGTCAAAACGACCTCCACGTCGAAAGAGAGAGTAAGTCTCTGTGTTCAATTTTGGGAAAGGGCCACAATCTCGTCTTGGGTATTCAGTTGGAGAACCAAAGAGGCCCATCTCCTGGCATGACGCCATGATGTTGCAGGAGAAACAAATGATAGATTATATTCAAAGTTTCCCATTAGAAGTGCCCTTTGATGGCAGAGCGTGGCTTGTACATCCTTCGTCTCTGGCTCCATAAGGGTACTTGGAAATTTACAATTCCACAACTGGAATCTCTTAGCGTTGGTTGTGACTGGAATCTTTTGAAATAAGTGCAGCATTTTAGGAAAGATACTTCATTTTAATAATGTCTACTTCTGATCATTCTCCCTTTGTTACCCTCCAGAGCACAAAGAGCCCGGACTGCAAGTCAGAGAGCAAAGAGAAGCAGGACATCTTGTCATTCGATAAAATCAAGGAGCAGCGGGAAATGGAGCGGGAGAGGCAGCGTGAGCGAGAGATCCGAGAGTCTGAGCGCCGAATGTGGGTTCAGTTTATGTCATTTTATTGATATCTCGCTTTGCTGTCTCAGGTCGGGCGCCAAGAACATATCTGTCCTTTTGTGGCCTTCGGGAGGTTATGGCTCTTCTCTGTGACACCATAATTTCATTATGTCCCTATTTTGTACAGATTTCCCCCTGTTCTTAAAGACCGAGATGCCTTTCAATCTTCATAAAGCACACATACCGTTAATTACAGGCAGTACCCAAGTTAAGAACAAGATAGAGATTGTAGGTTTGTTCTTAAGTTGAATTTGTAAGTCAGAATAGGTACATTTTTAAAGTGTAATTTCTCTCTCTCACACACACACATATATATATAAAGGTTTCCCCTTGACATTAAGTCTAGTCGTGTCCAACTCTGAGGATTGATACTCATCTCCATTTCTAAACCGAAGAGCTGGCATTATCCATAGACACCTCCAAAGTCATGTGACCAGCATGAGTGCATGGAACGCCATTACCTTCCCGCTGGAACTACCTATTGATCTAGTCACATTTGCATGTTTTCGAATGACTAGATTGGCAGAAGCTGGGGCTAACAGTGGGAGCTCACCCTGCTCCCTGGGTTCGAACCGAGGACCATTCTGTCAGCAAGTTCAGCAGCTCAGCGGTTTAACCTGCTGTGCCACCAGGAGCTCATTTGTACACACACACACTTTGGGTAACAGGGAAGGGAGAAAATGCCTGTGGGGTTTGTTTTGCTGTCTGTTCCCCTGTGAGAATTGGATTTTGGAAAATTTGGCTTGTTATGGAAACAAGGATTGGAGCTAAAGCTTCAGTGGAGGCCCTTTTTCCTCATAATAATAACTCTTTCAGGAGTGAATTTCCCTTCCGATGGCTGGATTTCTCTCACTTCCTGTTGACTCACCCTGTTCTTAATGCAATGAGTCATTTGTAAGTCATTTTGTAACTCAGGGATTACCTGTAATTATAATTAATATATAATATTCTGGACCTACTATTATACCTTTGTTTAGATGCCAAGGGCCTAAACACTTGTTTTTCAAGAAAGGCTTTGAGGGCCTAATTGGTTTTACAAAGAACCTTCCCAATGTTTGTGGCTCAATTCTTTTTCAACTTTTATCGGTTGAATGGGTTTTTAGCATTTTTAAAAAACAATTCATGTGGTTTAAAATTTGTTAAACTGTTTTTTTCTTCCTTCCTCCTTCCCTCCCTCCCTCACTCCCTTACCTTCCTCTTTCTTCCTCCTTCCTTTTTCCCTTCCACCCTTTCATCCTTCCTTCTTTCTCCTAAGTTTGTCCTTCATTCCTTCTCCCTTTCCTTCCTCCTTCCCTTCTTTCCTTCCTTCCATCCATCCTTCCTTCTCTTTTTCCTTCCTCCCCTTTTGTCTTTCCTTCCCTCTTTCCCCCCTCTCTCCCCTTCCATCCTTCCCTTCCTCCCTTTCATCCTTCCTTCTCTCTTGCTTTCCTCCTTCCCTCCCTATTCTCTTTCCCTTCACCCTTTCATCCTTCCTTCCTTCCCCTTTCCTTCCTCTTTCCCCCCCCGTCCTCCCACCCTTACCTCCCTCTTTCTTTTTCCCTCCTTCCTTACCTTCCACTCTTAAGTTTGTCCTTCATTCCTTCTCCCTTTCCTTCCTCCTTCCCTTCTTTCCTTCCTTCCATCCATCCTTCCTTCTCTTTTTCCTTCCTCCCCTTTTGTCTTTCCTTCCCTCTTTCCCCCCTCTCTCCCCTTCCATCCTTCCCTTCCTCCCTTTCATCCTTCCTTCCTTCTCTCTTGCTTTCTTCCTTCCCTCCCTATTTCTCTTTCCCTTCCACCCTTTTGTCCTTCCTTCCCCCCCTTTCCTTCCTCTTTCCCCCCCCGTCCTCCCACCCTTACCTCCCTCTTTCTTTTTCCCTCCTTCCTTACCTTCCACTCTTAAGTTTGTCCTTCATTCCTTCTCCCTTTCCTTCCTCCTTCCCTTCTTTCCTTCCTTCCATCCATCCTTCCTTCTCTTTTTCCTTCCTCCCCTTTTGTCTTTTTCCTTCCCTCTTTCCCCTTCTCTCCCCTTCCATCCTCCCTTTCCTCCCTTTCTCCTTCTTCTCCTTCCTTCCTCCTTCCCTCCCTTCTCTTCCCTTCCACCCTTTCATCCTTCCTTCCTTCCCCTTTCCTTCCTCTTCCCCCCCCGTCCTCCCACCCTTACCTCCCTCTTTCTTTTTCCCTCCTTCCTTACCTTCCACTCTTAAGTTTGTCCTTCATTCCTTCTCCCTTTCCTTCCTCCTTCCCTTCTTTCCTTCCTTCCATCCATCCTTCCTTCTCTTTTTCCTTCCTCCCCTTTTGTCTTTCCTTCCCTCTTTCCCCCCTCTCTCCCCTTCCATCCTTCCCTTCCTCCCTTTCATCCTTCCTTCCTTCTCTCTTGCTTTCTTCCTTCCCTCCCTATTTCTCTTTCCCTTCCACCCTTTTGTCCTTCCTTCCCCCTTCCTTCCTCTTTCCCTCCCATCCTCCCACCCTTACCTCACTCTTTCTCCTTCCCTCCTTCCTTACCTTCCACTCTTAAGTTCGTCCTTCCTTCCTTCTCCCTTTCCTCCCTCCCTCCCTTCCTTTCTTCCATCCCATTCATCTTTCCTTCCACCTTTTCCTTCCTTCCCTCTTCTTCCTTCCTCTTTTTCCTTCCCTTCCTTCCTTTTCCTTCCTTCCTTCCTTTTTTCCTTCCTTCCTTCCTTTTTTCCTTCCTTCCTTCCTTCTTCCTTCCTTTTTTCCTTCCTTCCTTCCTCCTCCCCTCTCCCTCCCTTCTTTCCATCCATCCAACCTTCTCTTTTCCTGCCTCCTTCCCTTTCTTCCTTCCCTTTCTTTCTTCCTTCCCTCTTTCCCCCTCCCTCTCTCCCCTTCCATCCTTCGATTCCTCCCTTCCTTCCTCTCTTTATTTCATTCCCTTCCTCCCTCACTTCCTTACTTCCCTCTTTCTTTCTCCCTCCCTCCTTCCTTTCCGCCCTTTGTTCGTCCTTCCTTCCATCCATCCATCCATCCATCCTTTCTTCCCTTCCACCCTTTCGTGTTTCCTTCCTTCCCTCTTTACTCCCTCTCTCCCACTTTTTCCTTCCTTTCCTCCCTCTTTCTCCTTCCCTTCCACCCTTTCGTCCTACCTTCCTCCATCCCTCCCTCCCTTCCTTCTTTCTTCCCCTTCCTTCCTTCCTTCCTTCCTCTTTTCCTCCCTTCCTCCCTTCTCTCTTTCCTCCCCCTTTCCCTCTCTCCCTTTCTCCCTCTTTCTCCTTCCATCCTTCCCTTCCTCCCTTTCATCCTTCCTTCCTTCTCTCTTTCCTTCCTCCTTCCCTACTTTCCTTCCATCACCAGGCAGCCAGTCCTCCTAGCAGGGAGTGCTAGCATGCGGCCCCCAAGTTAGAAAGTTTGCCCATGCCTGCGCTATAGGATCATAGAGTGCTGGAATTGGAAGAGACCTCAAGGGCTTTTCAGTGCACCCCCTTCTGCCATAAAAGAAGACCTAATCTAAACACTCCCAACAGATAGCCATCCGACCTCATAGATGTTTGCAGGTTCATGGAGAGAAATAGGGCTATAGAATCACAGAATCCTAGAGTTAGAAGAGACCCCAAGGGCCTTCCAGTCCAACCTCTTTCCACCAGACAGAAAGACACAATCCCAACTCTCCCGACAGATGGCCGTCCAGCCTCTCTTTAAAAGCCTTCGGAGCAGGAGACTCCACCACCATACGAGGCAAATAGACTTAGCCTTAGTCACAAACCCTCCTGTCTGAAGCTGTAGGCAACCCTTTTCTCTCTGTTGGATTAAAAACTGAATTAGTGATATCCACCAGGAGTAAGTTGCCAGGTCTGTCCTTAGTTTCATTGGAGAGAGCTGGAAGAAGCAGCTTTCATTCAAACTATCCTCACATCAGCATACTGATGTCCCTATTAGCGCATTGATTTGAGGCTTCAAGGAAGCAGGGCAGGACTGGAACGACTCTGGAGAGCCGGCTCATTTGTTTTCCTCCTTGTTATTCTTGTGTGGGGAGTGAGCTTCCATAAAAAGAGACGGCACTGGGCTTCCCCTCCTTCTCTTTTGAATGATCGCTGTGTTTGTGCCGCAGCTGGAGATCATTATCCTGTGATGACTTTGCGTTCGGCTGATGCTATCTATCGCTCGCTTGTCACTCGTCTCAAGTCTCCATGCTTTTCTGCTAGGCTTTTAATGGGGATTTCTTTGGCTTTGGGCAAAGCCTAAAAAGTAGATATTTTGTGGGGGACTCTTTTATTACAGGGGAACGTGTCACATTTCCTTCTGAAGTGGTTGGGCACAGAGTAGTTTGTATTGTGTCAGAAGTGAATTGAGGATACAGTTATAATGTATTTAAAAGAACACAAAGTTGAAAACTTGGCATTATACTAGATTTCCTTTCATCACTTGGAGTGCCTCTGGTGTTGTTGTGAGAAAGGTTCTCTGTTGTGCCTGTGGCAGGGCTCAGACTGCATTGTAGTAAGTGGTTTGTGGTTTGCTCTCCTCCACATTCGCATGTCGTGGACTCCACTTTGCAGCCCCATTTCTTAAGGTTGGCTCTGCATCTCGTGGTGCTAGAGCACAGCCTGATCAGTGCCTTCCAAGTCACCCTGTCTTCTGTTTGCCCAAGAGGGAGTCTCTCATCCTGTCTCAGCCACTGATTGAGGTTCCGGGTTTTAGCCTGCCATTTTTGGACTCTCACTTGCTGAGGTGTTTCTACAAGTATCTCTGTAGATCTTAGGAAGCTGTTTCTTGATTTAAGTCTTTTCCATGCTGGCTGATGTCTGAACAGAGAATGGGCCAGATATGTCACTGCCTTGGTCTTTCCATTACAGGCTGCTACTCCCTGGCAGATGTTAGGTGGTACAATACTGGCTAAACAGTATAATTTCTCCAGTGGTGTTGGGTGTAGACATCCTGTGACAATGTGGCATGTCTCATTAAGAGCCACATCCACTGTTTTAATGTGGTGAGATGTATTCCACACCGGGCATGCGTATTCAGCAGCAGAGTAGCAAAGCACAAGGGCAGATGCCTTCACTGTGTCTGGTTGTGATCCCCAGGTTGTGCCAGTTAGCTTTCAAATGATATTATTTCTAGCACCCACTTTTTGCTTGACAATCAAGCAGTGACAAGAGGCCAATACCCCAGAAGACAAGTCAAAGCACTGTCTAGCACAGGGGTCCTCAAACTATGGCCCGGGGGCCAGATACGGCCCTCCAAGGTCATTTACCCGGCCCTTGCTCTGGGTCAACCTAAGTCTGAAACGGCTTGAAAGCACACAACAACAACAATCCTATCTCATCAGCCAAAAGCAGGCCCACACTGCCCATTGAAATACTAATGTCTATATTTGTTAAAATTGTTCTTCATTTTAATTATTGTACTGTTTTTAAGTGTTTTTTTATCTACAAATAAGATAGGTGCAGAGTGCATAGGAATTCATTCATATTTTTTTCAAATTATAATGCAGCCCTCCAACAGTTCGAGGGACTGTGACCTGGCCCTCTGTTTAAAAAGTTTGAGGACCCCTGGTCTAGCGTAACTCCCAAGTATTTGGGTGTACTGCAGTGCACCAGTGGAATTCCTTCCCAGGTAATCCTCTGAGCTCGAGATGCTTGTCTGTTCGTAAGATGAAAAGCACACAAGCTGGGTAGATGTAGAGAACACTGTGGATGTAGCGTATCTGAATTTCAGAAAGGTCTTTCTTCTACAAGGTCCGTCATTACCTTCTAGCAAACAAACTAGTCCAATGTGGGCTAGGCAAACAATGGTTATGTAGAACTGTAATTAGTTAAGTGAACGAACCCAAAGGATGCGCACCAATGCTTCCTCTTCAACCTGGAAAGAAGTGACGAGCGGAGCGCCATAAGCAGGGTTCTGTCCTGGGCCCACTTTTGTTCCACATCTTGATTGATGACTGAGATGAGGGGTGAGAAGGAATGACTATCAAGTTTGCAGATGGGACCAAATTGGGAGGGAGAGCCAGTACCCCATAAGACAGGAGCAGAATTCAAAATGATCTTCACAGGTTAGAGAGAAGATTAGCCAAAACTGACAAAAATAAATTCAACAGGGACAAATGCAAAATACTCCATTTAGGCAGAAAACATGAAATGCAAAGATACAGAATGGGTAATGATGCCTGGTTCGACAGCAGTACGTGTGGAAAAGATCTTGGAGTCCTCGTGGGGAACAAACTAAACATGAGCCAACAATGTGATGCAGCGGCTTAAAAAGCCAATTGGATTTTGGCCTGCATCAATAGAAGTATAGTGTCGAGTGCAAGAATACTGGAGAATGATTGAAGGAGGAATCAATAGAATGTTAAATTTACAAATAGCAATAGTTAATAGAGATGTGCTACATGCACGGATAACAGGAGTGAAGAATATACAAAAAATGGTTGACAAATTAATAGCGTGTGCACAAATTGTTTTAGTGAGGGGTTGGAAAGATAAAACAAAATGGACATTGACTATTTGGTATAACTATATAGTTAATATGTTACATGTGTAAATAACGAATTGCAAATGGAAAAATATAGATAAACGGTTACAGTAACTTAAGAGGATGTGGGAGCTAGTTCGAAATTATTTAGAGAATGTGCTAAAATGTGGAGTAGAAAAATTAAGACTGAGACTGATATTTCAAATGTAACTTCTGTAGTTTGATGTATAAGTTGCATGTACAAGGAGGGGAGGGTGGGAGTGGGAAAAAAACAATTAAATAACAATTAAAAAATAGAAGTATAGTGTCTAGATTCAGGGAAGTCATTCTCCTCCTCTATTCTGCCTTGGTCAGACCACACCTGGAACCACACTGTGTCTGGATTCTGGACACCGCAAGTGAAGAGAGATGTTGGCAAGCTGGAATGTGTCCAGAGGAGGGTGACTCAAAGGATCAAGGGTCTGGAGAACAAGCCCTATGAGGAGTGACTGAAAGAGCTGGTCATGTTTAGCCTGCAGAAGAGAAGGCTGGGAGGAGTCATCACGAGGGCTATGTGTCAAGATGTGAGGGGAAGTCAGAGGTAGGAGGGAGCAGGCTTGTTTTCTGTTGCCCTGGAGACTTAGGATACGAAACAATGGCTTCAAACTACAAGAAAGGAGATTCCATCTGAACATTAGGAAGAACTTCCTGACTGTGAGAGCCGTTCAGCAGTGGAACTCCCTGCCCTGGAGTGTGGTGGAGTCTCCTTCTTTGGAAGCTTTTAAACAGAGGCTGGATGGCCATCTGTTGGGCGTGATTTGAATTTTCCTGCTTCTTGGCAGAATGGAGTTGGACTGGATGACCCATGATGTCTCTTCCAACTCATTCTATGATTCTGAGAATAAAATAATATGGGTATCCATCTTACCCATCCTGAAGATAGTTTGTTCTCTGCTTCTGTGAAGTCCGCTCTCTTTTCCTGCTCAATAGACCAAAAAAAAAAAAAGGTTCCACCTAAACATTAGGAAGAACCCCCTGACAGTAAGAACTGCTCAACAGTGGAATCTGCTGCTGCCTGGGAGTCTCCTTCTCTGGGTTTGTTTGTTTTTTTATCTGAGGCTGGATGGCTATCTGTCAGGAGGGCTTGGATGGTGCCTTCTTGCCTGGTAAGGGACTTGACCGGGTCTTGCAGTCTCTTCCCTCTCTCACCTGGCTCCATGTCTCCCCCTGACTCCAGGAAGTGGGAGCGCTTTGGGCAGCAGCAGCGGACCCATGCAGTGCTCAGGTTGGATGAGCGGCAGCGGCTGAAACGGGAGTGGGATCGGCTCCACTTCCAGCGCCAGCGGCTGGAGCGGGAGCGGATGGAGCGGGCACGGCTGGAGCGGGAGCGCATGCACATTGAGCAGGAGCGCAGGCGGGAGCAGGAGCGCATCCAAAGGGAGCGGGATGAGCTGCGGCGCCAGCAGGAGCATCTGCGCTACGAACAGGAGCGCCGCTCGACCCTGCGGCGGCCCTATGACTCGGATGGCAGGTGAGAGGAACACTCTCGATCTGGGTTGTTGTAGGTTTTTTCGGGCTGTATGGCCATGGTCTAGAGGCATTCTCTCCTGACGTTTCGCCTGCATCTATGGCAAGCATCCTCAGAGGTAGTGACTCCCTGGTGTTGCCCGGGTTATTTGAAAAAGTCAAATTTTAAATTGTACAAAATGCATAAGGTTGTGGGTGTACTACAACCCACATAATGCCAGGTTAACCCCAGAAAGCTCAATCAGTACTTAAAGTTTGTTATATTGGGCAAGTCTCCTCTAGATGCATCATTGGTGGGGTTGAGTGTGCTCTCTGGCTGCAGGATAAACTACAACTTCCACTATGGTGTGTCAGTCCCCTCAAACCCCTCCAGTAGGTTGAGTTAGTCATGGGGATTCTGCATGCCAAGTTTGGTTCAGGTCCCTCATCGGTTGAAGTCACTGTTTCTCTGGTTGTGCGTGAACTGCAACTCGCAGAAAGGAAAGTCAGTTCCCTCCAAACCCCTCCAGTAATCTGATTTTGTCATATCAGATCTGTGTTTGGTCCAGATCCATCAGTGTTTGGTTTCACAGTGTTCTCTGTATGTAGGTGAACTACAACTCCCCCAAATCAAGGTGAGTTTTCCCTAGAGACCTCCAGTGTGTTCTGTTGGCCATGGGGACTCTGTGTACCAAATTAGTTCCAGGTCCATCGCTGGTGGAGATCAGAGTGCTGTTCTTTGAGTGCAGGTGAACTACACATCCCAGTACCTACAACTCCTATAAATTATTGTGAATTCTCCCCAAACCTTTCTAGTATGTTTATTTGCTGATCAATTCCTCTGTTTGCTGTGTGCCATAGAAAAGAGTGTTAAGGGAGAGGCAGTGGGCTGGATCAGGCAAATTCCAAACCAGTGGAGAGAGTCAGAAACACTGGGATGCCTGTGGTGGAGGAAACACAGAAAACCTAGATTGAAATTGTGTCTGGATTAAAGCCTTCACTTGGGTGGTGGGCAGGATTGTTTTGATGGAGGACATTGGCAAGGCTCTTGTACATGTTAGCGGCCCTCTCTATAACCTGCAGTGTCATTGGTGGGAGGGCCATTGGTGTCTCCTGGGGAGTGGGAGTTATAACTGTTTGTGGAGGCAGAAGCTTGTCTATGTAAGTGGGCAGCTCAGCCACACACACACACACATACATATTTTCACTTTTATTACAATTAGTTCTCCCCACTTATCTCACCCGGAGTTTTTAAATCACTTTATGTACATGCGGCCCGCCCTTTGTCTGTCTGTCATTATGTTTAGTTCCTATGTTTTGTGTATATTGCTTTATATGCTTCAATGTTTTATATTTTACTGTTATGTTGTTTATTTGATTGCAATTTGTATTGTTATATTGTAATACTTGTTCGGGCTTGGCCCCATGTAAGCCGCTCCGAGTCCCCTTTGGGGAGATGATGGCAGGGTACAAATAATGTTTATTATTATGTGTATAGATAATACATTTTATTTATTACCCGCCTCCCCTTTTGACTTGCGGGGGGGGGGGGGAGCACTCAATAGTCAAGAATCCTGGGGCATGAAACATCCTTATTTTGTGTATTTGATAAAGTGGAGTGCATTGGAGCATTGCTGAGCAGCTTCTTCTTGCAGGCGTGATGATTTCTATTGGCCGGAGGCCAAGCGGATGGCCTTGGATTACCGGTACCATTCAGACTTTGCCCGTCAGGACCGTTTCCATAGTTTTGATCACCGAGAGCGCAGCCGGTACCAGGACCATCATCCAGCAGACAGGTACTAAAGGGAACTAGGGCTAAGGTAGCAATGAAAAATACCAGCAAAGATGAGGGAGGGCTGGATAGAGAAAGAGAGAGTAGAAATTTACCAACCAAAACAGAGAGCTCAGACAAGGGGAAAGTTCAAAAAGTTTTTGCCTAGTAACAAGCAGGCACAGGAGGGGGAATGCAGGCTGCTGAAAAAAAAAAAGAAGATACAGGAATACTGATATAAGAGGGAACAAAGGAAGAGATAGAGAGGAAGCCTGTGCTCATTTAGACTATGCAAAACCAAGCTGTGTCGCAGTCGGTGTGGCACTTCTTTTCTTTTGCTCACCCGGCAGGAAGATTTGGCCAAATAAACCTGTTGAACGATCTCCTTGCTTCTAGTGTCTGATTTGATAGAAAGACAATTTAGGTTTTTGGGCTCAAGAGAAATGAGGAACACGGCAGCGTGCTCCCAACAGTATCCCTTCTTTTCAAACCCTTTTCAAAGTTGGAAGAAAGGTGGGATCTAAAACAAGTCAGTCAATCTTATGGGTCACCAGCAACTTCCCAGTTGTCTTCCAACAAGACCCACAGAGGCGACCGAATGTTGTTTTTGAGGTGTGTGTGTGTGTGTTTAGTAGCAAATGCCTTTTCTATCTTCCACAGGAGAGAAAGCTCAAGGACACTGCCAGATCGAGATACGCAGGTATGGTATGGAGGCATTTCAACACAGGCGAGAGGGCTTCAGTGGTGTTTTTTTCCATGGCAATGAAGCCATTGACAGTTTCCCTCTCGTGTCGGTAGATATGTCCCCCCTCGAGGTGGCAAGAAAGCCTTACCTGGCTGCATCTCTATCTGGCTCTTCTATTTCAAAAAGAAGAAAAAAAACCTTAGTAATTACAGAATAGGATCCTAGATTTGGAAAGGATCCCATTCAGGCTGACCCCCTTTCTGCCATTCAGACAGATGGCTATCCACCCTGTTATAGAATTACAGTATTCTAGAGTTGGAAGAGACTTCAGGAGCCATTCAGGCTAACTCCCTAAGATGGATAGATGGGTGGATGGATAAGTACAGTATATTCTGGCGTATAAGACTACTTTTTAACCCAAGAAAATCTTTTCAAAAGTCAGGGGTCGTCTTATACGCAGGTGTAGTCTTATGCATGGGAGTCGTCTTAACTCTATATTTTAACTGGAAAAGTTGGGGGTCGTCTTATACGTGCAGTCATCTTATATGCCGGAATATACGGTAGGTAGGTAGATGGATAAATCTATCAATCGGGTGGATGGATGGATAATTGATAGATGTATGATATTAACATAGATCTGTAATAGATCCCAAGGGCCATCCAATCCAACCTCCTTCTGCTAGACAGGAAGACACAATTGAAACCTTCTGGACAGATAAAGCATAATTGAAGCTTGAGAGGAGAATATTGTTAGAATTCAACCCCACACTGCTCAAGTCTCAAGTCCTCAGTGACGAGCAGTTAGTTTAGTGTTCCCTTTTCCCCATGCCTCTTGAATGACGGTTGGGGATTTATCTTTTTCTTCTCTCTTCTCTCTTTCTGCCCACATTCTGATTGGTTGTTTAAAATGGATACTTTTCTACGGCAAGCTTTTTTGAATCTGGCTTCTACCTTCTTACACTTTAGTATGAAGAGTATGTGCTCTGTGCTTTGAGATCTCTCTCTGCTTGTGTGTCAGGAGAGATGTAGGGATTGGTGTTTTCCCCTCTCTTTGAAACCTTAGAAGAGATGGGTGTTAAGAGTAGCTCAGACCCAGTTCTTTACCATGAAGAAACCTACCTAGTTCTTTATTATTGTAAATAAACCTTTTTTGGTTTTTTTTTTGTAAGATTAGACTCTGTATGTTTGCTTCCTAAGCTCTGAATTCTTTACAGCCACTTCATACGGCACTTCACGCTCTGCTCGCTAATGAGCTGAACACTCAACTTTTGTATCCTGTTTGTTTTTGGTAGTTTTCCCTAACAAATATCAAATTTGGGGGGTGTCCCTCTGTCCATCCAAGAGAGTGGCTTCAGCTTTGCCTATGGATGGTGCACCATTACAATGGGCTCTCCCTTTGCCGTTGGTATGGGCAATGGCACCTGTTGGGCTCTGCTTTTCTTGCCTTCACTTTTGTCTTCCATTTCCAGCACCACCCAGAGCGCCATTCACGGGACTCCCGGGACAGTTGGGGCGGATACGAGAGGAGGCTGAGCAAAGGGCAGGGCTTGCCCCCGGCCTCCCGGTGAGTATCGATAGAGGGGGGGGGGTGTCATGGTGGCAGGCTTGAGGAGTCAGGGCTGCTCAAAGTGCTTGACAAAACAGGCGGTTTTGATCCCGAACGACCTCCACATCTCTCCCTTTGGGGGTTTCTGTCCTTCCTACAGCGACGGCCGAGACTGGGCCGACCACGGCCGCAAGATGGAGGTGCACCAGGAGCGTTCCTGGGCGGGTGGCGTGGATGAAAGGTGGCAAGGTAAGCAGGCACTCGGCCTCACGATCCAGGACATGCCTAACAGCCCCAGGTTTTAGATGGAGAGGTCTTCTTGGGAGCATTACCAACCTTGAAAAAATCCACCCTGATGGCTTTCCTTCACCTTACACAGCTGCTATAATAATATTTATTATTATTTCTTATTTATTTCTTATTTCTACGCCGTCCTTCTCAACCCCCAAAGGGGGACTCAGGACAGCTTACATTTGGCACAGTTCGATGCCATTAAATATAATAAAGCAATATAACAACAATTAAAACAATAAATAGAACATTAATTAAAACAATAAAAACAGTTTAATTAATTAACTTATTTGTTACCCACCTCACCTCATGGCCCAATATTTATTCTATGTTTATTGTGTTAAAATAATAATAATAATAATAATAATAATAATAATAATGTATTTGTTACCCACCTTTCCTCACAACTTGAGGTTTATTCTGTTTATTGTAGTAGTAGTAGTAGTAGTAATAATAATAATAATAATAATAATAATAATAATTTATTTGTTACTTGCCACTTCTCATGGCTCAAGGTTTATTCTATATTTATTGTCATTATTATTATTATTATTATTATTATTATTATTATTATTATTATTATTATTAGTTACCTGAATGTAGCATTGAAATCAACAAGCATGTGGACAATTTCAACAGAAAGGAGGAAACTGTGATAATGAATCTGGCTACCATTATTTTAAAAACCCCAAAATCAGAACAGTAAATAAAGCGCAACACTCAGAAAACAGGAGAATTCCAGACAAGAATCAATCAGTGCCAGCTAACACCTCCCAACAACGGATTCCCCCAGGCAGCCACCAACCAGGATTTGAAGCCACAAGGCCATTCATTGCTAATCAAGGTGGCCAATGGCAACATTCACACTTGCTCAAGCAGACAAGAGTTCTTTCTCCCACCTTGGACATTATTCCACAGATATATAAACCCCACTTGCCTAGTTTCCAACAGACCTTGCAACCTCTGAGGATGCCTGCCATAGATGTGGGCAAAACATCAGGAGAGAATACTTCTGGAACATGCCCAGACAGCCCAGAATATTTATTTATTTATTTGAAACATTTATATTCCGCCCTTCTCACCCCCAAGGGGGACTCAGGATAGAGCACAGCATATATACAGCACACATTCCATGCCGGAACATACTCACAGCAACTCAGTGCTTCCAGCCTTGAAAGCCTTCGACAACACAATATCAGCAACAGCAGCAACACTTTTTTTCTTACCTGTCTTTCCTCATGGCTTGAGGTTTATTCTATGTTTATTGTGTTAATAATAATAATTTATTTCTTACCCTCTTCTCCTCACGGCTCAAAGATTATTCTATGTTTATTGTGATAATAATAATAACAATAATAATACATTTTTATGTGTTTCTCTTTTTTTGTGTTTTAACTTTTATCTCAGGTTTTTAAAAATATGTGTACCATATCTTTTTAGTATATGCTTTTATGGTTGCGTTTTAACTGTGTGTATGATTTTATAGCTATTTTGAACTGTGTTCTGCCCTGCCTCAAGCCAAAAGGAGAGGCAGGTAATAAATTATTATTACCTTGACCTCTGCAGTCTTGGGATTTATAGTTTAGTGGGGCATTCCTAATACAAGAGGGGGAACCTTTTGCAGGAATAGGTACCACTGAACTCTCATCTCCTCAGCTGATGGGAATCGGACTCTGACAACATTGGGATGGTGGTCAGTTCTCCATCTAGGATCCTTTCAGATGGAAATACTGATGTTATTTTGAAATTTCCTCTGCAACCCCTTTCTGTCTGTTCCTCAGGGGCCGAGCGGAGTGTTCCTGACCAGCCTGTGCCCAGCCATGTCCTAGACCGGGGAGGGATTCCAGGGTGAGTGGCATTCAAAAGGGGCGATGGGTACAAAAGATGGGATGTGAGGGTTGTTAGGGGTATTTTGTGCTCAATCTCTGAGCGATGGAAGATCTCCCAGGCTTCTAGTAATCTGGTAGTATCTGGTTAGAACAGCAAACACCAGCAGAGATTTCTTTCCACAATCGGGAAAGCTTTTTCAGCAATATATACGGGCAAAGCTCTTACAGAAAATAAATCCTCTCTCTCCTTCTCTTAGCAATCTTCACAGCAATTCTCCCGCATAGACCTCTCTTCTCCTTCGTCCATGACGATCAGCAGCAACAACATCAGCATGAACAATCCCCACACACATTACGCTCGCTGTCCCACTTTGATCCTAGATCTGACCAATCACATATTGTATTACATCGTTGATGATGTCCCAAGATTGCTATCAGGCATTGTGCTCTAGTTTCATCACCTAGGCAACTTGCCTTGTTATTCTGGCCCTGCAATTATCATATATGACCTGGATATGATGACCTGCCCTATTTACTCAAATCTAATGCTCCCCATTATATATACTTTATTTATATTCCGTCCTATCTCCCTGAGGGGACTCGGCAGATTACAGTACGCATATACGGCCAACATTCAATGCCATTATAACACCCTCTCCTTTTCTTAGCAATCTTCACAGCAATTTTCCCGCATAGACCTCTCTTCTCCTTCGTCCATGACGATCAGCAGCAGCAACATTAGCATGAACAATCCACACTCATTATGCTCGCTGTCCCACTTGGATCCTAGATCTGACCAATCACATATTGTATTGCATCGTCCATGATGTCCCAAGATTGCTATCAGGCAATGTGCTCTAGTTTCATCACCTAAGCAACTTGCCTTGTCATTCTGACCCTGCAGTTATGATACCTGACCTGGATACGATGACCTGCCCTATTTACTCAAACCTAATGCTCCCCTTTATATATATTTTATTTATATTCTGCCCTATTTCCCCAAGGGCAGATTACAGTACACATATACGGCAAACATTCAATGCCATTATAACAATGAACAAAAACAGACAATACATAGACAGAGGTAAAGGCTTCCCATCTTTGTCCATCTCCAGCATCTGGAGGCTGCTCTTTACTCTGACCATGGGAAAGTGCTGTCACTCCATCTTCCATGGCGAGGAGCTTTGTTGTCCGTAGACAACCTCCCGTTGGCATGTCCTTATGGGCATCTTTTATCCCCCCCCCCTTTAAAGCAGTACCTATTTATCTACTCACATTGCTGTTTGCTATCTAGGTGGGCAGAAGCCGGGCTGACGGCCGAGAGTTCACCCCAACCCAGGCCTGAACTGTCAATCTTTCGATTGGCAAGATTTTCTGCAGCTGGTGGTTAACCCACTGTGCTAAAGCTTGGCCCTAAATGATATTTTGGGGCTAAATCACCTGGCCAGTATTAGGGTGCGCATTAGAGTCACATCATATGTTAATCTTAATGCTGAGCCAAAGCAAAAGGGGAAGCTGCTTCAGGAGCTTCTCTTCACGGGACCTCATCTCTATTTTCATTGCAGTGAATTAATTCTATGTATTCTGGGATTTGTAGTTTGATGAGGAATCCACATTCTTTGGCAGGGAAAGCTCAAGGCCTTGTCAAAAGACAGCCTCCATTATTCCATAGCATTGAACCAAGGCAGTTAAAGTGGGGTCATTCTACCGCATGGATGCATTCCAATGTTTCCTTTTCCGTTGCTGGAAGCTTTGCTGTCCTAATATTTTGGCTTTTAAAGAAAGGATTCAAAGTAGTCATTAACTTTTTGGGCACTTCTTGCATTGAGCATGACATTGAGCAGCAACTACTTCTTTTGGTTTCGAGGTTTTGAAAAAAGAGGTGTGCATTACATTTGATAGCACATTTATTTATTTATATTCCGCCCTTCTCACCCCGAAGGGGACGCAAAGTGGATCACAGAACACACATATGGCCGTCGCTCCACTTTCCCTACTGAACAGCTTTGTTCGTAAACTTCCTCCTTTCCCATGTTCTTGGTTCCAGCCACTGGGGGGTGCTGGTATTCCATCTTCCCTGCTGAAGAGCTTTTGATCGTAAATTACCTCCTTGATCAACTTGCCAGCATTTTCCTGGCATTTCCATATGGGTGCCTTAAATACCTCCTTGCTTTAAAGAGATACCTATTTATCTACTCACATGCTGTTTTGGAAACTGCTAGGTAGGCAGAAGCTGAGCTAAAGGCCGGGAGCTCACCCTGATCTGGGCTTCAAAATGACAATCTTTTGGTTGGCAAGATTTACTGCAGCTGGTGGTTATCCTGCTGTGCTAAAGCCTGGCATTAGAGTTGTCTTCATTGTACGGGTGATCATTCCGATCATAACAATCCTATTGGTTCTGCCCTCAGGCGTGGAGGTTTCGCGCAAAGTGACACCTCGAATGCAGTGGTGCAAGAAGCTGGCTTTGCCGATCCGGACCGAACGAGCCGACCTGGCGACCCTCGCTTCACCCGACATTATTGAAAGCCTTTGGCCATTGCTTCGGAGTCTCGGCGTCAAAAGAGAAGGCAACCACAGCATCTTCCTCTCATAGCTTGCATCCGACAACATGAACGGCGTGCCTATATGTGTGTCCCACCCCCTCCTTATGTTCTGTTTTGGATATATCACTCTGCTTGTTTCGGAAGAAGCATTCCATTATTTTTCCATAAATAATAATAATAAAAATTCTTACAATGTTATTTGTTTATTTATTTATTTATCATGTCGGAATTGTGAATACAGTTATAATGTATAGAAAAACCACAAAGCTAATAATAATAATAATCATCATCATCATCATCTTTATTTATACCCCGCCACTATCTCCCCAAAGGGGACTTGGGCCGGCTTACGCAAAGCCAAGCCCAACTGTACATTACAACAAAATAAAACCAAAACAACAAAACACATCACAAATAAATAAAAACATAAGAATGCAATAAAATAATACAATGCAGAATCAATCCCAAAGGACAGGCCACATGTCAGAGATAAAATAATAGAATTCAGGGGCAAAAGGAGGGCCTCCCCCGAAGATCGAAGAGATCGGGCAGGTTTGTGTAAGGAGATGCAGTCACGAAGGTAGGCGGGTCCCAAACCGTTAAGGGCTTTATAGATAACTAGCTGTACCCGCCACGCGTTACTGTGGCCAACCTTCCCTCCGTCTTTCTCTCCTTCCTTTCCTCTACTTCTTTCCCTTCCTATTTACCTTCTTTCTTCCATCTCTACCTGTTTCTTTCCTCCATTTCTTTGCTCTTTGGTTACATCCTTCCTTCTTTCCCTTTCCCTTTTTTATTTCCTTCTCTCCTTCCCTCATTCTCTCCTTCCTTCCTTCCTTCCCCCTTTCCCTCCTTCATTCCTTCCCTCTTTCCCTCCTTCTCTCATTACTTCTTGACAGTCCCTTCCAACTCTATTCTGTAAGTCTATTTAATTTGTATTATATAGTAATATATAATAGTAACATATTATATAGTAATGTATATAACAATATATAAAATATTGTATTTATATCTTACATAGAAAGAAGGAAAGGAAGAAGGAAGGAAGGAAGGAAGGAAGGAAGGAAGGAAGGAAGGAAGGAAGGAAGGAAGGAAGGAAGGAGGAAAGGAAGGAGGGGGGAAGAAAGGAGGGAGGGAAGGAAATGAAGGGGAAGGAAATGAAGAAAGGGAAAGGAGGAGGAAAGGAAGGGAGGGTGGAAGGAAAAGAAGGAAAGGAAGAAGGAAGGAGGGACAGGATGGAAGGGAAGGAGGGAAAGAAGGAAAGGAAGGAGGGAGGGACAGAAAGGGAAGGAAGAAAAGGGGGGAGGAAAGAAGGGAAGGGAGTGAGGGAGAGAAGGAGTGTGGCAGAGGGAGCTACCTCCCGGTCTGGATGTTAATAGAAGAGAGAGAGAGAGTTAAATGTGTGCTCATGTTGCCAGAGACAGATCTACAGAAATGAGAGAGAAGGAGAGGGAGGAAAGAAAGAAGGAGTTGGAGGAGGAAGAAGAGAGCAGGACGCAGGAGACAGATCTACAGAAATGAGAGAGAAGGAGAGGGAGGAAAGAAAGAAGGAGTTGGAGGAGGAAGAAGGGAGCAGGACGCAGAGGAATGGGAGAATTCAAAAATAAAACTTTGCTTGATGTTTTTATTTGCTTATGACTTTTACTGTGTATGTGTATGTTATTGTTGTTGGTGGCCTTGGCCTTTGTAAGCCACATCGAGTCCCTCGGGAGATTTTGCGGGGTATAAATAAAGTTTAATAATAATAATAATAATAATAATAATAATAATAATAATAATAATAAAACTTGTTTCTGGCTCTTTCTTTCTTTCCTCCTTCCTGCAGTGAAGGGAGGAAGGCAAGGAAGAGTTGGTGAAGAAGGCAACAGTCTCTCTCCCCTCCTCCCTCCCTCCCTCCTGCCTGCTTCTTCCACCGGGGCATCTTGGAGGAAGAGGAGGCGACGAAAGGGGGGGGGGGCAGCCAAGAAGAAAAGGCTGCTGCTTCTGCTGGCAAAGGAGGGACTTAGGAGCCCATCCACCATCTTCCTCACTCCTAAAGCGGTGGTGGTGCGGTTTCAGATGAGGAAGGAGAGGAAGTGGAGGAGGACAGTAGGTAGGCTCCTAAAGTCCCTCCCCCACCCGCCGGCCTTCCTCGCACAAGCCTCCACCTCCACTCCCATGGTGCCCATTCTCACATGTGTGTGTGTGGCTATGCACGCGCGCCTGGCTCCTCATGCTTTAACGGCCGGCCGGCTGTTTCCTCGCAAGTAGGAGGCGGCGTGGCCATGGGCCTCTTTGTGGGCAATGCAGTTTCTCCTTTGTGAACATGTAGTTCAGAAGTCCTTTCTGCTTTTTGTTTTCGTGGGTTTTTTGAGTGGAAAACATACATTGGGTTGTTAGGTGTCTTGTGTCCAAATTTGGTGTCAATTGGTCCAGGGGTTTTTGAGTTCTGTGAATAGCACAAATGAACATTACATTTTTATTCATATAGACTAGCTGCTGTGGCCCAGTCTGGTGATCTGGAAAATAAAGTAGTGAGAAAGTGTTGGTTTCTAATCTATGTAATTCCTTTATGCTTGTGGGTAAACAGTATTTCTTGCTGTTTCTTTGTCTGTGTTGATGTGGAGAGTGTCTGGTTTGCCTACACTGGAATATGCAACGTATCATAGTCCTTCTTTAAGGGTCACTTTCAAATCTGTGATACTATATCTGTGTGTCTGTGAGAATCATATCTATCTATCTATCTATCTATCTATCTATCTCTGACTGGATGGCTCTTTGTCAGGAGGGCTCTGATTACATTTTCTTGCCCTGGTGAAGAGAGTTGGACTAGATGGGCTTAAGTATTTTTTGTTGGTCATGGGGGTTCTGTGTGGGAAGTTTGCCCCATTTCTGTCGTTAGTGGGTTTCAGAATGCTCTTTAATTGTAGTGAACTATAAATCCTAGTAACTACAAATCCCAATTGTCAAGGTCTATTTCCTCCAAACTCCATCTGTGTTCATATTTAGGCATATGGAATTTTTGTGTCAAGTTTGGTCCAGATCCATCATTGTTTGAGTCCACAGTGCTCTCTGGATGGAGGTGAACTACAACTCCCAAACGCAAGGTCAATACCCACCAAACAATTCCAGTGTGTTCTGTTGATCATGGAAGTCCTGTATGCCATGTTTGGTTCAATTCCGTCATTGGTGGAGTTCAGAATGCTCTGTGATTGTAGGTGAACTATAAATCCCAGCAACTACAACTCCCAAATGTCAAGGTCTATGTCCCTTAAACTCAATGTGTTTTCATATTTGGGCATATGGAATATTCGTGCCAAGTTTGGTCCAGATCCATCATTGTTTGAGTCTACAGTGCTCTCTGGATGTGGGTGAACTACAGTTCCCAAACTCAAGGTCAATGTCCACCAAACCCTTCCAGTTTTTTCTGTTGGTCATGGGAGCCCTGTGTGCTAAGTTTGGCCCAATTCCATCGTTGGTGGAGTTCAGAATGTTCTTTTATTGTAGGTAAACTATAAATCCCAGCAACGACAATTCGCAAATGACAAAATCAATTTTTTTGAGTGGAGGACATAAATTGGACTGTTGGGTGTCTTGTGTCCAAATCTGGTGTCAATTCCCCCAGTGGTTTTTGAGTTCTGATGGTAGCACAAACAAACATTACATTTTTATTTATATAGATAACCTGCGCCTTGAATTGGGACCGGAAAATAAATGGCAGCCAGTGGAGCTCCTTAAACAGGGGGGTTGATCGCTCCCTGTAATTCTCCCCCGTTATTAATCTGGCTGCCGAGTGTTGGACCAGTTAGAGTCTTCAAGGGTAGCCCCACATAGAGTGCACAGCAATAGTCCAATCTAGAGGTAAGTAAGGTGTGGACCACTGTGGTCAAGTCAGACTTCATGAGGTATGGTCGCAGCTGGAGCACAAGTTTTAACTGTACGAAGGCCCTCACGGCCACCGACACATGTGCATCAAGCATCAAGGCTGAATCCAGGAGGACCTCCAAGCTGCGGACCTATGAGTTCAGGGGGAATGCAATCCTGTCCAGCACAGGTTGCCACCCAATACCCCCGTCAGACGAGCGACTGACCAGGAGGACCTCTGTCTTGTCGGGATTAATCTTCAGCCTGGCAACTTGGCATTCTACTAAATGTCCTTTGACCAGAAGCTGGCCACTTGGGAGTGCATCTGGCATTGCTTTAAGAATGCCCTCCATTGTACATGTGGCAGGGCTCAGGCTGCATTGTAGTAAGTGGTCTGTGGTTTGCTCTCTTCCACACTCGCATGTTTGTGGCCCCATTTCTTAAGGTTGGCTCTGCATCTTGTGGTGCCAGAGCACAGCCTGTTCAGCGCCTTCCAGGTCACCTAGTCTTCTGTGTGCCTAGGAGGGAGTCTCTCATACGGTATCAGCCACTGATTTTGGTTCCGGGTTTTAGCCTGCCACTTTTAGACTCTCACTTGCTGAGGTTTTCCTTCGAGTATCTCTGTAGATTACAGAAAGCTATTTCTTGATTTAAGGCATTGGCTTGCTGGCTCATATCTGAACAGCGGATGGGCCGGAGATTTCATTGCCTTGGTCCTTTCATTATTAGCTGCTACTTACTGACGGATGTCAGGTGGTGCAATACAGGCTAAACAGTGGCGTAGGGAGTAGGCATCCACTGTTTTAACATGGTGATATGTATTCCACGCTGGGCATGTGTACTCACCAACAGAGAAGCCAAACGCAAGGGCAGATGTCTTCACTATGTCTGGTTGTGATCCCCAGGTTGTGCCTGTCATCTTTCGTATTATATTATTTCTAGCACCCACTTTTTGCTTGATATTCAAGCAGCGCTTCCTGTAAGTCAGAGCACAGTCCAGAGTGACTCCCAGGTATGTTGGTGTGCTGTAATGCTCCAGTGGGATTCCATTCCAGGTAATCCTCAGAGCTCGGGATGCTTGTCTCTTAAGATGAAAAACACACACCTGTGTTTTAGATGGATTAGGAATCAGGTGGATTTCCCAGTAATAGGTAGTAAGAGTGCCTAAATGTTCAACCATTTCAAAGCTCCCTGCTTGAGTGGTGATGGCATGATCATCAGCATAGATGAAACTCTCTGTCCCTTCTGGCAGTGGCTGATCATTTCACATTGATGGAGCAAAGTACGCTCCCCTGAGGCAGGCTGTTCTTCTGTTTTAGCCATATTTTTCTCTCTTTCTTATTATTATTACATTTATT